TCAGATGGTAAGCCAGTTTATGGACATCCCATCTGGGACTGGAGAGGAGGACTGGGAGAAGGTGTCTGTACCGGTACTGTCTGAGGATATGTGGCTAGTGATTCTGCAGTGGCTAGTGCCCTGCGCAGCCTTGGTGCCCAGAGAAGGAACATCAAAACCGGTGTCAGGCCCCAGCCTCACACACAAACACACACAGGCACATACCTGAATACAATCAGTCAACCCATCTTCATTCAATCTTTCTGTCACCGTGACATCTTCAGATATCATCAAATCTGACATCTTTACACTCTTCTATACTGTCTGGTCCTCTTCCTTTAAGAATCCTATGCTTGTATGCAAAGCTTTCGAAACAACTGGCATCAGCCCGCTCAACCCTAACGCGATACTCGAGCGCTTTAAACCACCACTAGAGAGCGTACGGCCTAGTTCAGCAGCTCCTCATCATCAGTACTTAGCGCTTCAGATTGGAGAAAGATTGAATGATTACTCCAGCAAGCAGTAGACAATTTGCAAGACTCTAACACAAAGAAGCTCAGCCGTACGATCCATACAATTTCAGTAAAGAACACGCTGCTACAACATGAGGTCAATCAACTCAGAGAGGCTCTAGTCAATGAGCAGAAGTATAGGCAGCGTGGCAAGGCCCTGCTACTTGAGGCACCACCTGAATACAATGGTGGAGCAGTCTTCTGGTCACCTCAAAAAGTGAGTGATGCGTGGCTTCGTCAGGAGCAGAAGGACCGGGATAATCAGCTTGTACAATACCAGAAAAGCATGGCCATAAGGCTTAGAGAAGAGAAGAAGGCTGCTAAAGCTCAGATGTTTGAAGAACGTCATCTCAACAGAGCTGTTGCAAAAGAGAAGCATGAGCGTGAGGCAGCTGAAAAAGCTGCTGCTCGCGAGGAGAAGTGTATAGCCCGGGAGCTCAAAACTCAACTCCAAAATGACCTCAAGGTGTCCCAAAGAGGTAAGAGAAAGAGCCTCCAGCCTTCTCTAGCAGCAGCTCCTCCGACAGCTGCTCAGGATCCTATCGAGGTAGAGAATGATGCTGTTCCTACGTCTCGCTCTGGTCATGCAATACGCCGCCCCAAATGCCTTGTCACATAATCTGAATAAGCCAAAACAATATAATAACTGTGCTTGTTATTATTACTCTAAAAAATCTTGTAATAATAGCTATTGCGCGTGGCTCAATAGCCTCAAAATGATTCTCGTGAACATGTTGATTTTCGGGCGCCAGGTGGGGACGTGCGCCAGGCGGTGGGCGACTCTACATGTCTAAGATGCTTGATTTAGTACAGAGGAAACGACTACGCTGTACCTCGTCTCTGGTTTAGATTCTCCACGCGGCGCACGCTCGTTGCTAGCAAACTATTTGCCTTATCCGAGCCTACAGCTCTAACATGATTTTGTCTAGACAGGCGATATAAAGCCTATTGCAAGTGCTGCTATATCTGTGCACGTGAAAGATGCTTAGTTTTATGTGCAAACCTACAGTACAGAGGAAACACCGCTCTGTACTTCCCCTGTATATTCAATTCGCTTGCGCAGCGCAAGCCTATTGCTAGCAAGCTGTTTAGGATATCAAAAGCCTATAGCTTTAACTATCATCCTGCCTAGACACAGACGCTCTAAAACCAGTTGCAAGTGCGGTGTAATCGGTGCTGGTCCAAGATATTTGATTCAACGTAGAAACCCGCTGTACAGAAGAAGTGCGAGGCGATGTTTAGTCAGACATAGAAGGAGGCAATAGGTATAGCTAATCCTTCCTCTGCTTCTTCTAAACTCTACCACTGCTATTTCTTAGAACACTGAGAGGTCGAACCTGGCCACCGATGATGACCAAAGGCGAGGAAGGACCTAGGGGAGTCTCGAGAGTCGACACCTCCCTGACATTCTATGAACGACATTCTATAGATGAGAGGATCTTCTACCCCTTCTCCAAAAACGATGTTCCGCCCCAAGCTAACATGTTCCTAATGTGTCCAGAGCATGAAATCCAAGCCTGCATGAGCAAAATGGCTTGAAACTACTCAGTAGATAGCGTGGCCGGTGTCATACGTGGAGGTGACGGCAACTCTCAGGACTGGTAGTAGAACTCTGACCATTCCACTTCGCAGCTATCTACGAGGTCGCAGACGACGACATTTAAAACAGTGAGCGCATGGCCCAGCTAGGGAAGACATTTTCGTTGGCAGCGAATAAACCACCAACCCCCCGGAGTGTCCGAAAACATAGCAGACCACACCACCTCAAATCCCCAAAGTCTCCGACTCAAACCCTATCTAGCAGCAACCCCACCAAAAAGGTTCCGCATGCCCACCACCATGACCACCTCCACATACGAGCTTTGTCTTACTACTGCAACGGGGTTCCTAAGGAGACTAGTATGCACCCTCTACCTTCAGTGCTCATGATCACCTCGAGAATCCAGCTGGGCACTCAGCGCTTGAGACATCCGGCTGAACACCCGCTTCCCCGCCTCCAGACACACACATTAAGGGAGAGGGAAAGGGAAATCTCGGACGAGTGCCGTGGCCAACATCATGATGAGCGTTGAAAGGGATTCGGTATCGGCCAGAACCCCCGAGTCACTGTTCTCGATCAATGCAGTCGAACGACTGTGGAGAGAGCGCAGTCATAGGATGGGGATGGTTCGCGGCTCCAAGGCCAAGTGTTCACTCCGCCATCCAATACAGGTAGGAAAGAACAGGTGTGTAGCACAGATGGATCCACGTCGCATCCAGAGCTGCTTTCTGTGGGGCGACCATTAGGGCAGGGCGGTTACTACCACTCTCGGACACAGCTGTGGGCTGACCTCAGGTCTGGTCGGTCATGGGGGCATGTTTCCTCCCAAGTACGGGACAGCAACGTCAGTGGCGGTGATTGGAGGGTGGTAGGCCGCCAGAAAGGAGCATGTAGTCCTCTCTGAGACTTACACGAGGGGAAATCGCTCATACGCTATCAGAAGAGCGCCTCGTGGAGCGGAGGAAAAGTCACCAGGCACACTCGGCGGGTGGGGAAGCCCGGAGTGGATTTGGCTCAGGCGCCAGCCCTCTGAGACGGACCAGTCGGCCTTGGCCTTCGATGGCTTGTCTCTGGTGCTCAAGGAACGAAATGTAGGTTTGAATCTGCATGGGGGAATCGACACGGAAAACGGATAGGGACACACGCTAGCTCATCTGCCGTTAGACTGCTGTTTCCCCTGACGACCGCAATCGCTCGAGTCTCCTGGCATCTGTCGACAGGTTGCAGCGTGATCGGTTGGGGCCTGCAGCAATCTCCACAGCATTGCGATACCTACTGTGTACACACTGACCTCTGTGCAGAGTGGAGAGCCTACAGCGATCAGACACGGTACGGCGCCACATAGATTCTGCTCTTCCCATCAATTATCCGACCGATCTTCTTGTCGTTGCCAGTGACCATCGCACAAAACATGCGTGTACCTCGCAGACGCGACTTCACGGTTCATTTGCTGCCCCTTGCCTGTACGTAAGTACGAGTTTGCGCGTCTCACCGATGGGTACAACCTGCATAGTGTCTGTGGCCCGGGCGATCTTTGCATGTTGTGGTTGTTTGGTGATGCAAAAACCGTTGGATGAGTACAATGAGCACTTGAAGACAGTCATTCTGGCTCGTCCTGCGTGGGGGAAGTATTTGGGTGCCGAACCCTAGCATTTGAGCCCTTCTGTTGATAGGTGGACGACAGAAGATCAACACTGCACCAGCCTGCAGACATGCTGCCCGTCATGAACACATGCGTCAACCGGAATGGACCTCGCAGAGTGGCAATCGGAAAAGAACAACTTCCCGCGTTCCAGCCAGCCGCTGCGTGCAATGAACAATCGGGGCGGCCGCAAGAGTGAGAAAGGCCTCTAGATGCCATGACAGCAATTCAACTCTCTGAATGTCAGGGATCTGGACAGTTCAGTATGACCGTATCTTGTGTATCGATGCGCGGATGCCTGCAGGATCGGAGTTGAACCATCATGAGTGATACTGTACGTCCTCATGTCTGCAGGTACTTCCCAGGTTTTCGAGGGCATGACAGCGTCTCTTTCCGGCTGGGCGGTGGCACAAATTGACCAATTCCCTCCTCAGTGTTCTGCATATGAAGCTTAGCAGTGTTGCAACTGTCAAGACGCGTCGGAAGGTTAATGAGGTGAACCCATCCGCTAGCGTCTATGGCTCACCGTTAGCCTAGCCGTACTGGATCAATTGTGTCCGCTGGAGCGAATAACGGGTTTACTAAGGCACAAGATGAGATATTCTGCGGTTCGGGGCTTGTCCAAGCTGCCTGGTGATGGCAAGGTACCACTAGACAGCCCCGACACCCTACACAGGTGTCAGCTTCGTCCATAAACAAAGTGGGACGTGTTGGTCAAGCTAAATGTTGTTGCTAGGTAAAGCCTGGAATTCCGTCAATATTGTGTCCGTCGTGGAAGAGCGGAGAATTGTGGACAGGATCCCCGGGGTTAGCTCAGTTACACAGCAGTCCTGGCTTTACCCAATCGTGACCCAGCACCCCCAGGACTGCAAGTACAGCTCCGTTGCCCTGACAGAGAGAGAGATAGGCTGTGTAAATGGGACAATAAGTTGATGGTGTTGATGACTACGGTCTCTGAATAGACGATGTCATCAAAGATGGTCGGTTGCCGTTCGAAATCATGCCCGACATGAGTTCAAACTTAGCATCTGCAAACTCCCGCAAGGTTTGATGCTCCATTCGTTCGCTGGAAGAAGAATCTTGGCTCTGCACCCATGGTTGAGTGGCGTTCACAGTCGATCTGCATTCCTCAGGGCAGTGGGTCCCCTTCGGTGGAGCCCGTTTCGATCACGAAATGCATTGGACGGAAACGCAGTTGACAGCCACTCAGTGAAAACAGTCTACCCCATACTGAAGGGGCTGGCGGATGCATGCTCTACTACTGCAATGATGTTTGCATGCTCAACCTGCACTGGAGACGCTGAGAACAGTAAGGCGGTCTCAGGTGTCGGGGGTGGCTGTGGGTTGGTTACCCATTGGGCAGGGCGAGGTACCATTTCTTGAGAGGCGTTGACGAAAGCCGATGTAACAGCGACTGGATCCTCAAACAATCTGTTGCAGGGCCTGTCCGTCAGGCTCTTGTCCGGTAATCCTAGATGGATGTGTCGGAAACTGTGATGAGTTTACTTTAAGCTGCCGCAAGGTCCCTGTACACCCCTTCTTCTCCTAGCTTTTGATATCTCTTGAACTGTCGCCTCTCGATTTCGAGATCACGCATGTGCCCTTGCAGTCCCTTTGCAATACAACCTTCTTCCAATTCCTGTATCTCATTGGAATCCGCCTCCACGGTTGGTAGACGGACTAGTGTGCATCGCCCCATTCCTGGTCTTGCCTCTGCCGCGTCCTGGCGCGGTGTAAGAGGTGTCACAAAGGTCAGTCGTTCTCTTAGGTGGCGTCCGTAACGCTCGAGTGAGGACCCTGATTCAAAAGCATCACTCTCACCCCCTTCCCCTTTCTCTCCGCATGTACTGTACCACTCCGTGAGCACTCTCTTGCTCACCTGCCCAGCCGCTGTTCGTTCCACTGTAAGCCCATCCAGATGTAACTTACTCTTTATACTCTCGCTCTCGTTGTTCGGAATGTCAACTGATGGCCGCAGTGAACGTCGGACAGCAAGACCACGTCACATCCACAATGGCTTCAGACAGATCGTCACATCAAGCGAAGGCTGAGGACGTCTTCCAGATGAGTCCGGAGCTCCTGTCATCCGGTTTTATGACACCGATGCCATATGAAGGGCGAAGGGATTCGTTAGCTTCGAGTCAATCTTCATACTGTCACAGTTTCGATTTCTCCACCCCGGTGACGCCGACAACATGTGGGCGGAGCCCCATCACCTTCCATTCTCAAGACAGTTTCCTGGTAGTAAACCCATATGAGCAACTACAGCCCGTCAACGGATTGCCGGTCGTCCAGCATCCCAAGGTGCCTTCACAAAGCGATGGTCTCTACAATCTGTCGACAAGTGCGCCGGCATCCATGCTGACCGGCCTTCCATATACAACCCTGGCGGGTGCTACGGCATACGACTTTATGCCACGACGGTCCGAAAGGCAGCATGATATAGACGATGTCAACTTTGTGTCCGGTGGGGGCCCATGGGGTGCTTCGTCTGCGTTCAGCTGGATCGAAGACGACTATCCCGCGCCGTTGGATCCCTTGGCTGCCAATAGACCGGAGATTCTTGGAGACACAGTATCAGATGGTTGGGTCGACTTGAAAGCGGAGGACATCGATAACATGGTTCCATCCTTTTCTCACGCCCACGGGAGCTTCGTGGGTCCTCATGAGGAGGATCATCGCCCAAGCGAGGAGTTTCCAACGGCCAAAAAAGAAGAGACGAAGAGAGGCCTAGGGAGAATGCAGAGTCGAATCTTGCATCGGTCCACTGGAGCGAAAGGCGTGAAACTACAACGGTCACCTTCCGCGGTCCAGAAACGGAGAAAAGATGGGCCCAGGTGCCGCAAGAGGCCCGCGTCGCCCGCTGACTGCAGGCCTGTTTGGGCCGTTGAGAAACCGTACGAGCACAGCTGCAAGATATGCGGGGACCGGTACAAGAGGTTGGAACACTGCAGACGCCATGAGCAGACATCCCATTTCCCTGTAATGAAATCTCGCTGCGAGATATGTGGCAAAGAGTTCCCTCGCAACGACAACTGCATACAACATTATAAGACGCACATCAGATTCGCGGATAAGAAGAAGCCCCGTGGCAACGAGAATCGGAAGTATACAGTCGAGGAGTGTCTGCTTCTCGTCCAAGACGAGAAGGCTAGGACGAAAATCCGGCAATTCGGACTTGAGGGTTCATCGGGGTGATCTGCTTTTCGAATACCCAGTTAATACGTTTGGAGGATATACCTATCTGCCGGGCCCGGATGGTCGCGTTGCTGATACGGTTTTCCCTTATTTTCAATTTTGGATGGGGTTTGTCATTTCGTTGGAAAGAAAATGGCTTCGGCCTGTTTAATCTAATGAAGTAAGCTCGCTATGTGTTCTATTTTGTATATCTCTGCTTCTGTAATGCGGAAACGGACTTGATGAATGGAGTATACATTAGGTACAAGTGCGAGATCGAATGGCCAGATTCCATGCTGGTTGGGCTGGAAAGGGCAAGATACTCACAGCATACGCTCATTCCACGATTGGAATGTCACCACTGAGCGTCCGACTGCTGCAAGGAACAGATGCAAGTGTAACCTGAATGTGGGATGGAAGGTCGGGAAGACTCCAATGCAGGTGACGTGGAGAATACCCCGAGAATTTACCGACCCGCTAACCCAATCCGGAATCACAGTTGGTCCACAGGTGTAAGTGGGTTCGGAAGTCAAAAGAGAAGTCACGCAAGATTGAGAAAAAAGCGCGCGTATTTGAAGTACTTGAATTTCAGCTGTAAAACTTCTAGGTACTCCACATTCATAGCTAGCTAGCTGCTGCACATGGATCCCTCTGTCAACGCCATCGCTATGATCGTTACAACGAAAGCCCTCTGACAAAATGATGCAAAATCTGGTATGTAACCGTGTCAACATGCGTAAAAATCAGTTCCTCCGAATAGATGAAAATGTAGGCCGCTCCGTGACCCCCAGATGCAGTACACTGGGCCGGTATGCAATAAATGAAAAGTCGAAGTCCATGACCGTAGTTGTGGAAATCCAGTTCTAGTGTACAGCCTCCCCAAGAAAGCCAAATTCGCTAACCATTTCCTCAAGCAGACCAATCGAGGAGCCTCTCTCAGAGAGCGGCGCCACCGCTGGTAGTGAGAAGGTGCTAGTTATCTTGCTTTCCGAATCCTTGCCCAACTCAGGGACAATGAGAGGGATGTGAATACCGGAGTATCCATAGCGTCGACGTCGTTTGGGGTCTGAGTCGTCGTTTGGTTGGTCGTCCGCCATATCTGTGACAGCCAGCTCGGGGATGTTGAGGAAAGGGATTTCACTGGCGTCAACGGGGTCCGGTGAGGTAGGTTCTCTTTCGCTGTCTTGATGGGACATTTCGAGAGTAGGAGAATTACTGGCATATTCCAGCTGTTTGTCGGTCGTAAAGGTGTGTGGTTGATGTTGCGGTGAGTCTGAAGGGGTCGAGTTGATCGTAAACGAGCTCGACGCGGGAGAAGCTTCCGCGCTCCTATCTGAACTTGTATCACTTCTTGCATCAGAATCCATACCCTCCTGAGATAGATCGGTTTCCCTTGAATGCACAGTCGGTAGATGTGAAACAGACTGTTGAGAGTCTGCGTCTTCACTCTCGCCTCGCAGCACAGGACTAGGACCGGCTGAGTTACAGGCGAACAAAGGAGCTGGGACTAGATATCTTGGTAGAGCGGGGAGTTCCTTATCTAGTGGCGTTGTGGCCTTCAAGTTTCTGGTTCCATCTAGGTCACGTCGTGACGGAGGGCGCTCGACTGCAGTGCTCGAAGGAGGGGTGATGGTTAAAGCTGGTCGTCGGAGCACTGGGGCAGGCACGCCGTCGAGCTCCACAGGGGCAAACCCTTGGGCCGGCACCTTGGGAGAACTGATCCAGGGTTGGTTGGAGAAGATATGATAATGCCTTGTTCGTCTAGTGTCAGCCGAGTTTGCTCGTTCTCGACGCAGCTTGACGTCAACAACTGAAACATTGATGGGATGGCTCTGAGAACGACGTCTGGTGGATGAACCCTCCTCACTTGCACCGTGCCGGTCGGGGGGAGTGTCCTTCACAGGGTCGACGGGATGTGAACCCAAAGGAGAGAATTCCTTGAGTCGATTTGCAACCTGTTCCGGTGATGACAAAGCAGCCGAAGCGTTTCGGGTGGGTAAAGGCACCAAGGCCATGTCTTCTGCAGTTGTACTTATGAGAACAGGTGCTCCAATTTGAAGCTCTTTTGCATGTCGCGGCTGTGCATGTGGTATTGACCCCTTATGATTGATGACTTTCTGTTTCAAGGTCCTCAAGTCGATGAAACTTGAGGCATTGCCCAGAAGAGGAGAAGTCGAAGCACTCTTCGATCGTTGATTCAGTGAATATGTGATTGAAGGCGCCGAGCCTGGATACGTTGCGGACCGCGGAGTGTCATCTGTGAGCGTGGGAGCCGTATATGGCAGTATGCAGAGATCCCCGAGCCGGGGATATACAAAAGGCTTTGGGGGCACTGGAGTTAAATATCTGTCGGCAGGATTGCGAGTGAACACATCAGAGGACTGGGAACGGCTTTGACTTCCGGACTCCATCGGCACCTCGAGGATGTTCAGACGTTGACCAGGGAGCAAAGGACAGAGAGTTGTAGACGGCTGGCAAGGGTTGTGAAGTTCCTCGAAGTCGTTGATTCTGTACTAAAAGGGTCAATACAACATCTCTCCTCTTCGCACTAGGTGTGTAAGAACTTACGTAGTACCAATATGTACCTCCAACCTTCAGAGCACCGTCTCTTCTTGGGCCGAGGTTGCCAGGGTCTCCGTCGCAGAGGATGTCTCGAAACGTGAAGCAACCGGCCCAGAGTCCTGGTCCCCTTTTTTTATCTTGCGTCAAAGAGTATGGCCTTTGAAAGTTGTCCCAAGAACCCAGCAGCTCCACGGATCGTGCCGGAACCGGACAATCACTGCGATGAGGAATGAGCCACGAATGCTCATATAGTGAGGTCTCGAGGGAGGACGTACAATAAGAAAGCGACAAGAGCGGTAGCCATGGCCAACAATCCCAAGAAGCCTTGAAACGTGGTGGACAATTAGATGCTGAGCCGCACTGCCTCTGATCCCGGCATCTACCAATCGTTGTACATGTTTCTCCGAAGATTTGTGTCACGGACTGCGTCCCATGTTGATTCTGAGGCAGTCTCGGCGTTTGTTTGGGGATGCCGTTCACAGGGTCGGCGGGCTATAAGTATTTCTGGAGTGTCGATTATGGTGCAACTGGACAGCGTATGAAACGGACAGGGATGTGGAGGGCTCAGCAATGCGCTTCTGCTAGAGATTTTTATGTTGAAGCACTTTGAACGGCGTGTAGGCGGCAATGTGGGAGCGTCCAATTGGTCACATCATCGGGGAGAATGTTGGTGTGGGAGGATGAGGACAAGGCGCTTAATGCAGGCGCTTGAGAGCCAGAATGAGTCCTAAGTGAAACAGAGATATTGAAACATGAGCAAAAGGGGCGCTTTTCAACAACAAGAACAGCGGAAGGCAGAGGAGGAACTGGAAAGAAATGAAAGATGGAGGTGGATCGTAATCTTGAATGGGACCGTCCGGAAGCGGCGCCGTTCGGGCTGCTCGCCATGGCGCCGTCCTCGACCAGAACCGACCAGCTGCCAACGGCCCACGAGGCTTGCAAAAGAGGAAAGAGAATTGGAGAGCGCTAGGCCTGGGAGTTGCATCGTTCGCCGAATCATGAATCGTTGATGGGCTGTCGGTTGGCGCAGCCGCCGCGGGCTGCTTTTGTCATTTCTTCCCTCGTGGAGCCGTCGCTTTTCTCAATGGTCCGATTCAGCTGCTCATTAAACTTGTTTTAGCGCGCTGCTGCGAATCATCATCAATCAACTCTAGCACGCGTCTTCTACACAGAACAGACGCATGGCGAGGAAGAAGTCGCTTCACGGCGCTGTCGAGGGGTTGTTGTTGAGAGGAGGATTACAGGCTCGATTGCCACGAAAGGCTCCAAGCTGAACCATCCCGTGTATGCCCCTGTGTCCCCATATGCAACAACAACAGAACTCGACTGCACCCACTATCAGCCACTCCTAGATGATCGACAACGAATGCTCTCATCATTGCTGGGGCCCCATATCGACCGGATCTTTACGCGCGACAGCGTGGCCATCCCCTGCACGTGGCAGCACGATCCACGCGCGAAGTCCGAAACGATGCGGGACGATACGGCAACAGGGCTGACTTCCACTCTAGCATAGAAATCTGAACCGTGAATCTCTGATACTGTATGACATGGGATGCCCATAATGCTTTCGTTTGGATGATGGATTCTGATGGTGTGCTGGCGTTTCAACGGGACTGATGAGGATGAAACTCCAACACAAGCGCGCCGAGGCTGTGCACGTCCCAAGGACGTGCTGGCGTCAACCAAGGAGCCCGCGTTTTGCCAGCACGTGTGACGTCTTTACACTTTTCCGAATCAAGGGCCAATAATGAAGCTGTGACTACATGAAAGACTACAGGCGCGCTAAGTTCTACATAACACTCATATCATTCCAAACGGGACTTGCAACAACAGCTATCTTTGGTTATGGACCTGGTGTTTACGATCATTAAAACCGCATGTACATCTCAAGGCACTCGTTTGGAACACATAATGAGGTAGGGACACTAAGTATGTTCCGGCATGAATCAGGAGATCACTGCTATCGAAAGCTCCATATACATGATTAACCTAGTATCCCTGAGTTATATATGTTTCGAACCCACTCCTGTCCATTTCCAAGTCCCCCCAAACTCTCCCGCCGAGTCAAACTTCCAAGTTCCCTCAAAACTACTTCCCTCCGACTCAACCTACTGAAAGCTCGTTTTCAGGATACCCGGTTTCCTCGCCTCCAAATCCAATATCATCTGGCCAAACAAGCCGTTCGCCCACGAGAACCACTGCCTCGTCCACCGAGCAGCATCAAAGCTGTTCACGCTCTCGTGGATCAGGCCCAATCCATTCGTGGTACTGAGGATCTGTCTCAATTCAGAGATGATCTCATCATCATCGTCGCTTGTCAGAATTCGAACTATCGATGCCATCGGCCAAGCCATACCCAGTCCTGCATGTGGGCCGCCCACCGCGGTAATAGCGGACCCTCGCATGTAATACGGGTTGGACGCAGATAACACGAGTTTACGCGTATTCTTGTACACTTCAGGATCTACCGGGTAACCCATGAACGGCGCGGAAAGGAGAGAAGGGATGTTTGCATCGTCCATAATCGTTGACGAGCCAAATCCATCTACCTCGTAGGCATATACTTTGCCGAACTTGGGATGATTGACTGTTCCGTGCTCCTCGATGGCATCGTGTAGTGACTTCGACAGGGTGGACATCCGTTGAGCCAGAGCTGCTGCATTCGGTGCGTTTAGCTTGCCCATGATTTCTGCGGCTATCGCCAGATAGGAACTGAACATCATGTTGGCCGGTATGAACAGTTGATAAATGGTCGAGTCATCGCTGGGTCGGAAGAACGAGCGAATCAAACCTGTTCCATTTGCAACGGGGCTTCCGGTGCCGTCGTTTGCAACCGTTTCGGTCGCCCTGGTGGTTCGGCGGGTCCAGGTATACGGACTTCGCAACACGGCCCCATCCTCACCATATGTAGGTGTCTTCATGTCCTCCGCGACTTTCAGAACTGCTTCGATTGCCTGTACCCAGTGGAACTTCTCGAAGAATTGGTGGTCTCCAGTGGCTTGATAATAGTTTGCGGACACCTCCAGGAAAGCGGCGAGAGAGTCCAGCTCATACTTGCACTCGAAGACAAATTGAGGGTCATAGTTGGGCCATACATTATCATCCCCGTGGCTAGGGTTGGGAGCATTCTGTATCCCACTCTCGGCTGGCGGCTGGAAGGAGTTACAGTGTGGTGAAGTGAGCAAGTATCTGGCCTGGAGATTGATAACACCTCTGTACAGACTCGCGATCGAATTTGGATCAGTGCTGGCGTTCAGAAGTGGAAGGTAGCTCTGCATCTGGTTGGAAGAATCGCGTAGCCACATGGCGTTGATGTCTCCGGTGATGACGAAGGTCAGCTCTTCCTCCGGATTGCTCCCTGAGTAGCCTTTCCATTTGATGGCAGTGTCTAAGGTGTTGGGGTACGCGTTTTGGAAGAGTCGATAGAGGTCTGGGTCTCTAATGACAGCTTCCATCCGGGTGACGGTGTCTTCGACACGTGCGGACTTGAAGGTGCGGCATTCCTCAGACGGGCGTTGATAGGACAGACGGTATCTGCCCGAGCTTAGTGGTTCATGGACTTGTGAGGCGTATTGAGAGTAGTCAGGGCATTGTGCTGCAGCCAGTCCTGGAAGCAGTATTCCCCAGAAGATCGATCCTACCAAGGCAGAGAGTTTCGCCATTATGATCTTGATGAGGAAAGTTAAAGGTCAAAGAGAATACGAGAGAGGAGGGAAAAGAGTGTGAAGTTGAGAACATGTTGCAGGATAATAAGAGCAACGCTTTACGGCTGGATGCGGTAGCCGCAGAGCGGATGACCTTCACCGACTTGTCACCTTCCATATTGCTATACCCCGCTGCTGGATCAGGAACCCCGTGAACAAGATCAACTGTGCAAACTGCACACCCATACATTAGGAATCAAAGCAACTGGAGCTTGATCATAATATCCGACTGGTAATTGCGCAGGTCAGGAGAACAAGCTCGGATAGGCTGAAAGGAGCCTTCACCAACAGAGGACTTGGGAGTTCAGATGGAAGTCGAGATTGTTGAAGACTGTATGGTGGGCTCGCGTGGGTTCGGTGCAGGGGACTATCAGGCACGAGGCATTTCTGGTCGGGGGGATGCCAGATATTGCGGGGAATGCGGAGTGTGGTTACAGTATGGCACTGTGCCCTTTGCTGATAGGTAGCCGCCTATGACGACGCTGGTAAAGTCGGATATACTGTACATGCGAGTACGATCACTAGAACCGCTGCCATTATGTTTTGGAGCTTCTCTCACAACGGAGGGTGTGGAAGATAGACCATAACTGCGCTTGGGCAATGAATGTCGGGATCTTCGTCAGGGGTGGGCCTGACGTTTGCCTGTTTCGGGTATAGCCGTGTGTCTCACTTCCTTCGAGTGTCAACCTTTCTTCAACTTCAGATCATGGACTTCGTTCTCCAAATCGGTTCTTTGCCGCTCCTAGGTCGTTTCATTTACTGTATTATGGATCTGGGGATATCACATTTGCCTTGAGGACAATTGGCCTACATGGCCACCCCTACCTCCACATCTGTGCCGACCCGTCGGCCTCACCAGAAATCAAGGCTGGGATGTGCTACATGCAAGAAGCGACGGATAAAAGTCAGTAACTGGATAGGTCAATGCAGAATCAGGATTAATCATGTATGACTTACCTGTACCCAGTGCGATCAAACCCGTCCATCATGTCGAAACTGCGTCAAGCGTGGGCTTGAATGCTGTATTCAACCTGTCATTCCCAATGATCGCTCCCTAACAGATGTGAGCAAATATCTCGCCCAAGAGGGTCTGTCTCGAGTTCTGGTGCTCTCTAATCCGGCGTCTGGTCGCGACACACCAGCACCTTCTCCGTCGGCACCATCACTGTTGAATATCATTCTCCATGACGGCCTCCTCCAGGATGTCCCAGAAACTCTGCAGTCACGACTTCGTCACAGCTTGCACCACTTTTTTACTGCCACAAGTGCAACCCTTGCGGTTGACGGACCGAGTCAAGCCGCCTGGCCGGAGGCAATGCTACGACTTGCATCCGGATATCCTTTCATCATACACGGAGTCCTCGCCCTTGCCTCTCTGCATCTGTCTCGTTGCATGGTGGACGAAACAGAGAAGAAGACCCACTTCACTACTGCCACTGAACAGCTGAACAAAGGTCTAATCCAGTACCGAAAGGAAATTCAAAGTGTCAAGGAAACAAACGCCGAGGCGTTGTTTTGTTTCTCGACGATTGCTTCCTCGTGGGTCCCAGCTACAGTAGACGATGAAATACAGGGTCTACTGTGCGCCTGGAAACATTGCACGCACTCAGCTCAGCGTCAACAGGCTATCTCCGCAATGGCTTACGCCATGACCAAAGTCCTACGAATCTATCGAGGAGTCCTTATCATTTTGACTCCCCACTGGTATACTCTCAATCAAGGCGTGTTCGGACCCTTTATGAAAAAAGAGTGGGCCAAGGCCATTCCAGCGTCCGCAGTAGGAACAGAGACAGATGATAAACTCCGTGCTCTGGAATCCCTGTGGACAAATACCTCAACCTATCCGGACGCCTATAGTGAGATATTGAGCTCAGCGCTGGAAAAGCTGCGCGAATGCTTCGCCCTGGTTTCTCAACTCACCATGCAGACGCGTCACGCGGACGGTACTTACAGCACGAGCTTGGCTGACTGGACATCGGTTTTCGTCTGGATGACACAGCTGCCTTTGGAATTTTGCTCCCTGTTAGAACGTCAGGTCCCCGAGGCTTGGGTGATTTATGCTCACTATGCCATGCTCCCGGCCAAGGTCAAGGGCATCTGGTGGCTGGAAGCCATGCCCTCGAATATCGTCTCCACCGCCGCACTGGTTCTCGGTGAAGAGAATATGGACCTTCTCGACTGGCCGGCTCGCTGCGTTGGGGTTGAACTGGAGTCTTTCCGGAAGAGCCCACCTTGCAGCTATGGACCAAGCACGACTCTCGCAGTGACCGATTCAGTCTAGCACATTCACAGGAAATTTTCACGGAAGTCACTCAGCTGATGGAAAAATCAGTTAAAAGGAGATATTAGACATTATACAGTATCATATATCGTACAGACGATTCCTTGCACATATCCCGAACGGGTGCACGACCCAAATACGCATCGATCCCAACCGCTCCACCATTCAACCTTGATGTATATATCCCAACGACAACCGCGATGCGAACAATCTAGAAAACCGCGACAAGCAATCCAGAAATCCCCGACGAAACAGTCTAGAAACCACCACGAACAATTTACCTCCCGTAACGCTGATCTAATCTCGCCGACATCCAATACACACGGATACCATTGGTGAGGACGAACACGTCACCGGCGGACCCCGACACGACTCCACGATCAAACGGTTGCAGTCTCAGCGAGAATCGTTGTCGTCACCGCCGACAACCCACCACTCCTGGTAAACAGGGGGGGGAGTCGGTTCCCGGCTAAGCCAAAGAGGGATGTAGACATTCTCGGGCCGGCTGCAGAAACAGTTAGCAACGTTACTTCGGGCTGCAAAAGCGTCGACATACGTTAGGATTACGAATGTGGGAGGGGTTTCGACGTCAATGTGATCCTCGGTGGCGTCCTCGAAATTCCCACCTTGCCTGAGGTTGCGGACTTCCCGCTGGCGGTCCTCCTGCTCGATGGTCCTCGTAGGAGCCTTCCAGTGCTGGGACGTGGCCTGGCCGGCGCCGTTGGCCCTCATATTGCGGTACTCGGCGGCGATGTGGTCGGAGTTCGCCTCGCGCTCATCGTCTTCTTGCTCTTGCTTGAAGAGCTTGGGACGGACGAGGCGGCGGTAGCACTTGATGAGGAAGCAGATGAGTATTCCCGCGACGAAAACACCCACGATCGACAGGAAGCCGATCATATCATCACTGAGGGCGGGGTCCTAGAAAGATATCAGCATCAGCAAGGCGACGAGGCGACAGAGCAGCCTGGTATGGCGGCGTTGTGTATGTGCTGGGTCACGTCGCCATACCAGGACGTTGATGGAATGGGGTGTACTTACCACTACGTGCTCTTCAGGCACGGAATAATAGTGCACTGGGTCAAATGGAAGAGGTGCCATGTTGACGAGGCTTTTTGAGAGTGGATATGGAGATGATTTCGGTGTGTTTGTGGATGAAATTAGCAGTGGTGGTGGTCGTCTGGATGTGAAAAGTGTGGTGGAGGAGAGAAGAAGATTCTGGCGGAGAAGACGGCTTTTAAAGCAGAAATGTCTGGGCGTATGTCAGGTTGATGTCGGAGGACATGATGAGACCGAGACTCTCCCGCGGACGGCATAGACTCAAGATATGACCACCGTCAAACCCGCATTTTCAAGGGCAATATCGCAAATACCAACAAGAGCAAGCTTGCTTATAATTATCTTCAACTCTCAAAAAGCGCAGTTGTGAAGCCCCAGACGCTGCGTCGTCACTCAACATGGATCGTGGATTACCTGATTCGGACTAGCGCCCTTTCAATCCATCGCGTCTATTCTATGAATTTGATGCACGCCGACCGAAGCTAAACACCTTTCATGGTACGCTTTGGGGAATTTGATGCATGACGACGGTGACAGTATGCATACGGAGGGCATTCGATGGTATGAAGTCAGCAAAGACGTGTCGGGACGGCTTTTGTGGCTCTGGTTGGGGAGGATTGAGTAGGCTATATGTATTTATCACTGCATGGCTTGCGGTTACGGTGATATGTGCACAGGGACGAGCTTTGCCAGGAGCGGGAGAGACGGACAAAGACTCTCAATAAGATACATCAAGGTATCCTGATGCGTACCTAGGTATTTTGACGTAAAAGCTGTCTATCTCTGCTAACTAGCTAGCTCGCTCGCTCGCTCCCTGTGAACTCTTCATCGGCCCCAGAGTTGTCACACCGCACATCCGTGAAACACCCAAGCAACTCACTTAAGCGATCTCGTAAACGTCTGCAACAGACTTGACGTCTTTGGAGAAGTTGATCTCCTGATTCATGGAAAGGAGGGTGACAGCGGATACCTGGATGAGCGTCAGTACAAAGGAGGTCGACACCAAGAACAACAGGAACACTCACGCTAACGTCAACAAAAGGTTTTGTTTTGCTGAAGTGGACCCTCATGGGGAAGAATTCCGCCTCGTTGTCGGCCTGGGCTTCAAACTCGAAGCTACCGGAACTGTTCTCCTCGTCCACAGTGCCGATGTTCCATTCCAAGCTGTCGCCGCTCACTTCATATACAGCGTCAAACGAGGAGACGTTCGGCTCATCGGTGCTGAAGGGGATCGTCACAGACACGTCCTTCAAGGTATCGCCACCAGTAAGCTCATACTCGACGGTGATGTTGAACATCTTGCCGGATCCCTCGACCCAGACCCTGAAGGTAATGGGAGGATCGGAAATGTCGTCCGCTTTGGGGGCAAGCTTCCACTTCATCACGCCAATGCCCATATTGGAGGGAAAGCCCTTGGTAGTGTCTGCGAGTTGAATGGACTTGCTGTTCCGGAAAGCGGTTTTATCGACCTTGGGGTGGGTGATGAGCTGAGCGCCACGAGTCTCGCCGGCGTGTAAATCAAGCTTGACTTGCGTGAAAGCCGGGTCTGAGATTTTGAGTTGTAACTCGCCCTTGACTTCAAACGTCTTGAGGAGCCCCTCACGGTCCAGGCGCGCTGATATGTGCTCCGAGGTCGTAATATGCACAGCTTCACGGTCCGACGAGAGGGACTGACGTGCGCTTGCGGGAGCAGGGTGAGCGCTCGCTTTCGGTGAGGAAACAAGCGGCTCGGCTTCGACGGGAAGATCGCCAGCGACTTGTTCGAATATATTGGTGGTCTTGCTCTTCTTCCCGAGTTGCATGCCCTTCTTACCCAGGGCCAACGGCTTGCTAGCCGTCTTCTTCGCCGCTTCGTACGAATCGTATGTATCAGGAACAGTGGTAGGAACACTTGGTGTGAAGGTAGGATATTGCGGTGTACGCATCGACCCACCGCCCATACCACCGCCGACTCGCGCGGACCTTGACATCTCCTTGCGTTGCATCTCGAGCTGCTTGGCCTTTCGCTTGCGCTCTTCGGAAGCTTCCAACTCCTTGTTTCGAGCGATTATTTCCTGAATGCGCTCCTCATGCGACTCCATGTCCAAGAAAGTCTTGATCTGGCTCAGCGTCAAGTTCTCCCTGTAACCCAGCGTCACAATCTCATCGAAGGCCGTCAGCAGCTCGAATGCATTCTTGAGAATCTCCCTCTCGTCCAAAGACTTGCATATCGACGATACGACCTGAGCGAACAAGTGGAGCGAATTGATGTCTTGTAGGATGTTGGATTGTAGGTTGGTGATCAGCACCATATAGAGCTCGTCCAGGGGCTGGTAAACATAGCGAACGTTGTCCTGCTCGCAGGTAGTATGCTGGGTACCACTGTCGGCGAGCTTGGGAAAAGAGGCAAGGAGGGCTTCGATCCGCGAACGCTGCATTTCACGGAACTGCCGGGAGAGAACGGCCTTTCCGCCTCTCGTGCATATTGAAGCTGCTAGAACGACCTAAGGGGAATCAGATACTGTTGCCAGGCGTGCGCAAGCTCGCAAAGGGCCAATGCTCCTACCATTGTTCCAATGATTGACTGCCAAAGGACACTAGGAGTTTTGCGTGTCAACTTCGAGCCCGCGGGCAGCCGTCTGCGTGGATTGGGAGTGGAGAGTCGGTGGTGGTCGAGGAGCGTGGGGATGAGACTTCGGAGCTTGCGGACGACCCACACCAGATTATGTCCCTGGAATCGTGTTGGGGGGGGGGGGGGGGGTAGGCAGAGATCTGAAGGGGTTTGCAGAAGTATCTCTTCCGCTGTTCAGACCAAAGTGTATGGATGCGAGCTCCTCCCCACCAACATCCATCGAAGTTCCAAGGTTGTCAGCGATGTGTCCAAACGGCATCACGTGATTGCCAAGGCTGCCTGGCCAATTTGGCCAGGGTCCATCGATTGTTCCTCTCCCTCCACTCCTATTACTTTTCTACACCAGACAACCACCACAACGCAGCGACTCCACGCTTCCCGAAACGCTTTCTTCGCGGTGTAGCTTCTTGTTCCCTTTTCGCTACAGCACAAGAGGACGTTTCTTCTGGTCCCACACAATTTCCCACGCTCTCTGTCGCCCTTAAGAGCAGTTCGAGCTGTAGCTTGGCAGCGCTTCTCCTTTGTTCGCTGCCCGCGACCGTCCTCTACCCGCCGCTTACTGCGAATACGCTCACCACCGAGTTTCTCTACACATACCCGCCCACCGCGATGCGATCTGTGTGCTTTGTTTAGCTTCTCGAACAGTCAGATAGCGAACGACCCGCAGGCACAACTGCCCCGCTCTCGCGCTCGCCACGCGAAACAGTGACGCGTTTAGAAGGCGCCTTTTCCCTCCTTTCACTCACCACACCGTATTTCCGTATCGGACGCCGACACTAGGAGCACCGCTGTCACCTCGCAATCCATCTACAACATGGCGGCAGCTGCGCCGCCTCTCTCTGGCAACAGCGTTCCCCTCTCCAGCGATAATGTTTCTTTCGCAGATACCATGGACGTTCACACTGATCACCGTGTTGATGGCGACGGGAACATGAACGTCGATACCAGCTCGGAGCGTGCTCTGGACCGGCGAGACGATGACGACTTATCCCTCCAAGATGCTGGGACAGATGGTGACGCCGACATCCGTACCGCCACAGAAGACCAAGATGATTATATGGTTGATAATGATGACCTTATTGACTATGACGATGCCGATTATGATCTAGTCTTAGAAGACGCGGGCGACGCTTCTGTCGGGAGCCTCGCCGACGCACAAGATGAGGCAACAGTCCCAGTCAACCTAGCAAATTCCGCGGACGCCCCAGGCACTGTCTTCGACGAGGATCTCATAGACTATTCGGATGATGAAGATCAGCCGCAAGAGTCATTTGAAGCTGTTGCGAATGTTGAAGTATCAGAACAGCAGCATGTCAGTGCTGTCCAACCCCCGAGTCCTCCACATGTACCCGCAGATGACCTTCACAATGACTCCACAGCAGATGAAGGCGCGGACAATGCAGCAGATGTGTATGCGGATGAGGGCGAGGGGGCAGCTCACCAGGAATGGCCTCAGACTTGGGGCCAGGGTGAGGAAGAACAATGGGACCAGCCGCAGACCGATGCTACTTATGCTGAAACCGCACAAGCGGATGAAGACGAAGGTCAGGCTGAGGAGCAGCAACAACAGGGTGGCCTGTCCGGTGATTCGCATGAGCCCAGCGCTGTTGCACAAAATCATGAAGTTGATAAAGACCCAAACACAGATGTGGATACCACCGAAGACGGCAAGGATGCGAACGCACGCTTCCCGCCACAGGGACCTCAAGACGAAACAGTGGACCCATCCTATTCCGAAGCTGACAATGTTGACGCTGGACCTACACTTCAAAGCGGCGCTCTCTACCCTGTAACCGTCAATTACAACGGGGCCGAATCATGGTTGTTCAAGCCTCGGGATTTCGATACTGATGATTGGCTTCTGGAAGACGAATCTATTGCTAACGAACCCTTTCTATACCTCATTCATGCATGCAGAGCCAAGCTGAATGACCAGCTGGGTAATGAGACAGAATTAGGACTACGATTCGATAGCTTCCAGGGTTTGGAATTGTACGAAGATTGTACAGCCTGTGCCTACTCGACCTTGAACGAGTTCCTCGACATCTACACTACCTTGCACTCCCAGGATGACCAGACCGACCCTGAACCTTTCTATGTCACACTGCAATTCCGCCCACGGGTCTCGGCTCTTGTCAGCGACCTCAAAAAAGCCGTCCAAGAAGGCATTGGCTTTTCAGGACTGCGTCGAGCCATTGATGCAGGCCTCAACCATTTCAGTATGTTGTCGTCTGGCAACTATGTTGATGAATACAATGAGCAGTGGGAGGAAGAAGGCGAAGGCGAAGTCGAGCACGAAGAATATCATGCCAGCGAAGGTGAACACGAGGAACAATATACTGGCGAAGGCGAACAGAAAGATCGGTATGCGGGCGCGGACGAGCAGGAAGATCAGTATGCAGGCGCAGACAAAGAGGAAGATCAATATGAAGCTGAAGGCGAAGGCGAAGGCGCATACGAACAGGAGGATGAAGTCTATGGCCAAGAGGGAGTGGCATTAGAAGAAGATTTCGAAGGTGCTGAGAGGACAGGCCAGGTTCCCGAACAAGGCAATGGAGAACCCAGCCATGATTTAGTAGAAGCGGAAGATGCGGATGCAGACCAGCTCCCTCAGCAACCCGCAACCCATGGTACCGACGCTGATGTAATTCAAAAGGAAGAGACGCCCTCGAAAGCGTCTGCGAACGCTACGCCGGGTCCCCTGGCTACCAGCCGTACCCCAGAGACGACAGCTCACTATGATCAAGCAGACGACGACTACATTGATTACAGTGATGATGAGGAGGAAGATGTGAAACAGAGTGATCGTCGTTCAGCTCGCGAAACCTCCTCTACTTCAGCTACCCTCCGCGGAGATGAACCGTCTGATGGTGAGAGGTCTACTAATCTATTGGAGCCCAATACAGAGGATGGACACCAAGATCTGCCGCACACGGGTGATGAGGGGGTCCAAAGTACGACAGTTCACGCTGAGGAAGCCTTCCCTGCCGAGTATGAAGATGTCGAGCAAGGTGACCAAGCCGACTCGGAGTTTGTACAGCCTGATAATGGCGAGGAAGAGTTTGAAGAAGGCTTCGAAGAGGAAGACGAGTATAATGCCTTCGACTTCGAGGAAGACGAACACGGTGGTGCAGAGAGCACATATGCCGACGGGCAGAGCTACCCCAGCGATCAAGGAGAAGGCGAAGCTGGGCAGCCCTACGGCACATTCCAGCAAGCTGTCGCGAACGAGGATGAGACTGACTTCAACGACGTCGACGATGAGTTTGGTGCTGAACAAACCGATCAGCCTGTGGTACAGCCAGGCAGAGTCGACGATGAGTTCGACCTCGACTTCGATGATCAAACGGCCATGACCGAGCCAGTGGAAGTTATTGCGACCGTGGCAGCGCTGTCCAAAGCCGCTCCATCCGCTGGACTTAATGACCTTGGTTCACCTCAAGGACAGAAAAGGCCATTGGATGAAGTTGATGGCGGCCTTGATGGTGCCGGCGATCCAACGGGTGAGTACACTGCTTGATCGAATCGCCGAGGCTTTCATGCTAACTGGACATGTAGACGCAAAGAAGATGAAAGTGTAAATATCGCCCGCCTCTGAAGACTTACGCCATCTACACTAACCATAGAGATGATTTCCCGGAGTACGGTTATGATGAAACCGATTTCTACTACTATCTTAGCGAAGACGCGCACGAAAAATGATACCCATATTAGGGTGTCTTCGACGCGGATGCAGGAGATCCCATGACTGCTAAAGACTAACCACAGGTTCCGGGTACGCCTAGGGCGTTCCATGTTCACTTACAAAACAGTGTGCATTGCCTCTGAATCGAGGTTTGACTTGCAATGCTTGGGTGACCTCAAGAAGCTCAAGGTATGTTTGCGTTGCCGTGCTTTGCGTCCCCCCACCGTGCCATGGTGGGGTTTCACTTGTCAAATTCTGTATACTTTCTACTCCGCGGCGTACCGGAAACGACTTCTCGACGGATGGATTCGGCGTTGGTGGCCAAGAGGGTCTGTTCTTTACCAGGGCGGTTTATCTGGATGTCGACATTTGGGTGAAGGACGAGCGAGGGAAGGAATGGGTATGGAGGATTGCACCCTGGCATATGGAATCGGCTGTCTACTACTTTCTCGGATCTGCATACCCACCAACTCCAGCATCAAGTGGGCGTTATTGGGTATATCCATGGACGGTCTCCGTTTCTGTTTCTGTTTCCTCTCTTGGCAAATCAGTGGAGGAGGAGAAGGGATACCTCGTTCTGTGGTAACAGCTCTGTCTGCTATGCGACGTCCCCCACTGTTCCATAATCGGCTCTGCCATAATAAAAGCCGCTAATACCTTTCACCAAGTCAAAAGTACTCTTCGTAGGATCTAGGATTCTGAACATGATGGGAAGAGGGTTACGTGGTGAGGCTGGCTGTGCTGCTTGGCTTTGCCACAGACCACCGAAACAGATCAGATAATTAGAGCAGGGCCCTCAATGTGCCCCTGCATCTCCCGAGGATCAGATGGTCAGCGGTTCTGTCGCCGGTAGCGTTTTGAGACCATGTCTGCGACTTCTCTTCCCTGAACCTCTTCTTCACCGTGAGCGCCTCAACTTGCCCTCCCTAGTTGTCCCTCCCTTGTGGCTATCGCTCGCTGTCGCCTCCGCATTACCTTCGGCTGGCGCACCCACCACTCGTTCCACAGCGTTGCTCCACCCTTGCGCCACCTTTGAGGACTCCGTCACCCAGCTTTTGGTGAAACACGTATCGATTCTGCGCCCTCCACCGTTGCCATTGCGCGCAACACCATCCATAGTCGCCGCTTCCCAGCTTGATTGCTGCTCACGACTTGCATCGTCGCGCCCGTCCACCGTCGCTCTCGGTCGCTCTCCGGCGTCCGCCATCCCACGTCGGGCCTGGCCCTATCGATAGACCACAACCGCTCCGATCCTCAGTGGCACCCTTACATACCTCCACCCTTCTCGACCGCAACTCAACCCGCCATCCTATTTTTCCCGACCGTAGCTACGGCGAAGAACACTGGTCAGCTGGTCCCTCAGACCCTCTGGCGGCAGAATGGAAGAGAAGTGCGCTGAAGCACCCGTTGTTGTGCGCATTGCAGTAACTCACAAGTGGGCAGATATATTGGCCTCCTCCTGGCCGTATCCTCCTCACTTGCTATAGGTATGCCTTTCTGCGCTAGTTACCCAAGTGTTTGTACTAACAGAGACATCCTAGGCACAAGTTTTGTTATCACGAAGAAGGTTCGTTCGTCTGGGCCGCCGCCTCCCGCTTTCCCGCTATACGAACGCTTCGCATCGAGTCGCATTGCTGATCATAGGCCGTATAGGGGCTGAATGCTACTGCTGAAAAGCATGGGTTCGACGGAGACGGCTTTTCATATCTGCGGAATCCCACCTGGTGGGCTGGAATCTTGACAAGTATGCTTTGGCATGGGATAGTGACACAACAACGCTGACTAGCGGTAGTGGTTCTGGGCGAGATATTCAACTTCGCGGCATACGCCTTTGCGCCAGCAATTCTTGTCACTCCGCTCGGCGCACTATCGGTGCTTATTGGGTAAGTGCCGGTGTTGCTCCAGCGCATGGCCTGCTAACATGAGAGATTAGAGCAATCCTTGGTACCTACTTTCTAGGTGAGACATTGGGACTACTAGGAAAGATCGGCTGCGCCATATGTCTTATCGGATCGGTTATCATCGTTCTACATGCGCCGCCCGACAGAGAGGTCTCTTCGGTGGACGAGATATTGAATTTCGCGATCCAGCCCGGTAGGTCATCACAGTTCCGTAGAGCTCTGCTCGATGCGGGCGCTGTGCTTACACCATACATCAGGCTTCCTTTTTTACTGCGCCTTCGTAGCTGTTTTCTCCGTTCTCATGATCTACAAGGTCTCCCCCAAATATGGCCGCAAGAACCCGCTCGTCTACCTCTCCATTTGCTCTACCACCGGCTCTGTCTCGATCATGGCTATCAAGGCTTTCGGGACTGCGTTAAAGATGACCTTCAATGGCCAGAACCAGTTTACCCACCCTTCGACCTATGTCTTCGTCATTATGATTGTTGGATGCATACTCACGCAAATGAACTACTTCAATAAAGCCCTCAGCCAATTCTCCACGAACATGTACGTCAAGTGTCAGTTTGTACTTCACTGTTCCGCTAACATGTACCAGCGTGAATCCACTCTATTACGTCACGTTCACCACCTGCACACTCATCGCGTCGTTTCTTCTTTTCCAAGGCTTCAACACAACATCTGCGGTCAACACGATTTCCCTCCTTTGCGGGTTCCTGATCATCTTTTCCGGTGTCTACCTTCTAAATCTCTCCCGAGAAGATCCTGATGGAAGGAATGCTCTGGGAAATCGCTTCTCCGACGCTGTGCCCACAGACGCCATCTCCGGGTTCCCGACTCGGCGGAGTATGCAAGCGAGGAGAAGTGCGGAAAACGGATATAGGAGTCCATTTCTGAGTGGAAGCCGGCGAGGCAGCACTAGCGACCGGAGAGCCTTGATGCAAGACTACGACATTGAGAACCAGGTCGAACTCGGCGACCTGGCGGAAGACTCGGACGAAGGCTCTTCTAGTGGCAAGCGTACGAGCTTCGATGAGGGAGCCCGGTCTCAGAATGGCCGCCCTAAGAGCGGAACTGTAAAAGTGAAGAGCCAGAGAGTATTGTCGAATGACTGAGCTCCTCTCGACGGATATCTACGTCCCCTTTCTCAATTTCTTCACGGAGCGTCGCAACTCGCGTTTGTACATACAGCATCTTATCTGGCGAAGAGTAGACCGCGCGGCTGGCTGGGCGGTTCGGTGTCGTCATCCTGGGTTCTCCGTCTCCGTTGCAGACGTGAGCTTTCGATATGCATAGGGTATTTTGTCGGGTTGGCTATCCGAGGGCGGGTTCACGGCGTTAAGAGGGTCTCACGTCTTTCCTGCAGTTGGAGGACGCGCTCTGGTTGAACAGGTACCCCTGGGTGCAAAAGGAACGTTTTGTATTTGTAACTTGGGAGGGACACATTACTTGCGGGGTTGCGACGCCGCTACGATGGAATTTCATTTGATTCAGTCCGCCATTTAGTGGGAATCTCTGTCTATTCGGACGTGCGCTGAGATTTGGCCTTTCGTCGCCTTGGAGTACATGAAGGGCAATACAAGTGACTGCACTGGATGTACGATCAGTCGAGCCTGATGAAGGGATCATTGATGTCAACTGGTGAGATGTTCACTCACTGGAACCGTCAACATGGACAGAGCGTATCCATCTCTTGACTGGGCAATCTAGGCATCATTTTAATAAATAATTCTACCTACCTACAGCTGCCCAGTTCCGACCAAAGTTGCCCACCTGGGCAACTCCACGTCCACAGGCACGTGACTTCGTGCCCACGCTAATCGTTTTAGGTTTGTGGCGCGTCACGACCTTCACTACTTTCAGGACATACTTATCAACACTGGCGGGGACGAGACGGGGGAGCCTCAATACAGAACTCGCCAATATGGAGTCTATCAAGGGGCCCAAACTGCTCAAGCAGGCTGAAAAAGTTCTGCTACGGCCAATCCACCCGCATCTGCTATCCTACTGCCCCACGATGGATTTGATCGCGGTGGTGACGGACGAGGAAAACTTGGACGTCTACAGAATCAACGGGCAGCGAGCTTTTGGCCTCAAGAGGAAGAAGAAGAATGTTACGGTGGATTCTATCTGCTGGGAGTTCAATGGCCAGGCTCTTGCCGTTGCTTGGAGTGATGGCCTCACGGATATCCTTTCTGCGGAGACGGGGAAGGTGATCCATCCGAATGTACCTGCGCCGCCGGTTGGGGAGGAGGCTCCTAGGATCAGGTGTATTGGTTGGGGACTGAATTTTATCAATGTTGAGTCGGTGAAGAGGAGGACGGGTTTGCGACAACAGAAGGGAGATCCGAAGGGCAGACCAACTGTGACGTTTGCGGCAGAGACGACGGACGATTGGGACACCCATCGAGACGACACGACGATTGAAGATTTCCTGCAGAGACAACCAGATCTGCAAAAACTGGATATCGACCCTGACCTACCGGACCAGTTGGCCATGATGGATATGGAGGCATTGCTTCCTAGACTGCCAGCCATCCCGCTCCCGCCTGCTAACCCCTTCATGCGGGCTGGAGCGCAAGCAGATGCTGGCGGATTCAGCTCACAGGCACAAGTGGATTCACTATTGCACTCGCAGCACCTCAAAGATCATAATTCAGTCGATATGCTTATCCGCTGTACCGATTCCGGCACCGTCCACCCCTCCATCTACGACTCCCTGGAAACAATAAACATCCAGCTCCCCTCCAGCTGGTCCCTCAAAAGCAGCAAAGCCCTTCTCCACGCCTCTCACCCCTACAGCAACAGTCACGTGCTCCTCACGGAAATCGTAACTGATACCAGCGACACCAGACTCGCCTTCGTTCCACTGACACTCGGCTTCATCCCCTCGGCAGGTATCTACCTCCACATCATCTCCTCGAAAGCCTCCCAATTGCAAAATCTCCTGCTGTATATCCAGCAGACGCTCTCACGGATCCAAACATGGTGGCAGCACTCCATGGACCTCCCCTCGAAATTCATGCGCAACATCTCCGAGACGCTGCAGGGGAAAGGCCAAGGCACCCTCGTGGAGAACTTCTACCATTCCGTCTGCACCGGACACTGGTATCCCGTTGTTCGCGAATGGCTCCTGGATGAATTGGGAGAGGCCGGATGGAAGCGCTGGGATACCACGGTAAAATCATCCCTCACCACGGTGATCCAGCTCCTCCAGGAGAATTTCCTGCCAGCGCTAGATCGCTGCAGCATCATTCTCTCGCGCCTCCGCGGCTTAGCTCGCTACCACGATACCGACAGCTCAGGCGACGTCGTAGGTTCTGAATCGAGTTCGGACGGTGGGTGGATTTTTAACACCCCGGTCCGAGACTTCACCTCGCTCCTCGAGCAGATCCAGAACTTGCGGTTTCTAGGGCATACGGCGATGAAGTACGCTACCGAGGAGAAACGCGGGTGGTACTACATGTCTCGGTGGCTGCGGTATGCGATTGAGATTGAAGGCATGGAGCCGGGGAGTCAGACGAGGATGGAGTGGGATAATAAGGATCCCGCGATTGATGTGGAAATGGTGTTGGAGTATATCCAATTTTCGCTCCAGAGGAGCGATTTAGAGCCGCTGCTGAAGGGGGCGGGGACGCTGGATGAGGAGGTCCAAAAGAGGGGGATGACTGGGTATGAAGAGACGGTCAAGGCGGTAGAGGGGATCAGGCAGGGGGCAGGGTTCGGGGCGCAGAGTGTGTGTATGGAGTTTGTTTTGGGAGGAGTGAAAGAGGGGTGTAAAGCGTTGTTGGGGGGAATAAGTAAGTGGCAGAGGAGCAACGTGAGTATGGATTGTGGGATTGTGCTGGAGGATGTGGGGGACGACGGGAATGAGGGCGCGGTGATGGATATGCGCATGGTGTTTGAACTCGTAAGTCCGCCTTTTCCTTGACTCCCTCTTCTATAACACTTACACATGCACCTACTTTCTTCAGGCCAATGATCCCGCCAACACTGCTCGCTCATCCGCTGCTACAACCGCACAGTCCATCCGCAATCTCACGAACGGTCTATCCTCACTAACGCTCTCCAAGCCTACGCACTCGCCATCCTCGCAAACCGACTCTTCCGAACCCCCAGACGCGATAACAACGTATATCCTCCACCACCAACCCTCCTCCTCGACCACTTCCAATCAACCCCACCCACCACGACCACAACTCCACATCCACCGCCTCGCCCACTCCCCAAGCATAACCTCCCTCCCCGCCTCCGTCCACACCTACGCCATCTCCACCCTCGAATTCCCCACCGAACCAACTGTCAGCTGCCGAATCCTCGACGCCAAATTCGCAGACGATGTCGCGCTGCTCGTGTTACTCGAACTCAGCAAAGAAGACAAGAAAAAGTACCTCATTTTATCTCTGCCGTATACGCCTACGACGGCGGCGTTGCAAGCGCCGGGTCAGAAGCCGCAAGTGATACACTATTCGCCGCAGCTTTGTAATCCGTCCAACAACCACTCTTCTGGCGATGATGCGCTAAGGCAGCACGTTCTGCCCCACGGTACACCACTTCCTCCCTCCTCGCCTTGCCGTACTACCATCGCCGTATCATGGGAGGATATTCAAGCGCATACGCGGCACGTTTTCTCCCCCGGAGGCGGGAACGACGGTGGTGAGCAAGCTGAAGCTGAAGCTGAAGCTGAAGCTGAAGCAGGCAGAGAAAGAGGAGGAGGAGTAGAAGATGATTCTTTTGTCCCCATGAAGATGGAAGTTAATGGGCGGCAGGGGAGGAGAGTGGTGCTTGTGTTGGCGGAGGGCGGGAGGGGATGGAGGGTGCTGGATCTAGATTTTCTGGAGGGGGAGGCGGAGGTAGGCGAGAAGAAGGGGGTAGGAAGGTAGATAGGTAGGTGGGTAGGTGGAGGGAGAGAACCGACTAGGTTGGGTTTCATCCTAAGGTGAAACGAAAGAGGAGAAGAAGGGTGGATTCTTGCGTGGCGCAAAGATTATATACCCATTCGTATTTTTTGAGGGTATGCGGATCGAGAGGAGTGCGAAAGGCGAGACTCGGAGTAATTGGCACTGTGTGCGGCTCCGAGTAACATCATGACCAACGGCAAGGGACAAGAACACCTTGCGCAGGCTGGGATGCTGGACTGAGGAGGGAAGTTGGAACCCGTGGTCGGGCCCTCGACAAGGCCATTGTAATGTCCACGTGAAGCAAGCTGTATCCACTTCTTGCGGACAACAGAGCATACTTTCGAAGCCGCAACTCGTCTTGGGTGGGATCGTTCTAGCATACATTGGCCATAAGCGTACATATCCGGGCGATTACGGTCCGGATCTCAGACACACAATAGGTTCACCATTCTCCAAGACGCCTGTCTGTAGAGTACCATGCAAGTTTTCGATTGCATTCCCAAGGGCCCTACCATGCACCCAAGTAAGATGCCTATTTGTGTGTAGAAGTTCATAACGCCCCGCCATCCGCATAAAGAGTTATGAGAATCACCGGCTGCACGCTCGTTGTCGCCGGTTGCCACGGACCCCAGCACCACATCGCTATCCTTGTTCCCCGCACGTCTACTCCTTCGTCTTCTGCGTACCACGGAGCAGACCCGTCCTCCGCGCCGCAATGAGACCGGCTTTTTGACCCTGTGCCGCCTCCCTGGAGATGGTGGAGGCCTTGCCGATATGCTGGTGGTTACCACCACCGTGGGGATGGTCGACGGGGTTCATGGCCACACCGCGAGTCTTGGGCCAGCTGTTGCGCTTGGCAGCGAACTGAGATCTGGTCAGCCGTCTGGTCCACCTGGAAACGGTTCCAGGTCATTTACCTTATGCTTGGCACGCGAAGCCTTGAGGAGAGGCTTGTCTGTACGTCCACCTCCTGCAACGATTCCGACCATACCACGGGCAGTGCTGGGGAGGACCTTCTTCGCACCGGAAGGGAGCTTGACACGGGTCTTGCCCTCGTCCGGGTTGTGGCCGATGACGGTAACGTAGTTGCCGGAGGTACGGCCGAGCGCACCACGGTCACCAGACTTGTCCTCGACGTTGGTAAGGACGGTACCTTCGGGTACGGAGGCGAGGGGGAGGATGTTGCCAATGGTCAGAGCGGCGTGCTTTCCGGCATAGATGAACTTGGACTCGTCAGTCTGCATGTCCAGGTGCCCTAGATATTCCGAAACGAACCTGGCCGGTGTACATGCCCTCGTTGGCAATGAAGGTCTCGGTGTCGTGCTTGAACCGGTAGGGCTACAATCTCGTGAGCAATTGGTAGTAAGCGGTCTGCGGTGGAGAGTTTCGTACGTTGCGGAAGACGACCTTCGCCAGAGGAGCACCTATTCATTTCGTCAGCCCAGGTTCAATATGAGAAATTAGAGATGATTGCGGAAGTACGTACCACGGCCGGAGTCGTGGACAATCTCCTTTACAACGCCGCGAATGTAGCCATTGCGCTCAGCCTATGCCAATCAGCCTTCCATCCTCTCTGCCTCAAGGTCTTCGCAGTCGGCGGACGTACGTAGTCGAGGGTACGGAACTGGGCGGGGGCCTTGTTCAAGCGGGTGTTGGCCGTGAAGATGGAGCCGCGACCTTTACGCTGGTTCCTGATAACGCGACCCATTGCGACGGTGTTGGGTTCGTGGGCGGGATGTCGATGTCGTTGTCTGGGTTGCTTCAATGAATTTTGGTGTGGGTTGACTAAACTCTTCGCTTAGTGATCATTCGGGCTTAGCGCGCCAAGCCACAACCCCATGCATACACAACACTTCGCAAATGACTCCACCACTCCACCACTCTGCTAACCCTTGCACGATGAGTCTTCATATCTAGCCATCAGACTGAGCAAGAATGCCATGTATCTGACGAAGGCAATTTAGTTAGGGTCTTGTCATTTGGAAATTCAGGAACATCAACATCCTCGTCTTCTGTCTACAGTAGATAGTCGACTGAGTTGATCGGCCACGAATGACGAACATGGATTTCTAGGAGAGCATCGCCAACGCCATCATCTGCATCGGGGACTTCCTATTCCGCAGTCGCGTCTGGCGGTGCCGCATTCTGGACATGATAAACTCACCCAAATTGTTCGAACGAGAGGGAAACGAAACTCTACCAGCATGATGGACTTCAAGAAGCAAGAGCAGGATCATAGTAAAAATACCAGCGATCTGAACGCCAAAAACCATATCTCGGGAGAAAGAAGCCGAAATTCACACGAGGTCACAGAACCCCAGTCCTAAGAGGTTCAATAGTCGGCTCCAGAGGAAAGAATTGTGAGTCTTCACGGGGATGCAGAGATCGAAGGCGGACAGCGCTCAAGTTCAACGAAACAAAATAAACAACAAAAAAGTCGACTGATCACCACAGAGTCATGCACATCACGATTCGGGACTCAAGTCAGAAGTTATACATGTTGCATCGATATGTATTACAGGAAGAGCGTTGCGCTCTACATGCTATATTACATTCTATGTATTACGGAATAGCGTTGCAAGACGATAGCATAATCATCTCATCGCTAATATGAAAGTACAGAAATATCCCTCAGCGTCTTCCACTTGACGATCGAGGAACGATGAAACACAACCTGTTGACGCCATCAATGAGCACCCCAGCGCTTGTGCGGGATGGCGAGTTACTTCTGTATACGAGGCGGTCGACGAAGACCAGCTTTCGGCGAAGCACTCGTGTCAAACAGATGGGTAGTCACGCCACCGATGGATACTTTGCGACGGTCAGGAATCTTAGGAGAGCTCATCGCGGACTTCAGGACAGATGCACCGCGGCTGCGATGACGGGCGGCGTATAGCGTGGAGCGGCGAAGCACTCGTGTCAAACAGATGGGTAGTCACGCCACCGATGGATACTTTGCGACGGTCAGGAATCTTAGGAGAGCTCATCGCGGACTTCAGGACAGATGCACCGCGGCTGCGATGACGGGCGGCGTATAGCGTGGAGCGGCGACGCGTAAGATACTGAGAAAGTTCATCGGTCAACCCGAAATCTAGATCGCTTGCGTCGAGTTGGAAGCCACCAAGGCCGTCGGAGTAGGGCGCGTATTGGGATACGTCGTCAAAATACCCTGGGTCCTGCACGAGCGGGTTCTGAGCTGACAGCTCCTGCTGTGTAGGCTCACATCGTTGGCGCTTGGGGGCTGGCTCTTCCACATTCTGCGGCACCTCTGCAGGTGATGCGATAGCATAGTTGACCTTGCGAGTCTTATTTCTCAAACGGGAGCTTTGACGAGAGCCTCGAACCTTTGGACCAGGCTCGTGGTCGTCATCGTCATCATCATCGCTTCCATACTCCTGAGGCTCGTCAGACTCCTCGTCGTCATCATCGATCTCGAAAACCTTGCGCTTGCGCTTCGACGTTTTTGGTTCAGGCTGAGGCTCATCGGGCTCCTCGCCGTCCTCGTCGATCTCGAAAACCTTGCGCTTGCACTTCGATGTTTGCGGTCCAGGCTGAGGCTCATCAGGCTCCTCGTCGTCTTCGTCGGTCTCGAAAGCCTTGCGCTTGCCTTTCGATGTTTCAGAGCCAGGCTGGTCCTTGTTCATCCACTCGGGGTTCGGATTGAACTTGGGATGGTCCTTCAGCTTCTTGAAACAGTAGGCAATCGCCTTCTCCATCTTGTCACGGAGTTCCTCCTCCTGTGCCTGTTCAAGTTCCTCATCGTCGTCATCCCACAGGGATGCGGCAGCCTTCTTCTTCCTATTGCCCATGGCCTTGACCTTGCGTGCTGCATTCTTCTTCTTGATCTTGTCGAAGTACTGCAGTTCCACGTTGCCTTTGTTCACGATGCCCACCGTCCCACGAAGGCCCCGGTCCCAGAATGTGAACACCTGAGACGGTGGTCGAGCCTCGTCAAGTTCTTGCATCATCCAGAAGGTCAAGGTATCGTCATGAGGTTTGGGCTCACCGTGCCTATACTCCGAGTGGACCGGATAGTTCCTGAACTGCTTCAACTTCCTGTCAGTTCGAAGTGTACCTTCCATAGCCGCTTGGATGAACGCCACAGCTATGTCCGCCTCCGCCTCGCCATTGAGGGTGGCTGCAAAACGGCCGTTCGGCTCTTTACGGAACACCCGCTCATCTACCTTCACAATACCGAGTTTGCAGATGGCCTCGAAATCGAGGAACCGTTCCATGCAGTACAAGTGGGCGTAGCCCGCTACCAGATATGGGTCGACGTTCATTCCATGTTCATGCCAGCGCTCATCGAATGCGACACGAGGCTGGCCGACCGTGATTGTGCCATTGCCATACAGGTTAGCGGGGCAGTCCCTGAAACGGCACTTCTTGTGCGTTGCAGACGCGTATCGAACCGCGCTGTCCGTAGATGACTTCTGGATCCAGATGGTCAGCTTGGAATGCTTATTCTTGTCGCGCGGGTAATGGAAGATGAAGTCGTTCAGCTGCGCCGCTGAGTAGGTGGCCTGGGAGAATTCCCAGTTCTTGGTGTACTTGAACTTGTACCCGTTGGGCGTCTTCCAGGGACCGCCAATCGGGTGCGGGCGGTTCTCGTAGTAGATGGGTCGATAGTTGTTGATCTTGCCTGTACGTGAAGTGAGGCCCTTGGTCGTGTTATTCTTTCGTACCCATGGCTTGTCAGCACGGAGTTTGGGCTTCTCGGGCTTGTACTGGACACGCTGTGCCGGCCCAGTCTTCCGCACTTTGCGTGTCCTGCGAAGTTCATGAAGCTCCTCGGTATCTGTGGTATTGGCCAGGCTGTAAGTCGAGAGGTCGCTTCGCTTGCGACGATCTGCTGCAGAGGAAGCGCTAACGCGACGACGGTCAGTAGATGTAGATGCCTCTGGGTAGAACAGAGAGTCCTGGTCCTGAGTCGGAGCTGCAGTGTACGTCAGGTCAGGGTTGACGTAGTACGGTTCGTCAGAGACATTTGGCGGCGGATATTCGAACCCACCGGTGTTGGGAGCCGCTGACGTCGTCTGAGGCCGATAGAAGTAAGGTTGGGGAGTGCTGGGAACTGCTACCGTGGTTTGAGGCTGATAGGAATACGGTTGGGACGGATACTGGTCGTAGCCGTAGCCCGTCTGAGCATCGTTCTGGTAGGCATTTGTCAGTTGCTGAGAGGCTTCCTGAGCCACTGCACCTTCGTAACCCTGCGTTGTGGGTAGAGAAACCAGCTCAGGATTCTCAGGAAGGAATCCCCATGAGTCATCCAATTCCAACAGAGGATTGTGGGGGTAGGCACCCGTAGAGACATTTTGGAGGCCGTCTACAGGGAAATCCATGGGAATAGCCGTCGGTCCATCGGAGACCTGGGCGAAATCGCGTTGCTCAATGAAATTGTCAATGGGATGAGACCATCCGTAGCCATCACCACTTACACCCTCAGCTGGGTTCTGTCCTGAACCATCGGCCATACTTGTACCTTCGTTGATGAACCCGAAACTAGTGTCCAGGTCACCAAAGGGGTCAAGGCCGCCTTCTTCTGCGATCCACTCGCCGTTCAACGGCGGCATGTTGTCGAAGTTGAGGGATGCTAGAGACCGATTGCTAAGTCTAGAGCTGCGGCGACGCCCCTGAGAGCCCGCCGAGTTCTGACGAGAACGGCCAGTCATCGCTGAAGATGGTTTGATACTTGTAGTTCAAGGAAGGGAGCGATCAATGCTCTTCTCCTGAGTTATGAGCGGTCAACGCTCTGCTCGGGATGGAAGATCGAGACGTGAGCGGTCAACGCTCTTTGAACCGGCTACTACAGAAAGACTTTCGGATAACTCGCGAAAGTTCGTTCTGTCAATCGCTGAGGGCAAGGGATGAGGTCGGATGTCTGTTGTGACTCGATGGTCTGCTAATGGTCATGAGAGAGGGGTATTTAAGGTGGAATCACCAGAACAGAAATTGTACACGGAGGAATTGTACATCATCAAGGTATATGTGTAGGAATAACGTCTTTGTCCATTGCGATCATGTACTAAATTTGGAACTGAACAACCAGCGTTATGGAATAACAATGCAATTCTGATAAAGAAGAGAGCATCATGTGCTTGAACAAAGCGAGCGACAATAGAAAGATGCGCTCCAAGCATCTGGCGATTCGTCCAAAGCGTAGAATAAAGGACGATACTCAACATGTGGCAAGCTTTCCAAGCCACAGGGGCTTTACTTGACGTCGAACGAGAAACCTGAAGTCGTCAGCCAGGAACATTCACCATGTTCATGAGAAAATAGGGAAGTAGAGGCCAATCAGAGAGGTAAAGCAAGTAATCCACACGGTGTTTCAGAACAGGTCTGTGAATTTGCGTGTTTTTTCATCATTGGAAGGGGACTGGGGGAACGAGACGTACCATGCCGAAGCTCTCAAGGTGTAGGTGGACTCCTTTGCAGCGGATGTTAGTGACGAGAAGCCATTTGAGAGCGTAGGCGATCATCCGGAGGTCGAAAGAAACATGACTGGGCGCAGCAGCGGCCATTCTCTTCTCCTCATAGAGCTGCGCTATGTCTGCAGCTCCATGTTGAGGATGTTTGATGAGAAGTGAAGAAATCGGAAAGAATTCTCATTGATTTTGGAGGGAACGCTAACGGAGCGGAAAAACGTGTTCCCTCCAAAACTGCGCCGCAGCACCGCCACACGCTCGAACAACTCCAACCTTCCCACTTTGCGAGCACTTAACTTATAAAGGCCCCAACCCGTTCGAAGCTGGCTTGCATGTTGACTACTGGATGAACAAACTGAATGACTACTGCCTCGGTTCTTCGCACTTGGAAGAGCGCAATCAGAATCCTATGGACGTGCAACCAGCCGACTACACAGCATGTCAAATCTCACGCCCCGGAGGATCGAGTGTCTCACAAAGTGGAGTTCGGGCGCTTCAGCCCCCCAAAGCGCTCGCTGTGTGACTGTGCCTCATCCTCTGCGCCGTTGGAGTTTTATAATCAAAACCAAGACGTAGTTGCCCCAGATTGAGGCATTTTTCTTGCCATTCCCGCCGTTCACCTCTGCAGCTTCCACGGCCATAACCGCCTATTCCAACTGACAGATAAAGGCAGCGTGAACGATCGCTATCGAGAATTATGGGGGTATGTCTCATATCCTTGTCGACCTCACGATGAAATAGATAGTTGACCATTCTAGGACGCACTTCCTGAAGCCCAATATCAGGACTCGCCTCTTCCATGCACCTCATCAACACCAGCTTCAAGCGATGTCACATCGTATACCAAACCAAATTTACAGACACCACACCAAGTGTCTGCGCAGAGAGTTGAGCCTTATAGGGACGAGCCATCCCCCATTCTAGAAACCACCGGAACCATCACTGTACCTTCACCGCAGCATTACCACGCAATTCGACAAAGCTACCTTGCACCCTATAGAGATGCTAGCCCTGGCCTCGAAGATGACGATGTTCCTCTCGCACTCCTCTATCCGTACCCGACTGAGGCCCCTCCGCCATACGACTTGGTTTTCAGGGAATGCCATCGAGACACCCTGATCTCATAGATCCCTTCGTCCACGCCTATTGGTAACCGTGACGAGGAAGAAGGCGAGATAATGGTATTTCGGGACGAGTTACGAATTGGTGTGGAACGTGTGGTGGCTAAACTCATTGCTGTGTTGCTGATGCTCACGATCATGGGCGTTTTAATTCTCTACATTGTGAACGCACGTACGGTACGATTTTGAAGGCCAGCAATTCGTGCTTCTATGAATTCCCAGTTGAGCTGTCTTCTTATCTATTCTGCGACACCCTCTGGCTATTTGATTCGAAGGGGAGGGGCGTTCACGTTGGATTTCGGCTGATATATATATCCGAAGAACATCTTCAAGGTACCTTTGCAGGCGCTTTCGGGTCAAGAATCCCTTGGAGTTGTTCTGAGTCTCTCAGTCTCCTCGACCCTCCGCTTTTCCCTCTCCCTTACCAATCCCCTCCATCATCTCCTTGGCCGGCACCGTCCCAAACCTTGCCATAACCTCCAAATTCTTCTCTTTACTCATCACCCCGTCCCCCTTACTCAGCTCCGCTAGAATCCGGAAATAGTCAATGTAAAACGCAGGCGTATACGTATTGAAAAACTTTGCTTCTTCATCGAAGGGATTCGAGAATGTGTGCGGCGAGCGTGTCGGCACTGTCACATAGTCGCCGGCTTTGGCGTCGATGTGGGCTCCGTCGGGTGCGTGGAAGCGCACTGTGCCTGCCGTCACTAGGAACGTCTCGTCGTGCATTTCATGCCAATGGGCGGGTGGGCCTGTTGTTCCGGCGGGGATGGTGATTTCAGCGCTGCCGATGCGGTTGTCTGTGGTATCCTACAATCAGCGATCGGGCTGTCAAGGCTGTGAATTCAAATATGGCTGGTTGCCTCTACCTGTGCGGGATCCATCTTCCATGATGCGACATGTTAGATGGCCGAGCTTGAGGATCTCGCCTGTCTTTGCGGGGACATAGTTCATAGGACGGCGGGGCATCTTCATGCTTGCCAGAGCTTGTCTTGCTTCGTCGTCCATTATGTTGACCTATATGGGTGCTCTGTCACGTAGCTTGTATCAAAGTGAATGCAGAACTGCTTTTTTATGGATATGAGGGGTAATAGCAATTGCGTCGGGACGGGGTGCCAGATGGTTATGTAATGCAGAACTGAATTGGAAGTCACGCACGTGGTGGAGATGTCAACGGACACAACAAGAAAATCAGCCACTCCTGGAAGCTCCTTCGATCTTTCTGGGGTTTGCGTGTATGTAACCTCCAAAGGTCCGAGTGGAGAGCCGATATTTATGCCATGCAGTGTCTCGAGGCTTGATCTTGTGGTTGTCAATAGGCCAGTATCACTTGTGACTATGTAGTTTCAGACAAAATCAAAATGCCTCTCCCGGATCTAGGATTATCATTGCCCGAAAACCTATAACTTGTTCTGACATATCTCAATGTTCGTCATGTTGAGGTTGTCTTATAAAGCCAGAAACAGCCTAGCGTAAGTGCGGGGATGGGAGATCATCGACCTTGGCATTAATCCGAAAGCTGTAGGAGCAGGCACCGACTGGCAACGCAATCACCGTCAGTCAACTTCTAGGCACATTTTCTCTCACTATATATGAACCAGACAAACTAACCTTCCCCGAGCTAACTATCAGCAACAGCCTCTCAAAGTCACATCATCATCAGTCAGACCCCCAAAACCTCAGACGACATGGCCACCATCGCTCCCAGAGTGAAGAAATATTTCACCATCCTTGAGAACAATCCCGATGTAATGAACTTCCTCGCTACTGCCCTTGGGCTCTCACCATCTTCCCAGCTTAGCTTCCACGACATCTACTCCCTCACAGATCCAGACCTCTTGGCTCTCATCCCACGTCCCGTTCACGCCCTCCTCGTCATCATACCCATGACACCAACATGGCACGCTGCACGTGTAGCAGAGGACAGCACCATGCCGGAAGAATATCCTGGTAAAGGGAGTGAAGAACCAGTTCTCTGGTTCAAGCAGACAATCGGCGATGCATGCGGCAGTATCGGTCTCCTGCACTGCTTACTGAACGGCGAAGCGGCAAAGCACATCGTACCGGGCTCCACGCTCGACCGTATCAGACTCGATGCACTGGACAAGGGGATGTGGGAGCGTGCGAGAGTACTAGAAGAGAACGGAGACTACGAGGCCGCCCACGAGGAGGCGGCGAAGCTGGGCGACACGCGAACGCCTGATAAGCAAGCGGATGAACACAGGGGGCAGCATTTCGTGGCATTTGTGAAGGGCAGGGATGGTCATCTGTGGGAGTTGGAAGGATCGAGGAGAGGACCGTTGGATCGGGGTGCGCTCAAAGACGGGGAGGATCTATTGAGTGAGGCGGCGTTGGAAAAAGGATTGGGGAGGCTGATGAGGACTGAGATGGAGAATGGCGGGGACCTGAGGTTCTCCGCAATTGCATTGGCGGGAAGTTGAGCTTGGAGATGGAACCTGTGTTCCACACCAAGGCAGAGGTAAAGTAGGCTGATTGCCATTCCTAAAGGGACCATCAGCCGTCGAGCTGCACTGCATGTGAATTTCGCAGAGAGCCAATAGCTTCTTACCCTATGTTCGCCTCCAGGGCTTCTTTGCTCAACTATCGTCAGAGGGAACTTCGATAACTGGACAACTGGACAGCATTCCACAGTCAAATAATGCAAGAACCCATAGTGAGCATACTGCGTTTCTATCGTCCGCTTCCCAGCTACCCAGGCGACGGGATAAATGTCGCTCCGACTTTCGAAACCAACCTTCTTCGCTGCAAGTACTGCTTCTTTTCACATCCGACTGAACACCCCCCTGCACTTCCTCTGTACTGCTGTTTTCCACATCTAATTTAAACAGCTACTAGGCGCAGCAATATAGGAGGTCCCGCAATTAGCTTTGTAGTGCACCTCTACGTAGAGTATAGTTAAAACAAAATTTCTACCTGTCGCATTACTAAGTTGTAGCTAGTTAACTTGTACTAGGTAGGTAATTCTACCTACAGAGGAATTGCAGCTAGATGTTCAGTTGGACGTGGAAAGCCGCAGTCCGTAGGTAGATGTATGCTTCTGTAACTGCTCCCAAAATAGCATTAGGCATTTGAACTCAGCTTTCCCAAAGCATGGAGCTGTGATGTCTTGAATAAAATTAAACTTGCTACAAATTGATCACGAAGTGTCCATTTCCCCTGTCTAGTGACTTTTCCGGTACCTAGGTGTTAGCGCGTTGTACCTGCCGTCACTGTGCCATGTGCCGCCACCACCGCTATGGTGGGATGACGTCACTAGTTCCTGGCGGTAAAGGTGACTTCCCTCTCTATCTGCATCAAATTATATTACTATATAAGATGTGAAAACACCAAACTAACCATAACAGCACCATCCACTGCATACAGTGATATCTTCGATGGTCTAGTGGTCATGATTTCCGCTTGTCAATCCACTTCGTGGATAGCAAGCGCGGGAGACCGGGGTTCGATTCCCCGTCGGAGAGCTTTTTTGTTTCTTTTACTTTTGGCTCCACCTTTTTCTTTTTTTCCAAAATTATCAGTCTCACTGAAGGTGTCTGTCGGAGCCTTTTCGTGTTTTTTGGCCGAGGTGACGAGCCTACGGGACGGCAATTGGGTTCGTCACCTCGCACAAAAGCGTGGTCCTACACGTTCTAGAAGCGGACAGTTTTAAAGATAAAAAAGGGGTGCGAGAAAATGAGAAGACCAAAAGGCTCTTCGACGGGAAATCGAACCCCGGTCGCCTTCGAGTTTTGTAAAATCTGCCGGTATACATCCAATCAGGGTGTGGTCATTAGCCAGGTAACCTGAAGGACGGGAGATGTTCACTGCAATGTTGTTTACTTTTGCTCTCGAGCCTAAGGGACGCCAATTGGGTTGGGTTCGCAAGTCTGCAGAATAGAAGGATCACCGACTGCGCAGCAGAGGGCCTCCCGCTATCGACGGTGCCTAGCTAAGAACACGTTCTTTGATCTCGTGTCTATCTCCTCTGCTAGATTACGTATTCTCCTACAATGTTTCGCTCCTCCCAAATCTCCGTGATGAGCCAATGTCCTTCTCACAAGTCCGCGCGGCCCTAATCTTGCTCCTTCGAAGGGACTGAAAAGTCCTAGCCGCGATATAATAATAATACAGCATCTTTGTACTTGAACCCACGTCGACTCGAACACAGTCACCTCATACTCATCATTATGCAGAGCCCGCAGCATAATAGGCTCACCGCCCTGATGCTCTGCTCAAAGGCGAGCAACACGCTGCGGATCCTCAGGCCTCTCCCGATCCACAGGGTCAGTCGTCATGTCGGGTAATGCCTCAAATTCCTTGCTCTCGCTTGAGGGGTGTCCTGTATGGGATTTCCGGCACCCAGTGCCGGATCACGATTGGAGTGGACCATTTCCAGGTTTCGAGGTGTGCCAAGTTGATGGATACTAGGAGTTCACGCTTCGAAGAAGACACGGGTATGAGGCCAGTTAACGGAAGTATACTGGCACTATAACCCATGCAGCGGACATCACCATTGCACGATAGACTCGCATTGTGAGGACGCAGATTACGATGTCAAATAAAATAATCCAAAAGCGTCAGGGGAAGCGAGAGTGAAATCAGCATGCGGCCAGCCGGAAGCAGTTTACATTTCACATTGTCTCAACCGTCCATCTAAATAGCAAACTCATAAGCCATGCACCATTGTATCAACAATGCGGAAGAAAACTTTTCCAGACCCAATCAATCCATATGACCGTTAATGTAACCCAGGCGCCGTATCCGTCACATTCCATAAATATAGACATGCCGAACTCCTTTAGATGCTAGATCCCGGGGTATCATCTAAGACAATCCCAGCCGACCAAATGTTTCCAACGCCCGTAGAACTGTGAATGGCGTGTCTCCTAGTTCACGCCTGACCATTCGATACCACTGGCATCGCCTTGCGGCCGCTGTTGCTGTTGTTGCTGCTGCTGTTGCTGCTGCTGTTGATTCCTCATCTGCTGTTGCTGCCGCATCATCAACATGTGCATCTGTTGCTGCTGCATCTGAGGCATCTGCGCCATATTCATCCCCATATTCTGCATATTCATTCCGCCCATCGCCTGCATTCCTTGCATGCCCTGCATGCCCTGCATCCCCTGCATGCTCTGCGGCATGCCCTGCAGGTTCTGCATGTTCTGCATGTTCATCGCTGCCATATTGTTCATCATACCCATGTTGTTCATCATGTTCTGCGGCATCTGGTTTGCATTGATATTCAGGCCCGCGCGCTGTTGCTGCTGCTGCTGCTGCTGCTGCTGTTGCATCATCATCATCTGTTGTTGTCTCGCTTGCTGAGCACGTTGTTGCATCGCCTGGATCTGCTGTATTTGAGCTGGGTTCTGGCCAGCACCGCTCATGAGGAGGCGAAGCTCGTTTTCCTTGAGTCGCACCATGTTCTCCATGTGAGCCAGCTGCTGATTCATTTGCACTGGGATGGCTTGCGGGCTTCCGAAGTTGTTGAGGAGCGATTGTTTGCGTTGGCTGAGTTGCTGCCTCAACGATTGGAGTTGTTGATTGACAAGATTGAGCTGCGCCTGCTGGTTGACCACATTCGGGTTCATCCCGGCTTGGCCCATGTTCATTCCGACCTGTTGGCCACCCATACTTGCAGCCTGACCATTCAAGTGCATTTGCTGCGCATTCTGTGCTTGTTGTTGCTGTATTTGTTTGAAGTACTGCGTAGCAAGCATTTGCTTGTACTGTGTTGGATCTTGCCCTTGAGGAACACCGTGCTGCTGGATGTGGCTCGCTGCTTTCATCATTGCAAACTGCTGGGGAGACACGCTCTGGCCTGGCGCTATTTGTACCCCCCGCTGCTGCATCATACGCAGGCGCTGTTGCTGTAACTGTGCTGCCTGGTACTGCTGCATCTGCTCCGGCGTCATTCCCTGACCAGCGCTGAGCTGCGGCGTCTGCATCATCACGGGCGTCTGCCCCGGCATAACTCCAGTCGGACTTCCTTGGTTGACCCGTGGTTGAGGAGTTGCAGCCATGTTGCGAGCGAGGCCAGCCGAATTCATAATGGGCGTTCCTTGAACCATCTGAGGGGTGCCCGTACGGCTCATGGGCTGGTTTTGCTGCTGACTCACGCTCCGAGCCATAGCAGCAGGATGATGCGACACCACCGAGGGTGGGCGAGCAGGACTTCCGGCCGCACCGTGGCTTGATGACGTTGCCATCATCTGGGTGCCGCCCATGGCATGGGAGACGTGGGCTCCGATATGCGGCGAGGCTGCCGCGGCCATTGGGGTCTGCTGTCGCACGACAGGAGAGGAGAATTGAGGTTGGGTGGCCGCTTGTTGAGGGGCCTGTTGGACTGCACCGGCTCCTGTCATCTGCTGAGCATGGCTTGCTGCTCTCATCGCCTGATCTTGATGGATCGACTGCTGCTGTTGTTGTTGCCTAAGCAGTTCGTTCCGCTTAGCTGCGTTCGCCTCGGCTTGTCGCTCCAACTCCATCTTCCGCTTCCTCGCTTCCTGCTCTTGCAATTGCCTCTTTGCTTGAGCTTGGATGGCTTCTTCTTCCCTCTTGCGCCTCGACTGTTCCTCGTGGATTGCTTTGATGTTTTCGATCGTCTTGAAGCGAGAAAAGTTCTGATAGTTTGGATCTCGGATGGCGGCCGCGCTATCCTCTCCACCTGCCGCAGCAGCAATCTTGGTCACCTGGAATTCGTCTCCAGCGAGCATAAAGCGTTGGATATCAGCCGCTTCTGCCTCATCGGCGGCCAGCTCGGCCACGGTACGTTTCCTAGTTTCACGTGCTGGCGCCGGATTCTTGTTGTTGGGATGCGTTACGGCGTCCATGAGGGCAACGGACTCCATCAAATTCCTGGTCGGTTCAAGGTGAAGTTTGATGGGTTGCTCAAGGTAGACTGCCGCTTCGAAGTCGTAGGCGTTGCTCTCGTCGACCATCATCTTAGGCCTCTTTGGGCTGCGGCCGTGTTGCAAAGTCGGAGTAGGGGGCACCGCGGTAAGCGGAGTGGGCGGGTGACCTGTCGCCCTTCCAGCAGCCTGGTTCCTGCGAAAGGCTTGGAGATCAGCTGCTGGCGTGGTAGCCAGTAGTTGCATGTCTGTTAAAGTTGTGGAAGGGGTGGGGAAAAGGACCACAGTTGTGACCGTGGGTCTGGGCGGCAGCTTTTGTGAGGTTCGCTGTCCTGGGGCGCCCATGCTTTCCTTGTCGGCGGCTCTGTCATTTGCATTGTCCGAGCCTTTATCATTTTGGTCGGCTTTGGCCGAGGGTTTCTGCGGATAGGGCACAGATGGAGACGGCGTGATAAAGTTGTTGTAATTGTGGATAGAGAAGGGTTTCTTATTCGCTTCGCTGGAGTTACCTGACGCTTTCTTGCCGTCATCGCTATTGGAATTGTAGTCGTACAACTCAACAATCATGCAACCTGCGTACAGTATAAGTGACTGAGAGTCTCTCATGGCGTGGACAACTATACCATCGTAGAACGGGATGTCGAACATATACAGCTCTTCAAGCATGTTATGTGGCACCGTCTTAAGTCGAATATGCTGAAGCAGCTGCGACATAGGAGAACCATATGATAGCGACTCTTGAGAGTCGTTGAGGCGGAAATGGGTTGCGTACAAATGGACGCGTAGTGAGGGGTTCCGTCCCTTGAATTTGGCGAGGATATCATCTTGCGTCCATACAAAGCGGACCTCCCCTCCTCTCGAAGCCGCGTCCTCTACGGTGTTTGTCTTGGGCAGATTCGTGCGCGCCAGGCTGGGCCGTTGCGATCGTTGGCGGAGGGCCTGCGAGGGCCGGGCAACGGCTGCAGTCGACATGTCGCACCGCTAACAGATGGCAACGTCTGATGAGCCGTGGGTACGGGAGTCCGTGTTGGGTGTGTGCGTGCGTGCGGACAGGTAGGTATGTGTGGGCCAACGTGGAAGCGTGGAGGAGCTGTGGAGGTGAAGCTTCGCGACTACGGCTACCGGGTGTTCGTGTCCCACAGGTCAAAGTTGATCTGGGGATAAACGAGTGTTTACTGAAGATATCTCAAAGAATGGAGTAGTTATCGTGAGTTTTGAAGCGTGGAGGAACGCGTTTGCTGCCATTACCGCGCGGTAGCTTTGTCTGGTGTTGATGTGCCGTTCGTAGCCTGGCGCCTGGGCATGTTTGAGAGGTGAGGTTGCGGCTTGGTACCGCTTACATAATCAGGTCATTCACATCATCATCACGTCCAGCAGCTATATCATGGGGAGTTGCACACAAGGCAGTGTTATCGACTAGAATTTATAACCTATTTTATTTTAATGCCCGGATTGCTCACGAGGTTCTATCAGACGCTATTGCGGCGACTTCAACTGTACATCTACACAAAATGTCTACAAATTTACATCATAGAGGCTTTTGGACGACATTACTAGTGCTGGCCATGCTTCCGTCTATCGGCGTGTCATTTCTATGGTATGAGAACCATAGGCCACTTGTTCTGTTTACCTTCGATATGAGGGTACATGGCGCTTCCACATTTCAAGAACCGGACCAGTGAGCGGCAGCACTTGCCTGGACTGAGCGCACATCGGGAGGAATCCCAAGGACAAAATATCACAGACAGTTGCCTACCCGCTAGAGGTTACCAGACGGCTGATGCAAGTCGGTGGCGTTGTCGGACACCGTCGTCATCTTCGAATAGGAGAGAGGATGGGAGTAATATTCAGAGAGTGGGGCATATATGGGTCCTTAGCATTGGATATATCAAGGTTGTTTCCTTGGTTGCTATGAGCTTCTAATACGTATGGAAGGTTGGGGGTGTATCTTGGTATTTAGGCCGAGCGGGAGCAAACGCAAAGTTCTGATTAAGAATTAAGACTGGTCAGTTACAGAACGAAAGATTAGCTGTCAACATGATCGTATAGATCGTGCTCCCAGTTTTACGGTATGTGACGTCTCGCTGGGATACGGACAGGACGTGACTGGGAATTCACTGTCCGACGACTAACACGTCTCCAGTTTCTGCTATGGGAGGCCGAAACGACTCCATGACAGCAGCAGTTTATTGGTTAGTAGAGCGGTTTCTATTAGCCACTGTTAGGAATTAGTTTACTAGTCGCAGTTATTGACTTACTGAAGCGCCGGCTTGGTGCTTCCGGAAACCGTACAGTCGACTGAAAGACCCGGGTAACCACATCGCCAACATAGTCGGTGTGCACATAGCCAACACTTCCTGCGCAATCCCACATTAGTGACCCCACAGACGCAACAATACCATGCAGATCTGCCCATTTTGAGCAGGTATTGGGTCGATGTTGAGTTATCGATAACGGGAAAGAGGAGGGTTGATGTGTAGGTCGCGAAGTCCGACTGTCTCAGAATCCTTGTGGTATATTCAGTATATGAATTGGTGGTTGGCGAGCGTGTCTGAGAAGTGTACCGGAGTCGGTACGCGGCTGCCAGTGAGTATTTATGTACAAGGAGAGTGAATGATGAAAGGTTGTCAAGTGTCATTCGAGTCACAGCTAAGGTCACATTAGGTCCGGCGAAAGAATATTCAAAACAAGTAGACAGAATTGGAGAGGGCACAAACACGGTGAAGTTCATGAAGATGTCAGAGCAGGAATCTGTATGACATTCACCGTTTTCCTGCTCGATTAAGACTCGTAAACCTGCATTAAGTGCTAATAAGAAGTAGAGCAAATGAAGGTACACCATTCCACCTTTCCAATGTCTCAGCATTGTGCAAGGGCCTGACCGTACGAAACGACCAGGTGGTCAGTAAGAGATAGGTTTGAGCCTAGCTTTCGCTTGCTGCACCCACTGGCCTCGCCTTCAGCCATTAGGGTTTGTTTAGGCTCCTTCTTTTTACCTTTAGGAACGCCCTAATCGTGCATAGTTGCGGGGTATATTGTTATTAGATCACAGTGTGAGGCACAACCTTTCACTGTCTCTTCCGCGGTCTCAGACGAGGTGAAAGTCCCTCTAAACTTTCACTACGCCATATATTGTCAAAGCACATACGGACGAAATCTCCTGGGTTAATTTCATTGGTTAGTCTGTAACAGGCGACAGTCTCGGCGCACATCTTCTGGTCGACTTTATCTGTGCCCTTGCTCTGTCTGACCTTTCTACCTTACAACTCCTGACGCACAAGCAGCCAGAAGTTGTACTGCCGCAATCCACCACTTCCTGAAACGTTCGACAGCGTAGCCGCTCCGCTTCCAAACTTCACGATGTCTTACGCCTACCGTGGTTACTCCGACGATGACCTGGAGATGGAGGGTGCCGACATGGGCTACAGTTCGCCGAGTGACGATGAAGAAGTAGACGAAGAGGCCGAGGAAAACTTCCGAAATCACTCCGGCGAAGCGCAGGAGCAATTCCATGGATCATATTACTTCGACACCTACCCTTCCTCTCCTCTTAAGCGAGATGAACCTCGTTCTACTGTGCAGGATGCGGATGGAGCAGAGGGTATGGAGGATGAACTGGCCGGACTGACGGAGGCTGAGCTTGCCGCCATGACAGAGGAGGAACTCATATGGAGGCTCTTCGACAAGGAGCGACAAAAGATGCAAAACGGGACTCACGAGCTGGGACGCCAGAAGACAGCGGACGATACAACGCAGGCCCAGTCCAATATCGTAAACCCGATGCAAGTGGCCACCGTTGGCAAAAAACTCCCCAACACCCTCAACACAGTCACCAGTATGCCCTCGCAAGACACCGTCAACGACTTCTCACTGACCCTAGTAGGCGAAGGCATCACACTTCCGGCAGTCAATTCCACAGCTGCTTCCAGGGTTTCCACCTGCACTGACGTCTCCATCCCTGCTCCAGTTCCGACATCCCTTCCCCAAGGCCGCCGCTCAAAGAGGCCAAGTGGTGCTGGACACGGCCGGTACAAAAACCGAGGCAATGATAGCCGTAAAGGCAAGCGCCGTGGGGCTACTACTTCTGACCGCGTCAAGTCAGGCCGTGTCGGCAAAGGTGGTCCCGGTCGGCCTAAACGAGCGAGCGGCGCTGCACCTGTCCACACTCGCTTCTCCAATGTGTCTCTCGAGTCTCGTGTGTCATTCCTCCCTCTTGAGCGTCGTGTAACTTATGGTGCTGCTCCCTCTACGGTTGTAGAGCGCGGACCGCCCGCCTGCCGTAGGCCTTGCCGTCACGAGAATAAAGGGGGCCAGTGTAGAAAGGTCTATTGCAAGTTCCTTCATCGAAGCCAGGTTGGACCTTTCCGAGGATTGCTCTTCTCGCTTCCTTGGTCTCCTAAGTAGCGACGATGTTCTCGCGTATTTGTGTGGACTCGGACTTCTTCGTTACCTCAATGAGAGACATGGGTTTTCATGGTGTCTTATGGATAAACTATGACTGTAAACGCGATGGCGACGGGAATGGAGGGTTTCCTTGTGTTTGTTCGTACCAGGCTCTCTACTTCCGGTTTCATGGTCCGCCGCTCTGAACCTTGTCACGGATTTGCCGGGGGAGGCATCAGTAAGCGTATAGCCTGGAAATGGACTGATGCTGTAACATCCAGAGGTAAATATAGGAAGAAATAAAACAGATGCCATACAGAGACATTTGCCTGTCAGGTGTGATGCGAGCTTATCAACTCTACGAGGGTATGTTTTCTCGGATGCCGTCAAAACTCCCGGGACAACGTCGGTCAGTGCCCCATCTGAGCGCGTCACAGCGCGAGCGAGCAACCTCGCCCGCAGAGCTGTTGAGCCGCTTGAAGTGACTGACTTGTTAGCGACAAGCACACTCTTCTCAGGGACTGGGACAGATACAATCCACCGTTCTTTTTGACCTTAAAGACCTCGTATGGTATTGCATGTGTGTCGACAACCGGTTTGCTTTTACAGTGAAGGTCGAGGACGATATGCATCTTGGAAGATTCGTTGGGCGGAATCAGATGGGAGTAGTAATCATCAACGGGCTGAGGCCCGAATAATGCGAAAAAGCTTTCATTAATAGCTGCTTCCTGAAGCTCATATTTGACATTGAAACGAAGAATAATTCCCTTTTGGGGGGTTAATGGACTGCATCTTAGCAGTATGGCTATTTAGGAAGCTTGTGCTAACAGCCTAGCAATGGCCTTTTTATACTCCGTGAGGGGAAGCCACGAGCCATTTCCTTGGCGCCTTAAGGTGGAAAAGGAAAGTTACGCAAAGCCACAGCCGCGGCGGCACTGTAACTGCTTTGGTTAGAAACAAACCATGATGCACTACCCTGGGGCACTGTTAGGTTTTGCAGAAACAGATGGCTTCTTGAACCTAGGCGTAAAGGCAACGATGTAAATATATTTTGCGCCTGGTCTTAGATGGGTATGCATAACCACCGCACTAAAATTGCAGGCATCTGTTTCCGTGAGTCGCAGGTCTCTTGTAGACGGGATGTGGAGATACACCAGTTGCAATCTAACAGCAGACGGAAGCAAAGTGTAACTTAAAGTTTCCCACGTGAAGGTCCCACTAGGGTGTAGACCTGGGAAAACGCCTTGAGTGATACTGCCAATAACCTGACCTATCTGTCGAGTTGTTTGCGTACCCTAACTTTCACCGCTCAGGCCCCTGTGCGACTTACGTAATACAACCTAGCCAATAAGGCGACTCGAACTTATGCTCTATCTCCAGGACCACGACCAAGACGATTACGAATATTAAATGAGATTGAGAGGGAGTGAGTGGAGGAATAAAGAATTCAAGGGAAGATGTTCAGAGAAGTCTTCACACAGGTATAGGGCAAGATCAACCATATGTGAAGGAATTGATAGAATCGAATGTCGAATAGATGTCGAGATGTCTCGGGGCGTTTGAGTGTACTGTAGTGACTCTGAGCTTCCTCACATGTATACTCAAAATCTACGGATTGTACATCAGGTCGAGGTAGCCCTGCGACTTCACTGAATGAAAGGGGGTTATATCGGATTGGGTGTATATTAGTTGTCGATACTATGCTCTCAATGCTATTGTACTCATCTTTGATATTAGGCTTCTTGTATTTGCTACCGTGAAGTCGTTAGCAAAAAGCGAATCCGACAAAGTTGTCCTGGTATTGTTCAATTAAGTGACAAGACCCCATCTTGATCCTCCCTACCTACCTCTCTCAAAGGTATACTTTGTACCTACACAATGCAAGCACTTTCTTACCATCACGAGTTCTATTGCACTTTCATCGACGCCTTCATAGCACCTCTTGGACTTCTCACAGCCTATGCTAAATTTACAATGCACAATGCAGGAGGCGCGCTCGCAAATGACCCTAAGTACACTCTCCCAGTTTACCCCCCATCGCACCTACAACCACAGGGAGCCGCAAGGATTCCATCTCCCTTTACTTGCGGAGGCCCTCGTCCCAGCTCAAGCTCTTGGATTCACGCGTCAGAGTCCGGCAGGGCAAGGGCGATCCCACAAACATTGTCCCAGGATTTGAAGAACGAGGGAAGTGTTTTCCAAGACGAACAACACAACCGCTAAAATTAGCAACTGCAACATCTCCTCCACCGACTATACACGCGACCAACCCGAGACAAGTCTCTCCCAATCCCCGTCGGAATAGCTGCCAGTTCGCACGAAATCCCCTTCCTCACACCACCCAACGCCTCCCCCTACCGTACCCCAAAGGCAACTTTGGCATTTCACAACCGCCAACCGCTCGTCCCATCAAGCCCCCTCCCCAACTCAAGACCCCTCCCAAGCAAATCCCAGGTCCGACAACGCCACCCAATCCCCCATCCGCCGACCCCATGACATCCCTCTCCTCCTCCCTCTCAAACCTCTCCCTCACCCACCTAAACGACCGCATCCAAGACCTCTCTTCCCACCTCGCCAACTTGGACCTATCGTCCTCCTCAAACACCTCGCAGGCTCGTAGCTCCGAGACTTCGAAACTGAAAGCCTCATTGACGACGTGTGTCAACGAGATCGAAGCCCAGCTCTCCGCGCTCTGTCTAGCGTCCCCGCAGGAAGAAGAGAAGGACCAGGTACTGAAGAGGATGAGGGATATGGTAGGTCAAGGGTCGTGTCTTCGGAATCCTGCAGCCGGAAATGCGCAGGCATGTGCTCAAGCCTCATCTTTCCCATCTGCACCGGCAGGAACGGACACAGGAACAGGCATGATGGCGACTACAGGACCAGGCCACTCCCACCCCTTCCACCCCTGCATTCCCGTTCCTACCACTCCCTCTCACCCTTCCACCACACCCATACCCATACCCCATATGCACAGCAGCTCCATCTCCGACACCGAACTCGCCGCCCTAAAAGCCCAAATCGCCCACCTCCAGACCCGCCTCGCTCAGCTCCAGCAACAAACCCAGCACCTCCGCGACGACACCAACAAGGCCATGTTGCTGGCGCGCTGGCTGCAGGGAGCGCGCTTGATGCATGGCGGGGCCGCGGTGCTGCATCCGGCGTTGGAGATGGTGCTGGTGTTGTGGGTTGGGGTGTGGGTGGTCAAGGGGTTGGTGGGGTTGTTTGGGTGAGGGTTGCGTGAGGAGGAGGGATGGGGGGTTTGCGAAGTGGTAAGTACAGGTGGAGAGGTGTGTTTGGTTTGGTGAGGAGATGGGCTTGGAGCACGAGGAACGCTTTTGGAATCTGGCTTACAGGTGAAGGACTTGGGGGCTTGTGTTTTGATATATGCATGTCTGATACGAGCGAGAGGGACATAGCTGTGCTTGTTATTAATATGGGCAACTGAGACATGTTCACTGATGATGGCGGTATCTCATTTCGAGTATGTCAGGGGACGTCTCTGACCCAAGGAACTGTACCCTCCTCTTTCTTGTAAATGATAACTGTGCGTGCAGCTGAATGAGAACGCAAGCGCCAGGATAGCAATGGGTTAGCATCCTATCTTCGAATGCATCTCCGTTCGAACGAAACTCGTAAAAAGGTAGATCGTGCGTATAATGTATTACAACACGTCCATTCCTGGTCCTTGACAACGCTGTACTGTAAGCCCATTGGAATTTTCAACCCAAAACTGCACAAAGGGATATCACGGTAAAACAAAAACCAGACCAGAACCTCACCAATCACCTTAATCTCCTGTACAAAGACGCATCATGTCCACGCATCTTCTGCATCACCCTTGTTCCGCCCCGGGCCCCGTATCTCCATCCGCGCTACCATCACGGGGTTCCTCTTCCACTGCCCCAAACGAGCCCTCGCCATAAAATATAAAATCGTGCGGTAGGTATTCCAAGTCCCACGGCATCATGTCCGCACCTAGAGCGGACATGTCGACGTCTTGCGAGTCAATCACCATATCGCCGAAGGCTTCCGAGCCCGAGGCGGTTGGGTAGGCGCCGAAGAGGGAGGACGGCGACAGTTCCAGAGAAGGAGGGATGGTGTGAGGAGGTGCAATTGCTAAGGAGCTGGGGGTGTTCGGGAAGGTGGAAGGAGGTAGTGACAGTGGCGGATTTCTTGGTGTCGGATGCAGCATGTGGGAGGAGTTTGCATTGTTCAGGGGCGAATGGAGGTTGAGGAGGAGGTCGGCGTCCGAGATGAGCGAAGGGTCCGCGGCAAGAGGATGAATCTGAGATTCCGGTGGGGGTGGCATGGCTGCAGAGTCGATGAGCTGCGGAGGAGGAACCGGAGCGGATGCGCGCCTCTGCGTGAGAATCTCCGCCCTGAACTGAGGCGGATTGGTAGGAGAGTCAGATAGGACAGAGGCGATGGACGGTTGGAGCATATGTTTGGCCGGCTTATCGCGATGATTGCTGGCTTCTGGGGGATACATAACGGCGACATTGGTCGATGGAGAGTTCATCGTGCCGGTTAGTGACCATCCGATAGCTGGGGACAACGTTAGCGGATACTCGTGATAGAGCGCAGCACGAATACCTTGACCTGTCGTAGGCAGTGGTGTTCCAGCAATTGTGGGCGTACGCGCACGAATAGCGGCGGTGACCTTCGCCGCGTTCTCAGCACCCATGCCCTCAGAAGTCAGATAGGCGCCCCAGCTGAGCTTTCGCCGCCAGCCGGGGCTCGTGAAAGAAGGTTCCGGTCTCGGCTGCTCTAGAGCATTCTCCACCTCTTCGGCAGTGTACAAAAGCGGATCGCCCACGCCCTTGGCTTTCTGGTCCAAGACTGTGAGGATATACTTGACTCCGGCCCAATATGTCTCTAGTGACTTCAGAGCTCTGTAGCATCGCTGATAGTTCTGGTTTGCGGCCGAAGCGAGCAAGGTGTGTTTGTGCGCCTGCTTCTGATCATGATCATTTGCACAGCCCGCTCGAATGGCGTTGGGGGGCCGGGGTGGGTTATCGAAGTCTAGGTGATCGATTGAAGGTTGGTTGGCGTTCACAGGGTGGTCATCCTGGGCCGAGCCAGGCGATGAAGGACGTGAATGTGGCTGCGAGGATGTGGTGTGCAGGGCAGTTTCTTTGAGGAAAGCACATGCTACGATGTAGATGGGTTGGCTAGATGTCGTGAGCACCTCCAACTTATAATAGTTCGAATCGAACGTACCTCGTGAAAGGATTACCCACACCAGTTTTTGCATCGATGAGATCTGTGAAAGCCAAGATATCGGCCACCGTCTTTGCCGAGGACATTGAAAGCTCTCGACTATTATTCGAAAGGTGATGTGCACTGCCTTCGAAAGTCTTGAGCAACGTCGGCTGGTGTAGAAGCACAATGAGGGTGTGAAACCAACAATGCAGGAGGAGAAAATTGGTGCCTTGTCTGATCTTGACATAGTGTTGGAAGTTGACTGCGTTGAAGTGAAGCTTAGGTGAGAGCCCCTGATAGATTTCTGTTAGATGGAATTCCAGAGTGTCCAGCTGCTTGCGAAGCGCTTCCGTTATGTGTGCCTTTTCTTTGATGCGATTTAGCAGATCCGTAACTCGGCCATATAAGTGTATGATTCGAATTAGTGCAGGGAAAGGTAGTGGCCAACCAGAGGTCGGGTCGACCTCGTCCAACGAAGGAAAAGAGATCTCAATGTCCCTGTCGCGGAGGGTCACGGGCCGTCCGGTTCCCGAAGAGATGACACGGTCCAAGAAAAATATTGACCAGAAAGTATCCAATCTTTCTCGTTCGACTGCTCGTTGTTCTGCTTCTTCAGACGTGCTAGCAGTCCTTCGTGGCGGCCCGGAGGTGGGCGAACCGTTGTTCAACCCTGCGTTAGGATCCGTCTTCACGGATTCGGGGGTGGGCCCGCCGCGTCCCTCGTACTTGAGCCCTTCGAGCGTCTGCATACCCAGATCCTGGGCCATTCGAATGGCAATGCCCAAATACATCCATAGTCCACTATCCCGGTTGGCACCAAACTCGTCATACGCGAGCAGAAGCGCAGCCTGCACAACGGCCACGCTGGGGCAGTGGAAAGCATCTGGAATGGCTGACTTGGCCCTTTGAGCAAAGGCCTGGCCATACTCGTGAGGTTGTATCCTCGAGCTCTCTCCGTCCTTCTTCGCTTCTGCCGAGCCAGTCAACAGCGGGTGCGTGGAGAAGCGTGCGGCTAGTGCGCAAACAGCATCCACGAGGATAGCGTCCACCTGCTTCTCCTCGAGGTCACGCAGAAAACGCTCGGGCTGCAGGAACGGAAAGGTGCAGCCAAAGTGGACCATGAAGAGCTTGCAGAGATGTGTAATCAAGGGGGGTGGAGCTGTGGTGGAAGTGTCGTAGACTGGGAGTTCGACGGGCGTGCGAAAGCCAGGGGTAGTGGGTGATGCAGCGGATGCAGCGTGACCTGGCGAGGACTCGAGAGCTGATTCAGAGTCAGTGGGCCACTTTTCTCCTCTTCTGGATACGTGACAGACATACCATCTGAAGAAGTATGGCTCGTCGAGTGCGCCTTGCCGCGCACCTTGACCACCATTTGCTTGAAGCCCGGCATGATGGCGGTGGGCCCAAAATACCGAAAGAAGGGCATCCGGTTGCGAGTGCTCAGGGACAAGGACGCATCATCTGGTACGTATAAGCGCAATCGATTGCCGGCGGTGTTGAATCCTTACTTGTGGCGCTGGGCACCTTCGCTGTGCTGGACGAGTCTTGATCCGGCGACGCGTGAAGGGCCGCATGACGAAGCGGTTGACGGGACGGCACTGGCGATGGAAGGGGCTCTTCCTGCTTCGGACGGCCATTGCTAGGAAGAGATGTGTCTGCCGAAGGTTTACGTTGGCGCAGCCCTTGCTTTTTCGTGTCCTTTGCATCCTTGTTGGTGGTGTCGTTGCTGGTCGTAGCATCGGCGTCGGCGCCGTATCCCGCGCACTCGTGTTTATTCTGTTTGCATGTCCCACAGACTGGACGCTCGCCTGCACGAAGTTAGTAAAAAGCGGTGCACATGGCCCGGGGATGGGGGATGGGGCGAACCCGAGCAGCGTGTCTTCTTCCTCCGGCAGGTCAAGCAGGCCGAGTTGATTCTCCTTCGCTTCGCATAGGGGCCGTCGGAATTGGTTACGAAGCGAATGGGCTTTTGGAGCGGAGCAGTAGCATTCGCGGACGGCTTGGGTGCGGCAGTGGTTTGCATGAAAGGGCGAGGGAGATGTGCTGTCAGAGACTTGTCGTGACAGCAGCATCTGGCGTGGTGGAAAGCGACGGTAGACGATCAATTGCGGCGCTCCTGGAAGGTTGCGCGAGGGGCGGGGCTGCAGAGGAAAATTGGAGAGCGGCGGTGGTGAGGAGGAGGGCTCGAGGTTGGCATCACGACGATAGAAGGCAACCTCTGGGACGTCACGGGATCTCCAAGAGTATGTCAAACTATATTCTGACGGTTGAGCAGCAGCCACAGCAGCATCCTACCTAGGGCGGCATCTGCATCCAGCTACCCAACAGGCGTCGACGGCGTTGAAGCTTGATGAGCCGCGGAACGAGTGCGGAGCGGCAGGGCGTGGGGCGTCGAATGATGAGTAAGCCGTTAAGTTGCCAAGATATTCCCCAAGTTTTCCCCATGGACCGGGGCCTCCCTGGCGCCGGCAGCTGAACCGAGATGGGATGGAATTCAACGCCAGGTCCGTGCATCATATCGTCAAGAATCTCTCGGAGCATCGCGAACGGTCGGCAGTTCTTTCCCCACGGTACGCTACTGCCCCGGATTCCGTGTCTCTCTCAGAGTATGGAGTTTCTTCGACCTAGGCTCGCGACATTGAGGCTCCCAGTGGCCCGGAAAGCCCCCCGCCCGCTCTACCAATGTCTTCACACTTCTTCCTCACGATGTGCGCAACCGCTTGGAACCCCCGCCGTACCAGGCCCGCCGCCCAAAGCTCCCACATCAGAGGCCTTTGAGCGAGTCGCGCGGAAGAGGAGACAGGCGGAGCTATTGCAGCAGGCACGGGAGCTGAGGGCGTCGCCAGCGCGGCCCAAGACTGCCCTGCAGAAGCGCTTCTGGCGCGATGTGTCGGTGCACGAGTCGGATGGTGAGTCCCCATCGTCCAAGGGAAGACGCTGTGCTGACAACGTTGGAGACGGCCTACAGATCTTTCTCGACAAGCGCCCCGTCCGCACTCCCTCGAAGCAGATCCTCACGATCCCTCGATCCAAGAGCCAGCTGGCCACAGCCATTGCCCTCGAATGGGACCTGCTAGTGAGTGCACAGCAGGCGCTCAAGTCAGAATACATCCCCATGACCTCTCTCGCCGCACGCGCCATTGATATCGCAAAGGCCGACGCTGAAGGAAACACAAAGATCCGGGACGACATCATCAACATGCTCATGCGCTACCTGGCCACCGACACGCTGCTCTGCTGGGCCCCGGAGAAGAACATACACGACGCCGCAGGCGACAGCGCCTCGTTACGGAACCTGCAGATGAAGCTCGCCACTCCCATCATCGCCTACCTGACGTCCAAGGTCTGGCCCGGTGTAGAGATTGTTCCCATTCTGGAGCCGGATAGTATCCTCCCCATACCCCAGCCGGAGATGACGAGAAACGTGGTGCGCGGCTGGCTTACCGGTATTCCTGCCTTTGAGCTCGCCGGTTTGGAACGAGCTGTTCTCGGTTCCAAGAGTCTCTGTATCGGTGTCCGTCTCATCCACGAGTGGGGCGAGGCTTTTGCGACAGCACGCGAGCCCTCCGAGGGAGCCCGTTTCGGCATCGAGGAGGCGGCAGAGGCTTCCAGCGCCGAGGTTACGTGGCAGACGCAGCACTGGGGAGAAGTCGAGGACACGCACGACGTGGAAAAGGAGGACTTGCGCAGACAGTTGGGCGGCGTGATATTGCTTGTAGGCGGTGACTCGTCATGAGCTGGCAAAGACGTTGGAACTCTTAGAGGAGGCGCTTCTTAGTGGCTCTTGCACAAAAAGGGACATGGATAACCCATACTGTAAGCATAGAAGCAGGCTGGGCCAAGATAGTTGGAGTAGCTGCCCAGGTGCCATCTGACGCGGCGTCAGCAGTTAAATCTACAGCGTACCGTTGAGCTGCGTGCACTGCATGCAACATAACTTGGTATAAGTACATATTTTACACCTTCTCCCCTTTTTGGGGGGCTGGATGAGATTTGGGTGCCACTTGTATACACCAGCAACATCACTCGTCTCTGATTGGCTGGGTCAGGTCGAGCTTTTGGACCCCTGAACGCATCTCTCAACTAGAAAGCCCCGCCGTCACCGCAACCGTCACTCCTCACTCGTCAGTTCTCATGGGAAATTCGTCAAACTCGGCGCCGCCCAGGACACCCTCGGCCTACTCCGTTTGTTCTGTCGCGTGGAACCCTTCACTCCTTGAACAACGTGCAACGTTTTCTCTTCCCAGCATTTAACCTCCCTGGGCTTTTTTGCACGCACACCGTGATTGGCGCCCTGCCCAAGCACGAACACAATGGAAGGGTGAGTGCTCCGACGCTCAGGACGGTTGAAGCATCAGCGTAGTCCGCAAGCTCATGCCATGGTTGGGTACGTGACGCTCAGCAGCGACTGATAGCAAACGACAGACACAAGCGTTCCAAATCGTCTACAGTCAAAAGCCTCATCAACCGCGTCTCCTCCAAGACTGACGTAACCGACGTCAATAGCTCCGAGCCCGTAGCGCCCGCCTCCTCCGCAACTTCCGTCAAGTCCCACACGGGATCCTCTGCCTCCAAACACCACCGCTCCGCTTCGAGGCACCACCGGCCTCACCTCACCACGACTATGACGAACACCGCACCACAAGATGGCCTTCCTCCGGCGTCACCAGCGCAGGGTCCCACCCCTACCTCGCCGCTGCCACGAGCTGCGTCTGTAGAGCAATCCGTCAAGCTGTTCCGAGTCTTTGAAGCCTTGCGCAATGGCGATACAGCGGCTATCTCCAAGGCAATAAGGGAGCAGCAGGTGCCCCAAAATGAGGAGCGAGAGGGTTCCTCCTTGTCATTGCCTGGACGTTCGGAGGGTACTTCAATATTGCATCTGGCCATACAATGCGCAGAGCTGCCCGTCATTGAATTTGTGCTCTCGAGTGCAACTCCAGGGCCGGACTCGGTCGTTGACGTAAATGGCCGTGATCGCGACGGGAACACCCCTCTGCATCTGGCTGCGACACTCGGTCGTGTGCAGGTAGTGCGCATGCTGCTCGATCAACCGAATGTGAACGATTCCATCACCAACTACAACGGTCAGACGCCGCTCGATCTCGCTCGAACGCCAGAGATCTTCCAACAGTTGCAGCTCGCGCGGTCTATATTCATTGAATCCAATGTGAAGAAGATACAGCACCTCGTGGCCACGCAGGACTTGGAAGGGATTGAGAAGCTCCTGCAAGACCCGAGAGTTAAGAGTTCACTGGACGTCAACGGCGGAGACCTGCCAACCGATCCTGCGGTGGTCGATGCCGGAGGAACACTTTTGCACGAGGCGGCCAAGCGCAGGGATGTCAAGTTGGCCCAGCTGTTGCTTCTCAATGGTGCGGACCCTTTCCGGCGAGATCGAAAGGGAAAGCTGCCGCAAGACTACACCAAGGATGACCGCACTCGCGCGATACTGAAGCGATCGCCAGCTGCGGCTGCGGCACAGAGAGGAATCCAAGAGAAGACTATCCTAGCGGGTGCGGGTAGCCAGTCGGCCACAGGGGAGAACAGCATAGGCGCAAAGGAGTCAAGAGAGATGAAGGGCTACCTGAAGAAGTGGACGAACTACACAAGTGGCTACAAACTGAGATGGTTTGTGCTTGAGGATGGCGTCCTGAGCTATTACAAGCATCAAGGTAAATGCAAACTTATTCACCTGCTGTATCCCGCTAAGTCATCCAGACGATACTGGCTCTGCGTGCCGTGGTGCCATCAATATGAAGATCGCGAAGCTCTTCATGGACCCCCAGGATAAGCTGCGTTTCGAGATCCAAGGGAAATCTTCCGTCAAATACCACTTGAAGGCGAATCATCAAGTCGAGGCCAAGCGCTGGTTCTGGGCTCTGAACAACGCCATTCAGTGGGCAAAGGACGAAGCCAGAGAAGAGGAGAAGCAGCGGTCCCGCGACCAAGAGTTATTGAAGCAAGCGAGAATTGAGCAGCTGGACAAGTCCCGCCTTTCCAAAGACAACGACTCGCTCAGCCATGCCAGTACCAGGTTGCGGGGTGGGAAGGATCTTGTCCCATCCACGTCACTGGGAGTCCCTCTGACAAGTCAGGACGCGGCGTCACGCCCTGCGGCCAGCATCAACGGAGAGCCTGAAAGTGCATACGAGAACAGCGTAGCTGGCAACGAACTCGGAAGGATAGTCAGTCAGTTCGGGACGACTACAATAGAAGGCGACTTGGACGACGATGAGGAGGATGGTGATGACGCCAGCAGCCACGAACTGCGGCCCCAGAGCAAGGATGCCTTCAACATCACTGCTCAGTCGGCCAAGGTTCAATTGGATCTGTTGGCCCAGGTGACAGCGGCGCTGCAGGCAGAGAAGGGGAAGAATCCGACGTTGCAAATCTCTGATTCGCTGATGGTACAGGCTCTGGCATCATATGAGGCAGCGGTTGGAAATCTCAAAGGCCTCATTGGGGATCTTCTGAGGATATCACGAGATCGAGACGCATACTGGCAGTACCGGTTAGAAAGAGAAGCCAATGTCCGCCGCATGTGGGAGGAGAGTATGGCGAAAGTGGCAAGGGAGCATGAAGAGCTGGAGAACCGCCTCGGGGAATCCGAGCTTAAGCGGAGAAAAACAAAGAGGGCATTGCGGGAAGCCCTTGATGAGTACAAGGAGGAAGGAGGGAAAGTCCTGGAGGAAGATGAGGAGTTCACCGATGCAGAGGAGGCGATGTCAGAGATAATTCCTGGTAAGGTTGAATCTCGCCGTTCTTCGCGAGCTTTGAGAAGAAAAGCCACCTTTGCAGACATCGTTGCCGAAATCTCAGAGTCCGAGTCCGAGGAGGAAGAGGAGTTCTTCGACGCCGTTGGAGCTGGCGAGGTCGAGGTTGCTCAGATGCCGGAGGTGCACGCCTCCAAACCTACAGGAGATCTCTTCAAAAATAGGTTCGAAGTAATCAAGACGGGTTTCAAAGGCTACGAGGATGGCCCAAGGAAGAGATTGGCCATGGACGCGGATAACCGGCCTAAGATTTCTCTATGGGTGAGTAAGGCCTGTCTCCTTGAGTGAAGGGGCTAATCAGTCTTAGGGCATTCTGAAATCCATGATCGGCAAAGACATGACCAAGATGACGCTCCCTGTCTCCTTCAACGAGCCAACTTCGCTGTTGCAGCGTGTTGCAGAAGACATGGAGTACGCCGAACTCCTCGACACTGCCGCCGAACGTGTGGATTCGACCGAGCGCCTACTCTATGTCGCCGCATTTGCCGCCTCCGAGTATGCCTCTACGATCGGCCGTGTAGCGAAGCCCTTCAACCCCCTGCTCGGTGAGACGTACGAGTACGCACGACCGGACAAGGGCTACCGCTTCTTCATCGAGCAAGTCAGCCATCATCCGCCGATTGGGGCCGCCTACGCCGAGTCGAAGAACTGGGATTACTATGTAAGTCATGCATGTTACTTGGATGTCAGTCGACACTAACACGGTCCAGGGTGAATCTGCAGTGAAGTCCAAGTTTTACGGCAAGTCCTTTGACATCAATCCCCTCGGCACCTGGTTCCTTCGCCTGCGTCCCACGTCCGAAGGCGGCAAAGAAGAACTCTATACCTGGAAAAAGGTCACCTCCTCCGTCATCGGCATCATTACCGGTAACCCCACCGTCGACAACTACGGTCTCATGGAAATCAAGAACTGGACCACGGGCGAAGTCTGCCAACTCGACTTCAAGCCTCGCGGCTGGAAAGCAAGCTCCGCATACCAGGTCGTAGGTAAGGTGCTCGATGCCGAGGGCCGCGTGCGATGGAGCGTCGGCGGTCGGTGGAACGACAAGATTTACGCCCGCCTGACGCCTGGGTTCGAGGACGCGGAAATCGAAAAGGGCGGGTCCAACAAGCACAAGCACAACGAGGAGAACAAGGCGTTCCTCGTCTGGCAATGCCATGAGCGACCGACGGGCATCCCGTTCAATCTCACGCCGTTTGTCGTGACGCTCAACGCACTTCCGGATGCGCTGCGGCCGCATATCGCGCCCACGGATACTCGGTTGCGGCCCGATCAGCGGGCGATGGAGGATGGGCGGTACGATTTCGCGGCGACAGAGAAGAATCGGGTGGAGGAGAAGCAGAGGAAGACTAGAAGGGAGAGGGAAGCGAGGGGGGAGGAGTTTGTGCCAAGGTGGTTTAGCAAGGGGAGATGTGAGATCACTGGGGAGGAGTACTGGGTTTTCAACCACGAGTATTGGCGGATTCGGAATGAGGTTAGTGAGAGGAGGGCAAGGTGGGAGGAGCAGGGGCTGGAGGATATTTTTTGAGTGTGGATTGAGTGTTTGGGGGAAAATAGAATAGACGTCGGAGGTGGTGTCCGTCTGGTTGAGCTGGCTTGCGTGGCGTGGTATGGTGTGCGTAGTGTATGATTGATTGCATGGATTATGGTTTGATGATATGTGTAGACCTTGCACGAGATGATGGGCTGAATGCATTTCCGATATATAGAAGTTGAATATCTGCCATACCTCTGCAACTGCACACCCGGCTTCCACATGTCGCACATCATCAATTGCCAAACAACTCGATCGAGACCCGCACGGAGCTGAAATGACAACGACGACTAGAGTAGGTAAGCGGGCGTCTCGATAGATGTACTGTGTGGCACGGCGATGGCTTAGGGTCGTCGGCAAGGTAAACCTGCCGTACGCTTTTTTCTCTATGAACCGTCAGACAGCCCGGGCTAATTCTTGATAGGCTTCTTATATTTCTTTTTGCTTCCCTTCTTGTTATTTCTCTTTTTAGGGCACACTTTTTTTTATTAAACTAAAAAAGTTGGTGTAGCGCTGGAAGCTTTTTCTTCCGTATGAGTATGTGTATGGTTTTCAGTATCGTGCCTACTACCTCTGCGTATGTGCCATCTACCTGCGTAGAGGATAAATATATGAAGGCCGTGGTGCCATTGCGGGGGCTTCCATGGTTCGAGATCTTCCCGTACCTACGACCTATGTTAGGTTAGCGATTCGATGTATTCTCCAAAGCGCTAAGATGATGATCCAGCGTAGTCCGAGTCGTAGTTGGGGACGACGGTGGTCAGCGAAATCTCGGATCGGTTAATGTAAATGTACGTCTCTATTTCTCTCATTGCAGATTAAGGCCCTGTTAAGGGTTAGATCTCTGCTGTATCTGAGACCACAGGGGCTAGCAGAGTATATATCAGGCGAAGCCCTACTGGAACTGGAGTCTACGGTCTTTGTTTATCTAACCCATGTAGCTTTACGAACACTTACACTTAAGATGAACGTGGATAGTTACTTGTAAGAAAGATCAGTTTCGAAATATTTGTGTACACAAACGTCCGGTTACATGCGAAGTATGCGAGGCTTATTGTGGAAGGTGTCCGTCTACTTAGAGGAATGTTAAGGTGCGGCGAAGTATTGAGGATATACTAGGAAGCTAGTAACGTGAGCTTGAGGCTATGTTCTCCTGTCCTGAGAAGGGTGTTCATGTTGGAAACTAGCCTAAGGACAGGGGGAACCTTAGGATATCTGCACTTGCACTTGCTGAGTTTGCCAGCATAGTCGGAAGAGAACTTAAGGGACGGAATCCGCCACTGGTTACGGGCTGGCTTGACGTCTATTCGAACAGGCTGTAACCACGGTTGTTGCAATCCAGAATCATAGAATCAGGTCTTAAATTTCGAGAGTTGAGCTGTAGCAAACTCCGCTATGATTCCCCTCCGATCCCGGCGTGGTCGACGAGCGAAGTCGAGATAAGGCAGTATCCGCAATGATGCGGTACAAACCTCATTTCTCCAGACGGCGTAGCCGCTTTTGGTACGCCGCTGCACACTTCTCTATGTCGACGCCGTGTGCTTCCAGAAGTAGAACCATCGATTCCAGTCCATTGACCTTGGCAGTAATGTAACAGTCTCCAGCCCACTTATTCAGATGTGCACCTCGCTCCAACAGCAGTTTGAACAGGGCCTCGTTTTCTAGCGCGATGGCGCACACGAGCGATGAGGGGCTTGAGGCATGACACCAACCATCAGGGTCATGGAACCACTCAGGCGAGGTGCCTGCGTCAAGTAGCAAACGAATTGGTCCCACATCGCCGCATCTACTGTGAAACAGCCATTTAGGAGCGGGAAATCCCCTGTCCAAAAGTTCACGCGCGAGTTCCAGGTGACCGCATTCTGCTGCTGCACTGACAAAGCGGGACGCGGGCTCTGCTCCGTGCGCCAGCAGACAATCGAGAACTTCCTTGTGTCCCCTCCAGCAGGCAGCTCTCCCGGCTGGAAGGAAATATGCTTCGGGGGTCTCCGAGTACGGTATTCCAGAGCGACGCGATTTCGGGAATAGGGGCTTCAATTCCAGCAGACGCTTCACGATTTCCACGTTTCCAGACCAAGAGTGCGTTGAGAGTAATGAATACAGAGGTTGATTCGGGGGCTCTAGGGCGTGTAGCTTGCGTAGCTCCGCCAGGAAGTCGAAAATCGCAGGACTGGGAGTGTCGACGGTATTTTGCAGAGCCATGCGGCCAGTCTCTGTAGCCCAGGGCAAGTCGTCATCATCCGCCTTGAAGGCGTAGATAAACCGGACCATATCTGCCCGACCGGCCCTTGCTGCGTATGCAAGAAGTGTCGCGCGCTGTTCGCATTTGATCTCACTAGTAGAAACTCCATTGGTTAGGAGATACTCAACCGTGTGTTCCGTTCCATACTTTGCGGCGATTTCGAGGTATTCCCCAAAGATTACGTTGGGATCCGTGTCCGGGTCAAGCGCCTCGACCACATAGTCCTTCTCCATGGCCCGCTCAATCATGGGAAAAGTGTTTGTGATGATAGCAGCGGCGAAAAGAGACAACTCATATTGCTTGTCCGTGACTTCTGCACGCCTGTGGTATATCTGACGGAGGTTGACGACGTCGTCGCCGCCCATGTGAGGATAACCCTGCGGTAACGCTGCTGTGCAGAGTGGGCGTAAATACGTTTCGATAGCTACCGATTGCGAGTTGTCACAGCCCTGATTGGCCTTGTGAACTTCCTCGGCGGCGGTCCGAATGCACTCTAGGTATGGAAATCCATGTACTGACTTTGGTGAAGAGAGACGATGTATGAAATAGGGGAGCACGATCTTTTTACTCGCTTTCCGATCATAGAGGTCCTCTGAGAAATAATCGAGAAGGTGGTAGGTGTATATAGCCTCCATGACTGCGCTTGCAAAGAACTCTAGAGCCTGTTAGCCAACTCTTAGTTATTTCATGTGGAGGGGGAATCTCACTGTTGACGAGCCTCAGCCGTAGTGCACGTTTGAGCTGTCGTGCAAGTATTGCTTGTTTGACGATCTCGTCGAGTAGCTCCCGTGGGAGATCAAGCAGATGCATGGCTGAGCCCGTTGGTTTGAGTCCAACACAGAAGTTCGAGAATGTTAGGATTAGTCCGAAGTAGGCTTTCCAGCTGCAAGTGAAGCTAGTACTCTCTCGAGCTACCTCAGCAGCTGGGAGACAAGCGCGTCCGTGAGTGCCTAGTCAATCGAAGCAGGACGAATATTCTGCTCTTCCCTTGGGTCGAACAGAAAGCGGCACAGTTGCGTGCGATATGACGCAGGCTGTGTGGAACTGCTGCGAGCTTTCAGATCTGACTGACCGTATCTGTACCTGCATGCCAAGACCATACGAATAGGGTGAGGGAGAAAGCACGTGAATCGAGCATACCGTCAAGGTGATGATTCACCCTACATAATTATCTCATTTTTTCCTTTGCCTCTTCTACATTGGGTAGCTACGTCTATCGTTCTTCTTTGCCTGGGTTCTAACAATGTGTCAAACTTGATTAGTTGCGGAGATTGGGAACGTAACACATGCGTGATCTGTCGCATCCCATCGAACACAATATATATTTTTTTGATATACTTTTAGATTCGATGTTTTCGGCTTCGAAAATAATTCAAATGTAGGCCCTTAACACCTAACCTACACCTATAATACATAAACACCTATACACATTCTATGCCGAGAACGCTCTCGCGACAAGCTTAAGCGACTTCAGCATCCTCTTCGTGATGTCTAGATATCTGCTGAGTCTTCCTTTCACCGCGGCATCCTCCCTATCCTGCTTATCTTGTGCGCTCAATCCCGGCTCATTCACTCGCGGAAGTGTGTAACCCATGTCAGCAAGCACTGCCCATAGTGTTAGGTAGCAGTAGTTATCCGCATTATTAACGGCCATATCGGTTGGCTTCTGAATACTGTTCTTCCAGCCATAAGCAGTCTGGGGATCCGGGAGATCTCGGATCCTCATTTCTCCAGTTGAGGGTTCATATGATAGAGCGTGCGCAAATTCGTGGACGATAGTGGCAGAGACCAGATACGAAAGGATTCCGATTGGCACGTTGTTCAAATCTAACGCCTCCACGTGGTGGTCGATCCGGAGAGGAAGACCATCGCCAGATTTGAATGCTTCATCGCAGATCTACAGATATATTCGTCAATCACGACATGAGGGTGAGATCGAATTCCAAGGGAACAACTTACAACCACAACGATACGGTTTGGATTATGGCCCGCGCGCGGGCTTGTCGGGTCCGTTGCATCGAATGTCTTTCCATTGTATGCCCGACCCAATACACCAGGTTTGTAACATGATGGTTTCAACGGAAAAATCAATTCACTACAGATGACGTTAATCTCGGTTCATAGTGTTCATAATCTTACTAACGGATTATGTGCCTCTCACGTACTTGGTTCCATCGTACCAACCGCCGGTGGGCCTCTCAGATCCCCACCGCCTGTCATTATCGCAGAAGACTCTTATGTCGGACGTTTTGAGGTCAGTCACCGGGGACAAGTCGACGAACTCTTTCAGAATGCCTGTACAAATAGCATTATTAACGCCCTTAGCAGAAGGAATAAAATCTACTTACCTCTAACGTACTGTCCCTGGGTAGAGCCCTTGTCTGTCCGGAATATACGCTTGAACACGGCTTCAAAATCAGTGTCTGTTGCGCTATCCAATCGTTCCCCCGCCCGCCTGGCAAGCCTCAGCGATTCTTGCCAATAGTCATTCCAACCGGGCTTGAATGTACAACTGTAGTCGATATAGAGCGATTTGGAATGCGCGACGAGAGGGAGCGACAAGGCTACCAAGACCAATGAGTTGAAGTAATGCATGGTAATGAACGTAATTGCAACGCAGCAGGTAGCAGTTGAATTCAGGGAAAGCGAATTGAACTCAAGTAATTCTTGAGTGGAGGTTAAGTAGTCTTGTCAGAAGTTCATTTTGAGTTGTGAATATTTTTGGAGGACTTGGTCGAAGGAACGGCGTTGAACCATGGGCCACGAGTCGTGTCATACAGTACCTGGCCCCATCTCTGGACCAGCCCCATCAACCGGTCCCAGCGACCAGCCCCATGGAATACAGACGACAATCATACGTTGTTCCTCGCAATCTCGCAATACCCGACTACAACGATAACCACTCACGTAATATCCCGAGTTTGAGCAACGAGGTTTCCATTCGACAACACCTGTATCCAGTGTTGGATGGCAATTACAAGTGTTCCTACCGACATGTTTCGGGAACGATTCACCCCTGTATCCAGTGTTGGATGGAGATTAAACAGAGCCAAGTGTTGCTACCAACACCTTATGTGGACGACGACCACTTAGGAACCTGACTTTAAGTGGAAAATTCCCGATGCTCAGATTCTACACACTTCATTATAATTCAGTGTTGGATGGCAATTACCAACATCCTACTAGAACAATGACCACTTAGGGGCCCGAGTTTGAGCGATAAATTTCCGATGCACAGTTTGTACTTCGTTATGGGTGATCATTGGATCAGATCTCGGATTTTCAGGGGCTCGAACCTCGTACTCTAGGTACAACTGACCTAAAAGAGAGTAAGCAATTTTAAAAGTACGCGGATAGAAGTCCGGGGCGCTAAGACATCCATTGATTGTGGCTGTACAAAAAACTTAGCGCGATTGAGAAGTCGCGCAGCCCCGAAAACATCTGGCCGCAGCACATGTCCGATCAGCATAAACATGGATCGAGATTAGGTAGAATTGATCCTTCTTAGGTAAGATTTTATGCCTATTGGGTTTAGAGTGAATGCCCTGGCTATGCGTTCCGATGGGTCACGGTTGGATCCACTGTTATTGTTTCGAGTCAACGGTTCCACAATCCCCCCAGCTGTTCACTGCGCACGACCAACTCAAACGTCGCAACCATCTCGACACAGGGCAGATATCGGCAGTAGAACCAAAAATAGAGGCAAAGCGCCCGAAATTGTCGGGTTGGCCGTTTATATTACGGGGAGTTCTGCTGGTTCGAATGCCAAATTTGCCTGTTCATTCACGCGGCCTTCATCCACGACATCATGAAGGCCATCTTTTGGCTGTCCGTTCTTTCTCAATTCCTTGAGTCCAGTGCTCAAGCGCAAAAAGTCATCGCATGTCCCGAACTGATTGGAGGTGCTCCACAACCCTGTGTGAACCAAGAATGTGGGAATGAAGACCCAGAGAATAAGGGTCATTGCGCCAACAAAGCCTCGGATGAGTCGCACTGTGCTTGTATGTCTTCAGGTCGAATTTCAGCGAGCATTCCAAAGAAAGCTAATGCATTCAATATAGGCGACCCAGCTGCAACAGCAGCTCAACCACTGGTGACCTCGGTTGTCACGGCCCCCCCAATTAGCGGCGAAACGAGTGCTCCATCTGGTGCTCCCTCTGCCACTTTCGCTCTCGCGACGCTCACGCAATATAAAGATCTTCGTGAGAGCATTACAGCAACTCTCACAGTATCTCCAACGCAATCTGGCGAACCCGCCGCTACCGTAGCCGCAGTTGTATTTGCCGGAGGAGTTGCTTGGTATCTTGCCGGCTATGTGGGCGCTGAAGCTGCCGCATTAACGGCTCCAAAGGAAGCACCCCCCGGCCACGAAAATGACGAGAAGTGTAAAGACGTCACGCCTAAGTGCAAGGATTGTGGTGCTACTCTTGGGTTCTGTGTCGAGCCGAACCCGGGTTGCGCTTGCGACGACAAGGAGGAGGAGAAGAAATGTCCGGAAAAGAAGCCGTCTTGTGAGGCAACGGAGTGCAAAGGAGACAATGGTAACGTTAATGAATCGTATTTTAAACTTCCAACTAATATTCCATCAAGGCAAATGCACACTAGACGGCCTTAAGGACTGCGAATGTGAGGAGAGCATTAAATGTCCCGATGACATCGACGCTCCCTTCTGTTCTGCATGTGGAGGTGAAGAGGCTGACACTGCGCAATGTGCGGGTGGTGCACCTTGCTGCAAAGGGGTAAGTGTATCTCGGTATCTAGACTGGCATTGAATATGAGCACTTTTACTAACTTCGGGAATTTAGGATGAGACGGGCAAATATAAGGGCTGCCGCTGTTATAAAGAAGATGGAGTGGGTGTTGATGGCTTGGAGAGACCAGACGATCGCGCTGTGCTGGCCGCTTTGTGGAAAAATGTAGAAGAACAGGAGCAACCCGTTTGTCAGAAACAAAATCCGGATTTATCTGAAGTTACGGCGCCGCAGCACATCAAGGATGGAGATCCAAGCGTCGAGAAAGCTGCGAAAGAATGGTGTGCGAGCATGGACGGCAAGACAGTGGGAGTAAAAGATGGAGAGGTGCCGCATCAATTCGTCAGGAGCGGAGATACCAGCTTCTGGCTATCTGCATCGTTTCGAAACACTGGGGACTGTGGTAACGAAGCCAAGATTGTTGGGGATGAGTGCGCGGAGTCCATGATGAGGGCAGTGGAAGGATGCGAGCCAAACCAGAAGACGACTCACGGAGCTGCTCTTGGTAAAGGATGCTTCTTCTATGTAAGTCAAGCTGGCGTGCGATTTGACGATGGTTTGCCTGATAGCTGACAATTCTCAGAACGTTACTGTCAGTGGCTCCCTCGATGCAGACCATCCCCCATGGGAGGGTAACAAGGGCCAGCCGCAATGCGATCGCAAGGTCTCCAGCATCGAAGGGACCTTCTTCCGTGGCCTTTATCCCCAGTTTTGTTCACAGGTTAAGGATGGCAAAGCTATTAAGACAACCCTGACGAACAAGGATTTCAAGCCACCAAGCAAAAGCAAGCGATCTCCTCCCCCAAGCAGCAACCAATACGAAGACTACAAGTTCAACTTCGAATTCTCTGGGGGCGAGAATTGCAAAATCAGTTGTGAAGATGCTTTCTCAAAACTTCGCGATGGCTGTTCCGGCACCACAACTCTAATGTACAAAGGAAGCATCGATGCTGGCTGTGGCACCTACTCATACTCGATCGAGGATCCGCCTCCGCCCACAGTATGCAAACCGAAGGAACAACCCGAGGCTCTTGGACCAGTGAAAACGTGTAATGAAGGCAACCTACGGGCTTTGCAGTTCAGTGGCTGCGGGACACCTAAGCCATTCATCCCGAAAGAAGTCTTCCAAGCTGGTGCTCATCAATTTTGCTATGGCGGCTTCGACTTCACGGCCAAACCGGACGATAAATGGAGCGCTGCGAACCGTTTTTGGATGGACAAGAATGTAATCGACCCCAGCACTAATCTTCCAAAAGTCTGCACCGGCAATCAAAGGTTCGCCTGTGAGAGCAAAATCGAGATTATGGTTGTACCAGCCAAGGATCAGACTGGTTGCAAACCGCTCAAGGAACACAAACTTGCGAAGGATGGTGACTGTACTAAGATGTTAGATGAAGTTTCTGAGGCCTGTATAACCCCGGTCACCGATGGTTATTCGAATAAGACCGGTGGATTTTTCTTGGAGAAGTCAGAAGACGGTTGCTGGGAATGGTGGATTTGGGCTGCTCAATACGGTGAGACCGATCAACGTGACGACTCTTACGGTAGGAACTAGTAGGAGGTTAGCGTTCCCATAGTAATTTGGTAATTGAGGGCGCCAAGAACTCTCTCGCTTTCTGCATTTAACAGATTGTACTCTGTACTTTCCAAAAAGCAATGATGTCACATTTTTGATTGTCTTCTTACCCTACCTTCTTCGGATCTTTATAGACGGTGGAAAGCTCCTAGTTAGCTCGAAATCGTACTTGTTAACGCCAACTTAAGTACTACATAAGAAGGTTTTATTGTCACGCGTGAGGGGCACAACCCCGGAGCTTACTTATGACCGCGGTGGTAAGCCCATCAATTCGGCCTTTTTAAACCTGAAACTTCTATATAAAGGCTTGTTGAATTCGCTATCATCTGTCGTACTTCAATTCACGCATCAACTATGTTGGACGCTAAGTCTTTGGTCTACGTACTTCCACTCACTCTCCTATCCCCAATCGCTCTCAATTACGGGAAGCGATCAGGACATTCACTATTCCCTCTACAAAGACCTTCAGAAGCACCACGAGCCGTCGACCAAGGTTTGCTATCGGCCTGTGCGGCGCACCCAGCTCTGTCCGTCGTCACAGTCTGGCCCACGGCTACAACATCCGCCTCCGCAGATCCGGTCCTTGCCACGAATGAGCCGTCTGAAGCGAAACCCGAAGTAAAGCCAAAGGTCCAAAAACCGAAATACACCTGCCCTGAAAATGAGGGCAGAGAGGAAAATATCTTCTTTTGCGTTCACTGTGGCGGTGCGAAGGAAGGAACGCCGTGGAGGAATGATGGTGTGCCGAATGCAAAGTGCGTTGGGGTAAGCTATTGAAATTTCACCTACCATCTTCCAAGAACTTCAAGAAGATGGGGCTACCATACTCACGATATCTCAGTTATCAAACGGCATGTGGGAAGACTGTCTCTGCTACGAAGAACCACCACAGACAGTGTTCCCGTTAGTAAGAGGAAATAGAGGCACGAAGAAAGGGCTCAAGGAAGAATGGACAGAGAAAAGTTTGGATGAAGACCCTCCTAAAGCTTGATAATTTACGAAATGTCCAGACCCATAGGTATGAGTGGGTGGCTACTGAGGGAGGATATGCTATTTAGAATCCGAATGTATTCGGTAAGGAGCTGTAACAGCTCCAGATACTTCTAGAGCTATATAGGGGAACTTGAGTTTTGGCCCTTTATCCTGATTAATCTAGCTGAAGCCCGGAGTTCCCCCATTCCAGAGAATAGGCGCTCCCGCCATCTTCAGCATAATCCCCCTACGAGTTAGTAAACGTGCTTCGCTCCGAGAGGATAACGCCGCAAGATCCTCGGACCGGGAGGATAATGTAGCTAGATGTACTCTAAGGCTAATTTACCCTACTAGGGGAGGACACTGGTTGAGGAATACAGAGAGACAAACATCATGCTGCAGTGTAATTCAACTCCGTGAGCCGGGTCAGATTCTTTTGATAAGCCGTATCAAGAAATATATATATATGTATATATATATATATATACAGAGAGAGAGAGAGAGAGAGAGAGAGAGAGAGAACTTCTCGAAGAGACTCAATATACTTCGGGCACTCTCAATGCCCAAGGCCTCGTGCTTCACGCACACGAAAATGACCCATCACGAGCCTGAATCTCATATGCAAGGAGCGAAAGGACCATAACGCGTACATCCTTGCCAATTCGTCACGTTCCGTGCCAGCTTCGCCACTTTTTCTAGCCCAACGCCAGAAAACTAAATGGCAGGCGCGGAGTCCCAGACTACCCTAAACATGTATGGATAACAAATGTCTCGTTTAGCAGTCACCCACTAATAAGTAGTGATAACTGGCTTGTTTTCCTTCTTTTGTAGCCAGCGCGGTGCTTCGGTGGACCCGCTTTGCGTGGGGACTCACATTGCGGTCAGGCAACGTCGTGTTCTATTCTACTCATAGAAGTATACACACAGTCATTAACTTCCGCACTCCATATCCCAGAAAATCTGCCTCGGCCCACCCCTCCTCCCCCCCTGGGCACCCCTCCCGATCTCTCAAAACCATCCTTCTCCATCCAAATACCTCACCACCCCGCCTAGACTTCAACCGACATGACAATACCATCCATCCAAGCCTGCCTACTCCCCACATCGGTTATTTCCCTCTCTCCTCGCATCATCCGGGTTTATCATAAAGTATACTGAATGCATGCAATGATGCATGTGCGAAATCCAATCCCATCCCATCCCATCCCATCCATCCAATCCAACCAAGTCAGCCTCGTCCCACCGGACTGCTTACTGTACATTAACATCTGACGAGGCATACTCCCAGCAACATTGAATCCATCTAGACTCTCTCGACTACCCACAACACTCGACTGCAAAAACCACCTCTTCCTCACCCGCTCCCTTCTCCCGATGGGTAAGCGGGGCAGTATAGCTACGCGCATGATATCTTTCACCAATTTAGTGCGAGGAATGCTAGAAAATGTGATGTCTCCTTGTAATGAGGCGGCGGTAGCGTGCACAGTATATAGATGCCTTCATCCTTAGTGACGCTACCAAGGTAGGTTCTAATACTCGGAATATATGCGAAGTTGCAAACCCCAATGCATGAATCTTTAAACTGTAACTAGACGCACGCGCGACTCCTTCCGCACGACACCTCCCCAACGATACCTCCTATACACGAACACCACGTGCCAATGAATGATTAGATATAGCATTAGCAGTCTATGAGGATACCCTACCCGGGGAACGCCTTGTGATGAAAACCACTGTGTACCACCCATGCCACCCATGACCATTGCATCCATGTGCAGCCCAGGGGTATCAAATGCATACTGTCCATGTCCAGGTGTCGTGAGAGCAAGAAAGAAACACGTGAGAGACTGCCCATCCGACCTGGACCTCACCGATAACGCCTACCAAAGCACGAAATAAAGGAGAGTAAAGGCCGTGATTTCCATCGGTGAAGATACACCACAGCGCCCGAAAGCGTCTGTTGAATATGGACAAGGAAGCAAGAGCCGGGAATCCGAGTAACCAAGGATGGCCGGACAAATGAATGTGTAGGGAGCCTCATTGCAGGGCCATGATCAACGTCTCCGATGCAGCTCCTTGGAGTTCCTGTCCAAGCGTCTATTGACGCTACCAAGGACAACCTAAACAGAGGATGTTAGCAATCCGGACAACTATGACAAACACAAGGTAGGACAAACCTTCATAATTCCCGCCGCAGTCAACTCCTCATCACCATTCCCCTTGAACGGCACCGTATCCACCATATCCCTCAAGTCATCATCGCCCGCAATCTCGGCAAGCCCATCGTCCAGCTGCTTGAGATGCTCGCGGGCACCGGGTTCGCGGCCAACTTGGAAGAACTGCAAAGCAATCTGGTCAGCATTTAATTCCTAAGCAAGACTCGGTGATTGCAACATACCTGGATCCCAACCTGCCAAGCCGGCGCGTCCAACCTGTCCAACTTCCTCGCCGCCGCGATAATCGGACTCTCCACATCATCCGAAGGCTCGCCATCCGTAATCACAATCACATTGATCGGCTTCGTCCTCTCGGGATCCCTCTCATACCTCCGCAGATACGGGCGCAGAATGTTATTCAAGCGCTGACCTGTCGGGGTGCCTCCGCGCGGCCGCACGGTCTGGAAGATTTCGACGACCGTGGAGGCGGAGGTGACGTTCTTGTACAGGGAGGAGTCCGGGTGGTTGAGGAAGTAGATGTCGATGCCGTCGGCGTCGCGTTGGGTGCAGATTGGCGTGATGGTTTCGAGGGCTTTGGCGGTCTCGCGCCAGGAGCGACCGGCCATGGAGCCGGAGTCATCGATGAGGAAGATGGTGTCGAAGGATTTGAGGAAGGAGTAGGGGTCGTCGGTAGTAGAGGATGAAGTGGTTGTGGAAATGGTCGCATTATTAGAAGTTTCTTGAGCAATTGGGCCGGGTGTGTAGGCCGGTGGGGGCTCATTGGGGGGGGCGCTGAAGGGGTTCATACTGGCTCGATCTGGGGAAAGTTAGATATGAAAAAAAGTCTGAAAGTATGCTTGAACTTACCAGGGCGACGAGTAGCTGGTGATGTGGAAGTGAACGGATTATTTGTGGGCGACCTGGAGGCTCCGCCTTTTGATGTAGCGAGAACAGTAGTCCTTGACGTCGACTCGCTGTGGTTCTCACTTGACCGATGGGATCGCCGTGACAGGCTCTTCTTGATGTTGCCAAACACTGAGTTCGTCATGGTGATTGAAGGTGTTCTGTTCACTGGATTGTGTCCGCGGTGTCCTGTAGGGGTTATATGGTCGAACAAGGTGGAGGTGAGTGACACGGACATGGTGAGTGGAAGGAGCAAACAGTGACTTTTTGAATGTTCCCAATGACTGTGCGGCAGGAGGTCCCGTGATTGGGTATGACGATGGGAAACGTTTTCAGAAGGAGACTAGATTCCCGTGCTGATGCAACTAACCGCTGAGACTGCCCCAAACGTTGGACTTATATAGTACAAGCAAGGGGTTGGTCTGAACGTGGAGGCCTTGATGTCTGCCTTGTGTGGCGCATCGGAATCACTTGCCACATTTTCGCACCGCCGCAATAGGGCATATAGGAAATGCAGGTCCAACGTGCAAGACCGTATCTCAGACACGTATCAGAAAATTGAAGCTGTGTTTCGCCTTCGGAGACAAGCCTGTGAAAGGGGGAGGAGAGGCGCAGTGTAGAACACAGCCACAAGACAAAATCCGCCTAAAAGATTAGCGTACAATGCTCAGCCTTCCAACGTGACCCCAGCACCAAATATGCACCAATCAACGTCCGGAACACACGCAATAGTCGCAATTGCCGCGCCTACTACTGCGCACACATTACAACCTTGAGCGGTGCTATACACAGTATGGCGCCATCATCTCCGCAATCTGCCTACCCAGGGGCACTTCTTTGAAGTCAACAATTGACAACTCTCGAACATGTGAAGTGGCCAGCTTGAACGGCATATAGAAAGGCTTTTTTGTGCTAGAGCACGCTCATGTGCCTTGAAGGGTGTTTTGAAAGAGCAAGGTGAACGTCATGTCGCGCGAGTAGCCCGAGGAATTCAGAAGCAATGGAAGCTTGGTAAGCATGCTAAGCGCGACGACGGAACGATAGGGCTGATACTGTCCCCGCAAGGCACAGACCTTCCATGTAGCCCGCTGGCACATGGTAGGAAGTGTAGACGTGCATAGCGATTGGCCTTGCAGCCTGAAGCTTGTTCTGACCACCGTATTGTTCGTATATGTCGTTCTACCTACACTAGCCGCTGGGAGCCGTCCAGTTGCGCTCCACGGCCATGAACATATCTCTCACAGATGCGTGCTTCTTAGGGCCTTGATTCCACGCATTCAGGGGTATGTGCGGTTTCGGCAGGTTCACCGGCGGGCTCCAGGAAACCGGTCTCTTTGCGTCTGACCAGGCGTAAGCGGCTCGATGCTGTGTCCAGCAATCCCCACAGATACCAATGTGTGCGCTCCCAGTCTCAGAATTGAACAAGCCTTGGATGTAATCGAGCCAGGGAGATATTCGAACTCTTATCCCGCAGTGGTGATGGTTACCATCGATCTGATACGAGGGAACTTGCCGCAGAGATTCTATTAAGCGGTCGACGTCCCCAGAATAGTGACTTGGCTCTGTTGCATCGTAGATGGTTCCCTGCAAGCGCAGGGTGCCCTGCCGCAGGAAAAACCGGATCATCTCGCCAAGCTGAAAAGAATCGCATTGGCCCGAGGAGTCGTAGCCCAGTTTACATTGCCTAGCCCCAGAGGTGTACAGTTTGAGGAAGTGTGCCTGAAGCGAGTTGATAGTTTCTAGGATGCATTCCCGCCGGAATATCAACTCATCTGAGCTCGCATTAGTACGTACGCACAGGATACAAGCGGAATATTGCTACGATGGGCAGAGGCTCTTACCTTCCACTCCATTGGGCAAGTCCCACCACAAAGCCGCAGTGCCATCCATCTCTACCCCTTCCTTCCATTGTGCTGAGTCTCGCAATATGAGGTGTTTGGAGCAACTGGTTATCCAAGGCCCATAATCAAACAGCAGCCCGATGAGGAGTTTCTGTCGTATTCTTTCTTCCGTGGGGCGCGTTTTGCTGGCTTTCAACCTCGCATCCACAGAGACCAAGTATTTCTTCCTGTGTATATACGCCTTGAAGTAGTCCAGGGCATCGAATCGATCTGCAAGGACGGCTATATTGGCTAGGTTCGTGACCGGGAACTTTTCAGGTAGCGGCTGGCCATGAAGAGCTCGAAGAAAGTCGGCAGCGAGATCTCGGATAGATGATACTTTTGAAATGCGCCCAACATGGACAATCTGGATCGTAGGAAGGGCGTGGGATGGGGCTTCGGCGGGAGCAGAATAACCAGCCTGTTTGAGCGCAACGAGGCCCTCGGAGAGTATTCTTCCTTCATTGAATCGATCGCTTAGCAAGCTGTCAAAGTATCGCGAGTTCTGCCGTATGGTTTTCGAGCTGACTCTATATCGGAAGCCTGCATCATGTTCCTCGTGCCGGATGTGCAAGATGAGGTCGCCAGGTTCGATACTGATCAATTCGGATTCGGACGACATGGCTGAGGCGGTGGATAACGGGAGACGCTTGCTGTCTTCCGCGTGAGGACAGATGTCACGGATATGGCCACGCCATGTTAAAGAAAGACGCAGTGGGGTGGCGACGGCAACGGGCAGAGATGCGGTCTTCTCATGAAGTCAAGTGCCAAGCCCTAGATGACCAATTTAGCAAGTTGCTCACTACACAGTACACAGTCGACGAAACTATCAGTCCAAGTCAAGAATAGGAGTATCTAGACCGTTATCTACTTATACAAGGATAGGTTAGATACACTTCATGCTATCTAGGCGGCAGAAGAGGATGTGTAGGAACGTGTTCTCTACTCAAGATATGCACCTAGGACAACATACAGGGCCACCCAGGCGATCACGCATCAACCTTGCATACAGTCAAGGATATATTAAGAAATACATTACATTCTCTCAATATGATATGAAGAGAAGACGATTGGGCCTACAGTCAAACCCTTCATGAATCGCTACCAATGCAAATATGCTTTTTCCCTTATGCCCTAGACTCCATCAGTGCCAGCGGTCTGTATAAAGCGGATAGCTACTAGCGCCTAAACATCGGTAACCTGGTATTGCCTTTAGCACATCCTACCAGAGAACCGACCAGAATATGTTCAACAATGCAGCACACACAAACGCAAATGCGTCGACCAAGATTCCTCTCTGGGGAAGCATCACGGTTCCGCTCTCAGCAATCCCAGTCGGAGAATGTGCACCTCGCATTGGGGAGTTGCTGTGCCATTGCGAGGTGGCTATAACCGATTGTCGAAGGAATCACTCGGCAGGTTATCAGAGCTACAAAAGTCTCCATGTAGGACGTCCTCAGGGGGAAAGACGACGATCGGGACAAGCCAACGGCCAATCCGATCATCTACCCGTTCTTCTTCCCTATCCGGTCCAGGTATGCGGCCCAGCCTTCTTTCCGATAACGGCTCGTGGTCTCGCGTCGATCTTTGGCGTTGAGGATACCGCGTCCGACGATGATGACGTCGCAGCCTTGGTCGTAGATTAACCGCCGGGGGGTATTGTATTGCTGGCCGAGACCGTCGCCGAGCTTCTTGCCTTCTTCTTCAGGAGGGGGCAGTTGGCAGCCCGGTGTCATTGTCAGGAAATTGTCATCCGGTTGGGTGTTGAGACTACGCTGAGCAATGAACCCCATGACGAAGCAGCGGTTGTCTCTCGCAATCTCCACACAGCGTCTTGAGTATTCTGGAGTCAACAAATGCCCTTCTGAGCTCATTTCCGCGAGCAACAGAAGCGATCGAAGAAAAGGAATCGGACCCAGACGCTGGAGCATGGCGTCTGTGTCGAGTTTGGAGTGGTCGTCGGCGGTCAGATCTAGTTCGGGAAGGGTTGTTATGCTCTCCGTTCGTGTCGAGATTGTGGTGCTGACACTGACAACGCTGTGCTTCCGGTCTGCTGCGGTTACGCTTAGACGTCGGTCGTCGTTGTCTTCGGGGTGCGGAGACTCCACCGCAACGTCTCCGTTTGAAGGGTCTTGTTCCTCCTCGTCCTTCACCTTGGGTATGGTTCGATCAGCCGAGATTTCGGTATGTACCTTAGTGTTATATTTGACGATAGTGTCCATGGCAGCTTTGTGTAGGGCGGTCACGATGGCGGGGCCCGGTAGGATATGTGCGTTGGTGATGTCGGACCATGTGGCAATGCGGTGGTAGCCCGAAGTGTACTGCTTTTGGACGGTGCCTGTATGGGATCGTGTCAGATACGAGCAACGGCAGTATGTGTAGGGTTTGTTCGGAGGCATACCTCCAATGTCTGCGAATTTCCTGTCTTCGAAGATGAGGAAATACTTTCTCCGCGCAATCTCCTTCAGGGCCAGAGCAGTGCGCTCGGTCCAATCGGTGACAATGTCGCAGTGGGTCTTGAGAATGCATATCTCGTCCCCCAATGTTTCTGCCAAGTCGATCAACTCAGCGGAAGTCAGGACATCGGCGGAGAGACAGAGGTTCGTCTGTTTGATGGACATGAGGCGGAGGAGGTATGCAGTGAGGGATCCGCTCGAAGGCAGCAAGGAACGCTCGCGGTAGGATAAGCTCCATGTTGGATGACGGTCGGCGGAAGCCATAGCTCCGGCTGCCATGTTCCTGAAGCTGTTTGGGCGTGGTGTTGGTGTTGGTGTTGTCGTGGATATGACGCGGTGGTGGAGGGGGAGCTGAGCGCGACTGAGGGGTGCTAAGGGAGGTCTGGATGGTCAACAGCGTGGCGGCGACTCAGCAAGGACAGCAGGGTAGAAATGAGGGGAACTTCCAGCTGGCCATCACCTGGCGCAGTCCCAGGTTTTAAGAATAATAATTCAGGAAGAAGAAGAATGGGGTTTCGGTCAAGGCCCAAGACAGGGCTGGCACATCAAATTGGTTTTTCTGGGGCGTCGCGACGGCAAGGAACCGACCGCGAACCCGCGCAGTGAGCCCCCCGAGGCCCCCCTGCGGCCCGCTGCTGATGCGCCGTTCTAGCCGGTGCAGGTCGCTGAAAGGGTCCTCTCCTCGCCCTCTTACTCCAAATGACACGGCCAAATGTGGGGAGACGTGCGGTTCCGTATCCCAGATGCTGACGCTGCGGGATGAGAAACTCGTCAACAAACGGACTTGGACGGCAAGCTTTAGGCAGAGGAACTCTATTCCTCCCACCCTGCACACCTTGATAATCGTTTAGCAGGCGAGAAGCACGCCTTGCTCTTCGCCTGCTTCCTTCCCACCTCATCTCTCATCTCTGCAAAGTCCCTGGGGCCATTGCACGCGCTGTCGACGCCACACCCATAGATGCCGTTGGACCTGTCACGGACACATCACACACACTCACCGTCCTCGCCGACTTGCTCAACCCACCTGTGCCACACGAGCGCCGGCCCCCCTTTGGACTCGAAGGTGGACGGGTTTTATTAATGAGACTTCGCCAATGAAGCTTCGGCGGATGCTTGCACGGCATCGCCTTTGGGATAACCCGAGATTACGTGTCTAGCATCCGTCGTACCACTGCAACCACTGGGCGTATCCATAGCAGCAAAATAATAAAATCCAGAAGGGGACCCGGGTATTGGGTACCGCTTTGCTGGGTTTCATGCATCTGAGAGCGAAAGGTACTGCTCCGGCATCCGGAAGGGAACTCCGACCCTTCTCGATTCGAGCACTGTGTTGCTTGTAGGGACCAGGGTTCGGAAAACGGTTATCAGAGAGGCCATCACAGCTCCAAACCGTTTCTCCGTTGGGACCGTGATCAGAAGACGCATCGGGTAGGAATGCCCGTGTCCGTGTCTACCAAATAGGGGAGTGCGCCAACTTCACTTCGTTCACAATCCTTCAAAATCTCGCCAACTTCACCTCATGCATCTCTACATCTCGTTCCACGCATCATGTTCCATTTCGCGGTTTTTTCTTTTTCTCTTGATCTTTTCAGTTTACTCTTTCCTGTATGATATAATTTGGTACATGCCAGGAGGTTGAGTGTGGGTGTTTGACTGTGGTGTAAGATCTAGAGTCAAGCACGCCTCACCACCTCTCTTGTCTCCATCAAGGGATCCTATCCCTTCTTATCTTCAATCCATTTTTACGACTGTTGCCAATATGTTAAATCTCTTCAAAGAGAGCACTTTTTCCAGTCAGCCTTGGGTCTTGCGTGGGAGGCGCTTGCTCTCACTAGTTTTCACTGTCTGTTCAAACTGTCGCACGCTCTCCACATGCTCATCGGCTGTCGAAGCTGCATGCGCACGCCAGGCAGCATCTGAGGCCGTGATCCTCATGGAAATACAGGCACCTTACGCGCTTGATGACAGCGCGGGTTACAGTGCACCAGTTCATACAGTAACAACATCATGCCAAGTGTTGAGAAGCCCAGGAGAGGAGAAATCTTCATCTTCCATCTCACACCGACGCCGCCATGCTGAACACACCACTGCCTTTCCAGGAACCCGACAAGCTGCCATCTACGTCGCTGAAGACTCGTCTTTCACCTGGCCTCAAACCTGCAGGAACTCCGCGTTTGCCCACCCTGCCGTCTTCGCTCCGTCGACACTGATTCCGCTTCCGCCCCACCCAATTCGCCTTCACCCCGCTTTCTGCCTGCCCGAACGGAAGACGTATAAGTATTCGTTTCGTGGGGGGTTTGCGTTCTTTCCTTTACACGACGCACGCACACACAACACCACTCCAACCGTTACGTCCGCCACAACAACACCGTTCTTCCGCATCTCTCGCGCGCAGCAAGGCAAGCGTAGTGCTACCTCTTACCTTCTTTTTCCCTCCTCCTTCTTGGATTTATCCCCTCTTTGCTGCGACCTTATCAACGTCGTCGTCGTCAACATGCCTCCCAAAGAGGAAAATGGCGCCGCTCCACTCCTCCTCAAGGGCTTCGACGCAAAGGAGCAGCGTCTCCTAGCCGCTGCATTCATCGCTACGACCGACAACGGCAAGGTAAGTTTCTGGTTTACAAGCTGACAGTGCCTCTCTGGAGGCTGCACGGTGGGGAGACTTTGCACCTGCTGTGCTGACGGTCTAAAGACAGGCGTGCGGCAGCGTCGAGGGCGGCGCCATCACCTTTTGCACTGCTGCTGCTTGCCCCAACTGTGCATTATGATCCTACAATCTGCGCTGCCGTGGATGAGCTTGCAGCTTGCCATGGACGCATCTCCTGTCACACTCCCGCACGCCCTCCTTCCCTGGCCCCATCCATACTCACCCACGCCTTTCCACCCATCCAGACAAACAAAACTGACCCACACCCCACAGATCGACTACGGCATCATGGAGGAATTGACCGGCCACACGCAAGGCACGCTCAAGAAATTCTGGCCTCCCGTCAAGCGCAAGGCCGCGGATCTGCACCCCTCCTTCGCCAAAGCCCAAGGTCTCGTCCCCGAGTCCGGTACCACTGGTGCTGAGGCTACGACTCTGACTCCAGCTCCGGGTCAAGCTCCAGTTCCCAAGCCAGGCAAGAAGCGCAAGGCTGCTGCTGCTCCCGCCGAGGCCGAAGATGGCGAGGAGAAGGCGAGGAGAACGGTAACGAGAAGGGTGCAAAGAAGGCCAAGAAGACCAAGAAGACCAAGAAGACCGCTGCGAAGGGGAAGAAATACCGTGAGTCTCTTCGGTTCATGAATGTTTGCATAATGGGAATGATTGACTAATGGATGTATAGCTGCGGCTACGAATGAGGAGAAGGAGGAGTAATTTCTCTTCTTCTCTTCTCTTCTCTTCTCTACTCCTTGATCGGCTTGCACTTGGACTTGAACGTCGAATTTGGATCGTAAAGTTACCTGTTGCGCAGCACATTCCTACATTCCCTCGTCAACGAAACTTGTGGGATTGGAACGTTAGCTGTTGCATCGGAAACGCATCCTCTTCTTTGTTCCGGTTATGGTGGATCTGGCCGGGTAACATTAGAGTGGTCTGGATAAGAATGTGAAGGGGGTTTATGGAGGTTCCTGAAGGACTATGGATTTCAGAGGCGAACGGCGGTAGAACTGGTTACTGGCGTATCTGGCCTACCTGTCGTAGCTGTCGTAGCAGGGAATACATACTTTCTCATCGATATTCTCTTATTGTGTCTTTATTCGTGAGGTACTTGCTTGGGTGATGATGGACAACTCTTGACTACGCGTTCTCCTGGCGGGAAGGACCATGGAAGGAAAGTACATGCTAACCAGTCCCCAGAGCCAGTGAAGACAACCTCACAAGAGCCGGAGTTCCGAGTAATGCAAAAGTAATAACCAGGCACTATAGTGATATCCGCCGTCCATGCCACACCCTACTCTCCCGTTTCCTTTCCTCGGGGAGAATCAATCATACACCCATCTCCCTTGCACGCACCTATCCCTCCCATCCCATCCCACCCCATCCCATCCACCCTATTCCCAATAAAAACTCCACATCCCCACCCCCATAAACTCATCCACCCAACTCTTCGCCCTCCCCTCCCCTCCGGCCCCCGCACACACCACGAGCGGCAAGAAATGCTCCGCCCCGCCCCGCGGATGCATCTCGTACGCGCCCCTCCACGCCCTCCACCCCTCAAACTTGGTCGCCCTCTCCTGCACATCCTCCGTCTGCGCCGCGTCGGCCACCTGCGCGCTCCACGCTTCGTTCAGGGCCTTGAACTCGGGCGTGCGCGTGGCGCCGGAGAACATGAGGCGAAGGTTGTGCAGGGAGGCGAAGCCGGAGCCGACGATGGCGATGTTTTGGGCGCGGAGGCGCGAGAGGGCGCGGCCGAGGCGGAAGTGGTGGTCCGGTGATTCGGAGGCGAGAACGGAGAGTTGGATGATGGGGATGGTGGCGGCGGGGTGGATGAGGAGCATGGGGATGAAGACGCCGTGGTCCCAGCCTGGTTGAGTGTGTGTTAGCTATCTGCTTGATGGACTCAAAGGAGAGAATAGGAGTCAAATGTAGAAGTATATGTGTAGGTTGATCAGATGGGAATCCGGACATACCTCTGTTCGGATCCAGCTTACACTCCAATCCCTCTTCCTTAATCGCCTCCTGCACCATCCCAGCTACCTCCGGGCTCCCAGGCGCCTCGTACTTCAACTGATATGCCTCCTTGGGAAAACCATAGTAATCATACAACAGCTCGTGTTTCTCCCCGCTCGACACCGTAGGCACGTTCGTCGACCAGTGCGCCGTCACGAGCACGATCGCTCGCGGCTCGTCCGGCGTCCCGATCTTGAGGATTTGCGGTACGCGCGTGCGGAGCGACTGGACGAGGGCGGAGTGTCCGGCGTCGCCGAGGACGGGCATGGGGCCGCCGCCGTGCGAGATGGAGATGACGGGGGCGAGGCGCGTCATGTTGTTCGAGGGGATTGAGTAAGGGGAGAGTAGTTGTTGGAAGGTGTTTAGGCGGTTGAAGGACGTATTGCTGTTCGCGAGGGCGGGACGAGTGCGGTTGGATAATGCTAATATAGTGGTCGTGAAGAGGTAGGAACGACGGGTAAGTCTCATGATCCGTCAAAAGGAGGAGGGGGATAGAGAGGAAGTGCAGCCATTTCGCGCGAAAGAAATGGGCTGCTTAGGAAGCTGGTGGATTACGATATCTGGATTGCGCGAGGATGGGAATTCATTGTTTGTAAGTGTTGAACGCGGAATGATGCCGCATCCGGAGCTGGGAACTCGGGACGCGGGGTCGGAAGGGGAACATCCGATTCAATGGTGAACCTCCATTACCACAAATTTGGAGGTCCAAGAGATAGCATTCAGAGTGAGAAAACTATTAGAAGAAGGTAGATGATTGCTATATATAAATAGTACAACAGCTTCTCGGGTATATTGTTTGAACATTCAGCATCGCATAACAATAATTCGTGCAAGCGTGCAGCTGGTATAGGATCCTTTGGCTAGACAAGCACCTAAACCAGCACCATACACTAGTCACCACTAGCTAAAAACCTACCATATATATGCAGATCCACGCAGTGAATGAGAACCCGCCCAGCAAAACCTCTAATGATACGTACTCCGACCTACCTGTAGACCCATCAGAGAAGTCCTCAAACACCAAAGGTCCGGCAAACGGTTTGACCATGCCAACAGTTTCGAAACCTCGAAGCGTGGGGGCCTCCCTCCCAAGAAGAAATTCCTGAAACAAATATGCAACCCTTTCTTTCACTCCTAGCACCCGATATGCCCCAGAATCCCATGATCAATGCCAACAGAAAAAGAAAATATCCAACACCGTTCCCCCCACAGCCAGACGGCAAGGCGTTGCTTTGTGAAACTGTGATACATGCAGAGCAATACGAACGAAGTAACATATCCGAGAGCCAGAACCGAGTGATCGTCCCTCTGAGACTTTGCGACTCCGAGGACATGAACGAGAATGAGAAGTGATGATAATGCATGATAGTACATGTTGCGAAACGGCAGAAAAAGCAGGGAAAAAGAAGCAGCCGAACTCATCTTGCCTGCCATTTCACGCCGTCCCCTGTCTCTAGATCCGGTGACATGGATGGCTCGTAGTAAACAGCATAGCTGAGGGTCCGACTCTGGCTCGTTCGCGCGCTGTGCGAATGGTGAATTGAACTTCGCTCCTGAGCTTCCTCTATGGCCACCTCCGCCGATGGGCTCCAGGTCTCATCGCACTCCAGCTTGGGTAATATGCACTCCGTGCTCTCTGCATTCTTGACCACCGCGTCTGTAGCTGTGAGCTCGAAAGCGCGATCGTACCAGTCTGTTTTCCTTGACGGAGGTCGCGTGGTATTGCCTCCTCCTGGACCTCTCTGCGTCGAGGAGGTCTCGCTAGGCGATTGCAAGGATCGAGATGCAGTACGAATAGACCTGGAAGTGGAGCTACGGATGGAGCGTCCGGTGGTGACGAAGCGTTTTAACAGAGGTCGGAGAGTGGCGAGACATCCGGCTATGATACCAACGCCGGGCTCGATGGTGGACCAGATGGCGATGTTGGCTGCGTTCCCTAAGGAAGGAGTTGGTTAGAATGACGGGGAATGGAAAAGGGGCTCGAGCCGTACAGAAGAAGTCGTCGACTTGGGTCAAACCGTCGACGTACTGGAAGCGGACCATGGAGCAGACACTACCACTATTGCAAAGTCAGCCTTGGTCGGGAGATATGGAGTCCTGCCTTACAATCCAGCCAGGGAGAGGATAAATCCCACGGATAGCTTTGACCGAATGTCCATATGCGCATTCCATAGCACGAAGATGGGAAGAATAGCGAACACCCAGTTGGTAATGGTGGTAGTAGATGCTTGTGAATATGCAAAAACTCGATCCACTGTTCGGGGCATGCAGCTGCCTGAGAGTTGCTTGTAGATGTAGAGGTCAAGATTGGGGCCACATCTGAGGAGAACATAGCAGAAGGCGGCCATGGATGCGAGGGCGTTGGTAGCCATGGAGACATAGATGCTCCATAACTGCCATGGCTTGATGACAATGCGGGCGAAGAATATTCCTAAGGAGATTTTGAGCACCATGACAGTGACGAGATAAGTGGTTTGGCCCATGAGGGTGTACTGGTCGAAGTTAGCACCAACATAAAATCATTACTCAAGATCGATCAATACTCGCCTTGATCAAATGGTTCATATCTGAGATATCCGTAATATGGGTCCCGCCGCCGTTTGCTTCGAGCAGAAGCATCGCACTGCAATACACGCTGAAGAAGATCTGATATAACGCATCAGTGCCAAACCCATAGTCAATGACAATCTGGTCCCCGTCATACAGCCGCAAGAATCATGGTCGCGTCATCCCAACCAAAATTCGAAATAACATAAGTTCTCGTCCAAACACGAAGAGCGACAAGCGCCCAAGCGGCAACCAGAAGAGCCACCGCCACAGTCGTCTGCGCCCTCCCCCGACTCGATATTGACCCGCTATCGTGGACTGCCATGAAAGAGTGGCGGATACAGTTGGAGAGACAGTGCTTCGAGCATTTACAATATGGAAAGACGTGGCTGGACGCGAAGCGTTCTTTCTACAGCAGCAGCGATAAACAGTCGTTTGACAATAAGAGAAAAAGCAGGCGCTTCGCCTGCAGAAGGGGGCGCTCATGCGGGGGTTTTCGTAGCTGTCACTTCAGCGGGGTGTGACAAATATGGACGAGATACATGGCTACCGTGGTCGCCGACATGTCCTCCCGTTTGAACTGTCACGACATGTGCTCGACCTTGCTGCGAGGGGAACGCCATGTTTCCAGTTTTAGACTGCTCGGAATCACAGCGGGAAAGCCTTGAGGATGGGAAATCCAAGGATTCACAAGTGACCATTGATCCCATTCGTTGCTTCCAAGGCGAGAGAGAGCAGCGAGACCTGGAGCCATATCTTCTGCTGCATGCTGCGCGGGCCTATCACAAGGGCAGGCGACAAGAAATGCACGTTGATGAAGGCATTAAAGACTACTGCCGAGACAGTATTTCTAATGTGTCGGAACGAAACGTGAGATGCGAGCAGTTAGTCTACCCAAGTGGTTGGAAGAGTGTTGCAGCAGTAACCCACAACACGCGCCAAAAGCCTTTCCCGTAAGCTCGGACCATCACCCTTAGGTAACCCAACAACACAGCATTCTTCAACCTTTTCCTAGAAACCCCAGCATACAAAAACAGTCACTCGGAAACTGCACACTCCGAGCATCTACAGAGCAACCAACGTGTCGATTATCGTGACAGGGCACATCTTTCGCAACGAACCTGACACGACTCGCCGTTCTCAACATGCGACAAGGCTGATCCACCTATAGGAGCCTGTCTGGAGCAGTCACAACAGCACAGTTCCTCGGAAAGCGTGCATTATTGGCAACAAACAAGAGATTGGTGACCACAGCAGCCGCAGCCTCCCTTGCTTCGGGATCCCAGGAAGCTCCGCGTCGGACGCCTCGTCCACGTCCCGTGACACTATTCAGGACAACATCGTCATTGTAAGACTTCAACATGCCGCCTTCGTTACGGAGACGGAATCGACGGCCCACCCCGGACGTGAGGCAGGATTTTTCGGACGATGAGAATGACGAAATTGAGGCAGATGAATTATTGGAAGACGACGATCTGCCGGAAGATGGTGCCGAAGAGGAGCAAGAGGTAGAAGAGGAGGAAGAATTGGAAGAAGAAGAGGATGCAGGTACGTGTTTCCGTTGTATGCCTTTTTTTTTCTTTTCCTTCTGTTTTCTCTCTTTTTATTCTGTTGTTACTCTTTCCATGACTTCATGCGTTTCCAACAATTGCCATTCTCCTTCCATATCTACTTCTAGACGGTACTTCACCTCGGGTTCCCTCACAGCCCCATTTCTTTCACCTCTATCCCATCGAATCCTCCCAACTGCATCACAACCATCTACTTCCATAACAAGAAACCTCAACTAACACACCCCCAGCCTCCCCATCCCCATCCACAACAACACCCCCCTCCCCCATCCCCCCCGGCTTCCGCGACATCTCGGCCCTGGCCTCCTGGACCGTCTCGAGCGCCAAACCCGGCTGCTCGATCCCCCAACTCCGGCACCCTTCCACGTCCTTATTCTGGCAATCCGACGGGCCCCAACCGCACCACATCAGCATCCACTTCGTCAAGCTGGTGCGCATCGTGGGGCTCCGCTTGTACCTGGATTTCGACGCCGACGAGAGCTACACGCCGACGCGGATCGTGTTCCTCGCGGGCTCGAGGCCGGACGATCTGGTGGAGTGGGGGGAGATGAGGTTGGAGCAGCCGAGGGGGTGGGTGTGGGCGGATTTTAGTGGGGTTGTGGATCCCGAGAGTGAGGATGATGACGACGACGAGGAGGAGGGCGATGGAGAGGGGTATGAGTATGAGTATGACGAGGATGATGATGAAGACGACGATGGCGATGGCACTGAGAACGACACGCCCGGCCAGGGAGACTATACCACCGACCACGACGCCGCCATCCTCTCCACATTCCCCCGACGACTCCACAATCAACGCCCGCGCGACCCTTCTGCCCGCCATCACTCCTCCACCAGCGAGAACGACACTCGCGCCCCCGAGCCCAGCACAGATACCATGATGCTAGACGAAGACGAGTCGTTCGTCACCCACTCGCGCGTAACGCAACATCGTCGTCTACGAGCCGAAGCCGCAAACACGGGGCCTTCGACAGCGGTACCTCAACCTCAACCTCAACCCGTCACCCCATTGCCAGCATGGCACACAACTACACCGCAACCCTCGCACACACCAACAACAGCAACACAAGCAGCAACGCACACAACCCTCCTCCCACCCTCATCCTCCTCGCCGCTCCTCCCAGCCCCAACACCTCGTCTCCCCCTCCAAGACTCGTCCCCACACTCCCGAACCGCCGACCAGCCAACAACCCCCGCTGCTGACCGCAGCCGCCGCCCCAGCAGAAGAAAGAAGAAGAAGAAGAAGAAACTCCCCGTCCTAAGAGCCCATCTCCTCCAAGTCCGGATCCTCGAGAACCATCAGAACGGCAAAGACACGCATGTCCGGGGCTTGCAGATTTTCGCTCGGGAGGATGGCAGGGGGACGAGGGGCGCAGGGGTGAATAAAGGAATGATGGGAAGCGAGATTGAGAGAGACATGGGCGGCGGTGGTGGTGCGGGGTTGAGGAAGGGCAAGGGAAAAGGGAAGGGGAAGGAGGAGAGGGAGATGGCGATGGGGAGTAGCAGGAAAGTGGTGAAGGGGTTGTCGAGGAGTATGTGGGATGTGGAGCCTACGCTGCGGTAGGTAGATAACTGCAAGCGCCGAAGGCATATAAAGTGTTACACGAATCAATGGATGGAGCGATTACAATGATACAGGGCCAAAGGCTGTATTCAAAGTAACCTGCAGTGCAGAGAATAAACGAAGTTTTTCCCCAAGACATACATCTTTCACTTGTAACCACATACGGTTCATTTCCACTGCGCATCTTGGACTCCACCGGCGCTATTAGCCCATCCCATCGCCATTCGTCATATATCGTACACATAACCTCTCCGCTTGCGAAAGCCCGGCTCTAATAATGTAACCCACTTCTTCTTCGCCGAGCGTTAACAGATTCCCTCGCTCTGATTATACTTGACGGTTATGCAGATCCGCTAACACTCGGCGAAGCTCCGCCATCGCTTCCCAAAGCGACTCTGGGCCGGTCGCGAGAAACACTTTGCGACAGTGACCATCGTAAATCACAGCTAGTCTTGGTTCACCACCTCACGCCTTCCCATTCTTTTCCCCATTGCCCTCCTTCTCCGCCTTCTCCGCCTTCTCCACGATTTCCTTCGCCAACTGCTTCGCCCGCTCCCTCGACGCCTCGGGGCCCTCGCCAATCTGTTCCAACCGCTCATTCACCTTAATCTTCACACTCTGGACGAACTTCTGGTTATCCGGACTCAGAGACGGCCTCCCTGCAAGCCGATTCCTCGAGCCCCTGCGTCCGCGCTGCGAGGTTGGGGGGATATCTTCCATGTCCTCGGGTGCCTTGCCCAGCGCCTCGAGTTCGCGCTCGACGCCGCGGATGGCGTCGTTGCTGGACTTGGAGAGGGCATTTTGCTTGGTCATGTGCTTGGTCCCGGGCGAGGTGCGGCGAAGATAGGATTTGATGAAGAAGCGGACAAAGAGGAAGGTCAGGGGGGCGAGGTAGAGCACATTGAGGTAGACGGCTACGGCTTGGCCGGACGTGTCAATGCAGGGGACGCTCTGGTACTCGGTTCGGTAGGCGACCTTGCGTGCGCCGTCATGGGCGGCAGGCGACGGAGTGTGGACGCCGTGGGCGGCTTGACCAACGGAACCGATATTCTCGGCCAGACCCTCCTCGCCGGCGGCGCGATAGACCAGTTTCTTTAGGAAAGCGACAGCCGCCCCGGTTGCGGTGGCTACGGCTTCTGGGCTGGCCAGGGAAGCGGTGGCTTTGGAGATAGTGGTCTCGGTGGGCTCGTATGGGACGGAAACCGGGACCGTGTAGGACACAAACAGATACAGGGCCGCCAGCGTACCACCTCCAATGAATTGGGTGATCTGCAGAGTGGTGAGGGTACGCTTAATGACTTGTGGGACACGGATTCTCAGAGCGGAGACTGTGTAGTATGTGTACTGTTCTCATGTTAGTCTATAGTAAACACGTGCGAGTACATCCTGCCAACATACCATCATAGCATGGATTCCAGAATTGACCAAGACGAAGATCCAGATGGGAGGAGCCATGTAGCGGATGCCTGCCCACATGCAGAGCATGGCACCAGCGTGGTGATATGTCTGAAGAGTGGAGCTGCGCTTTCCCTTGGCAAGGATGATGACCGTGTCGAGGACCTCATAGAATTTGGAAAGGTAGAACCACCATCCCCAGAAGGCAAGGCCCTCGTTCCACATTCTTCCAACGTCGGTTGAGTCCGGAAGGCCTTGGGGATCCAGCTTGATGAGCCTGTTCTTATTCACCCACTTGCTCGTTGCGGTGTCGTAGGTTGCTGCGTCTCCCAGACCCCGTGGACCATGGATTTTGCAGAGAGCATCGACAGTGCCGATGAAAGCATTTGGCTCTCTCCAGTTGGGGAAGGTCCTCTTCAACGCTTGGAACATGGCGTAGCAGGTGAGGGCGGAGTAGGCGGCCAGGAAAACATTATGCAGGATCACGAAGGCCTTGAATGCGCCAGTCTTGCTGATGGACCAGGGTTTATTGCCACGGCTCTTATTGTACCTGTTCAACAGGGTCACGCTCACAGCGTACACCGTGGCAATAGTAATGGGCACGGAGAGGTCGAGGACCGAATTGTAAATGTCGGCAAGGATTGGGAACGGCGTCCTGAGAGATGGCGAGCCATCGTAGGGCGGGGGAAGAGCATCGGGCGCCGGGTCGGGGGGGAACTTCAAGACGGTCCAAGACGGGATCTCGCCCGGATGGAGGGATGGCCCAACACCGGACATTGCGAATACCGATTAATCTGTCTTGGGTCGAGTTGGACGTACCAGTATACAGGCGGATCGCAGTAGCAGATATCGGGAAGGGTGTGGAAAGAGGGAACGAGGTAGGGTGACCAGCGTTCTGTTGACGTAAGTCCCGGTTGGCCAGTCGACTTCGGTGCCGTGGAATTTGTTTGAGAGCCAATAGTCGAAAGGATCTGTTTCCGACTCCCGAGAAGCCCAAAATGAGGCGCGCAAGCCTGCAAAAGCGTCTCTCGCGGGGTTGAAATGGTGGTCGAAGTTTGGCACGCGAGCTGTTTGCTGGAGCTGCGAGGAAGTCGAAGGCAGCGCACAGGATAGATAAATGGGAGGCAGGCAAGCGGGGGCGCAGAGGTAGATATAGAGGGAGGTTGTCGTTGAACTTGTTGAATTGCGGGTTGGGCGCGCGGGGATTCTGGCTATTTCGAGGAGGAGGGTAGTCTAGTGGAGAGGGCGACGGTGAAAGGGTGCGGTTGAAGCGGGTCTCGAAGGTTACGACTTGGAATTTTGACCAAAGAAATGTTGTCGTCACTTCGCCGCAGCCGAGGCTGAGCTAGGCGAGCCCTCATTGGCCGGGGGTTGGACATGGTCTTCCCCTTTGGTCGATCCCAGAACGGCACGGCTTGCGAGCTTGCGAGAGGCGACGCTTCCAAGGGAATACAGGAGTTATGTCATCGCTTGGCTGTCTCCAACAACACAATACGGTCGAGGGCAATGATACCAATGATACGGGTAAACACCAACGACACAGAGGCAAACTGAACGGGCGGTGCCAGGGCGATAGATCCACGACCACGACCGGGTAACCGGAGCTCACCTGGCACTCCTCACTGTATGTACTTAACCATCGTCGACTGGCTATCTGTACGTCAAACACTGGCGGGATGCTGCGACAACTTGAAAACAACTGGTGCCAAGCCTCATCCTCGTTCCAATAGTGCTGCCGATAACCTGCCCACGATGTGAATCCCGATAAGGGAGGCATTCATTCAAGATGAAGAACCTAATGAATTAAAAATGCAGGTCACACTAGGTCGCTGGAAACGAAGGGGATGCCACCTGCACGGGTCGAGGGTATACAAGTCTAGAATCTAGGCTTGCTACCAAGTGGTACTGGTGGTGGCTGTCCTCGAGGGTTTGAAGATAACTCTTTCTTCTTCGGTGGTGGTGGAGGAGGTCGTTTACCCTGAGTTGGGGATGTGACAGGAGGCGTGGTTGCTGGCTGAGCTGCTTCTTCAATGCCGTATTGTTGGGTGACCCTATTTCCAGTCCCAGCCACGTTACGGGATGCGGATAGATTGGCAAATCTGGATTGGAGTTCACTCAGTTGCGAATCCCCGGTCTCAGCAGGAGATACAGGGGCCGGAGGGGTCTGACGAGGGGGTACAGGTGGTGAGTTGACACGGCCGCCAATATTCAAGCCCGGAACGGCAATGCCAGCCGCCCCTAGCCGGTTGATAGCGGTCTGATTGAGCAGAGGTTCCGGCTGTGTATTGGTGGTATCTACACCTGGGACTTCACTGTACGCAGGCGGAGGGGGTGCTGCATAGGCATCGGAATGGGAGTTCTGGCGTGGAGGTAACCGCGGCGGCAGTCTGGGCTTAGGACCACCATTAGCTGGGGGTGGAGATGGTGTTGCTTGTCCTGGACGGAAGACGGGCGGTTTTGGTAAGTGTTCGGTCTGTAAACCCGTGGTATCGACTCTGTAAGGGCCCGGGGGTGACCTGTTTGCTTCCTCTTGCGCCCTTGCGTCAGCCTTTCGTCTGGCCTGCAACCGTTGTCTTGCGGATCCTCCATCTTGCGTTGCCTCCCCCAGAGCACCGCTCGACGAGCCTCCAGAGAGTGTTCTACTTGTACTGCCTGCCTGATCGACGCGCTTCGGGGGAGGACCAAAAGACGCAGGGTCTCGTAGGGTGGACAACGGTGCGGACTGATGCTCATGAGGATCTTCGCCTGCGTTCTTTCCTTTTCCCATCCAGCCAGCCTACAGGCCCCGAGTTAGTGACGCCCTTTCTGCTGAGTTTAGAATCCTGTCGCGGTCAGGGACGACGAACCACAGTGCTCACGCCTTTGAAATCTCCCTTCCATGATTCTTTTCCTCCTCCTTTGCCTTTCGGGTGCCAACCGCCTTTGGCAAGATCTCTTAGTCCACTCATGTCGGCGACAGCACGATTTCAGAGGCGACCATGCTGAGCGACAGAACCTTTGAACTTCTTCCCACCAGGTCCGTGTTGTGCTGGTGTCGGCATCACAACGGACCGAAGGGCGGGCATATGTGTAGCTAGTCGATAGATGGATGACGTTGGCAAGCATGACTCAGCGACCCCGCCACAAGTGCAAGAGCATATATTCTCTGTGTCCGATCACTCCTCTCCAGCTGTGCTCTCTGCTCGACACATGTTCACCCCAAGAAAGTGAACGGAGGGTAGCTTGGTCCTCATCATCTGTGGTAAACTGCTTCTGCGACCCATAATGATGAACCGCAAGGATTCCAGGTCGATCTCATCGGATATCACTCGATTATCGATGGTCCATATGCATTGCCCAGTTTGTCGTCCACTCCTGCGAGAAGAAGTCTGAAAGAAACCCAACCAGCCTGGATCGGACACATGGCAGTCAGGCCGCACAACCATCATTTTCCTGCACATGATCGCAGCCAGAAAATGTCTTGGGAACCTATTTGACGGATCATTATTGGCCCCAAGGACGCTTTCCGCACTGTTGGCGTGCAGCACCGAGGGGAGTCCCACGGACCTAGGACCTACTAGACTGCGCTTCCGTAGAGCGCTATTATCAAGGGACCGAATCGGGTCTCCGCTGTCCGTGGTAGATCCGTGGATCGGTAGCTCAGGTACTTGTCCCTACTGGCGGATACCCCATTCAGCGACTATCCATGTTTTATCCACTAGGGACTTGCTCCAACAAAGGCATCGTAGCCAGTGAGCAACGCTGTTTGAGACGGAGTACAACAGAGCCCAGCCAAACAACTGTTTCTATAGGCGGAGATTGCGAGAATCCGGGATACGGGTGAGGCTGTGTCAGCCATGCCAAACCACAGTCAGCTCGGGACTGGGGAAAAATCAAAGCGTCCGCAATCCTCCTGAACGTGATGCGCATTCGAACACTGTTTCTATTCAAACTCGTCCATGTGCCGTCGATTCCACGTTAGCATACCAATTATTCAACTGCACCAAGCTCTAAACCTCACTCCATCGCCCGATACGGCGCCTATTCGGAGGATGATATCAATGTCCCACAAGGAGTCAGACCGACCCCGCGCATAGATCAAGGCTGAGCCAAACTACCATAAAGCAAGCTCAGCAGCACACACAAAGGAGAGGATGTTGGAGGTGGCAGCCCTGGGACAGCATCAATAGTTTCAGTCATCACGCACCGGCTGAACATCGCATCGACGTCGGCTCCTACCGTTGCAGGTCTTGGCCCCTATCGAGCTGACATTCACTAACTATTCGAACTCGTGATGGCCGCCGCGGACGAAGTAGCGGATGAGTCAAACTCCCAACGCAGATGGGGGCTCCCGGAAGGCGTAGACGAAGATATACCAAACGGGGACCCGGAACCCACAGCAGGGCCAGCAGATGTGGACGACAGTAGCACAGTCCAAGGACCGCTCGACCGATTACCCAATCCCCAAAACACTCAATCCGTGTACCAAAAGAGCAAATGGCATGATAGGCCCCGTGTTACAGAGACGCCTTTCAACGCTCCATGGGCCTCTCAAATCGCGCAGGAGCAAACAAGCTTCCTGACTTCTACATATGAAGGTCACAACCCCTATCGACCAACAGATATACCCTCGCTATCGTCATCTGTTACAGCATCGGGATCTACTACGACGGGCACGGGAGACCCAAAAGCCACCCGAATACCGCCACTGGGAGGCAGCAAGCCTGGCGGCTTCAACGGTATCAATGGCGGTAGAGCCGTCGTGGCCGGGATGGTTATCGGTGCAATCATAGTCCTTGTGGCCCTACTGATCGCCTTTTGTTGTCTAGCAAGAAGGTCGAGGTCGAGAAAGCGACGAGTGCTGGCAGCAGGCGCTTCGAGGGCAGGAATGCGGCCAACGGAAACGTTTAGACATGAAGGCTCTTCACTGATGACTCCCCTCCCGACGGCGCAACCGAGCTCTGATGGCGTTCTTCCTGCACATGCGACTGCCACAACAACTACACAGCCGCTCATCTTAGGGCCCATTACGAATGGCTACAACACGGGTTTAGACAGCCAAAGCATCCTCTCAGGACGTCAGGGGAGTCTTCTGACGGATCCGTTTGCGGACATACACAGCGTTAGTTCCGAAATCCCTCCGTCATATCAAGCCAGCAGACCTCCATCTTATCGGACGGATCCGACTCCTTCTGTCGCGATGAGTGATGAGCCCCCGAGCAGTGCGGCATCGCACCAACCTGGCTTGCGCAGGCCATTCACAACAGAGGCCGAAAGCCAGCGTTACAGCACGGTTGAGAGAGCCGATATTGGGCAGTCGCCTTTCGCACATGCAGATGATGGCGACGCTGTTTCCGAGTTGTCGGCCTCTGCGCTGGAAAGAGGTCGGGATAGCCTGTCGGTGGTGTCTGAGATGTCCTATCAACAGGACCCCATCAGGATTCGGTTTGGTGTTATTGCCGGGCGTCCGAGAACGGATTGAAGTATTTGGTTTCGGCTCCTTCTGGCGCATCCTCTTGACGCTTTCGAATTGGATTGTCAGTATCCTGAGGCTTCTTGGTACATATGGGGAAATATTGAATGCTGGCATGCCAACAATTATGGAGCCCTAGAGGTGTTTGGCGACTACCGTACATATTTACGACGCAATGAGCTTTCTTCCTTCGGACTAGGAATACAATTCGGAGGGACAGGGTTGGGCAAGGTTTGGTACTCGTATGGTAAATACTCTGTAGGTGTTGACGTTGCGAGATATATATAGCAAGTGCCCGCAACATGGGCGAGTCTCCTCCAGTACCCCGTGTTCCCGGGATTATGATATTTTGCCGTGTGTGCGATAGACGTGCAGAAACGACAGCACCTTTTAGGCCAACGAACGGCAAGATGTACTCCGTACGAAGAGCGGAATCACACGAACCCCTTTTTTTGCCTTCCCTCGTCAGCTACCTGCATGAGAGACATCTCGCTGTCCAAGGGCCAGTACCTTGCATGGATGTACATATGGAGCTGCCATCTCGCACCGACTGCGTGTAACGCGGTGGGAGGTGCAGCTCGCAGCTGGTAATAATGCCGCCCTGGCTTCTCCACTGCAGGCGGGACCGGAACATTGTGGAGAAAAGTAGCAGAGAGGGAAAAAAAAATTTGTTGCAAAGTGCGACACACCGCTGCGGGGCTTGCCTTCAGACTACGATGGAGCTGAGGTAGATAGACTAGATGTGGTCGAGTGAGAGAGGGAAGTTCAACATCTGAAGCTGGATGATAATAAACCACCACCAAGAGGTGCAAATAATTACAATAGTCTAATGGCCTCGCAAAGAACCGCCGTGCGATTGGCTGTTGTTCAGAACCACTTCCAGAGTTCCTGGCTCTCGCTACCGGGACATGGGGGCGGGCGTCGAGAATTTAATAAAAGCTGGTGAGCTGTCCAGCTGTTGACTCTTGTTCCTGTCCAGGGCCCATCGGCCAACGCCGCGATAGGGTCTTGTTGTAGCTAGGGATGAGGGATGGAGGGATGGGGCGGCGCACGCCCACTTGCTGCTTTGGATGATTACGGGCGGCCTCAACCCCCAGCGGCAACCATGAGGAACCCTCATCAGGAACGCAGCAGAACAAAGAGAAGAGTTGACCTCTTCGGTCCTTCTCGAGCAGCGCTGACGACGAATGATAGATGGCGTGTGCTATTTAGTCTAGCGCGCCCATGGGAGCTCTGAGCAAAGTGTGCAACAAACGACAGCCAGCCCAAGCTCTCCCACCTGTCACCACCATTATTGCCCCTGCGCCGTGCATCTCTCTTTCATTCTGCACCCTTTCTAGCACCCTGCTAGGAACCTTGGAACCTCCCTCCCGCTGACCAGCGGCTGGTCGCCTATCGCCTGGTACCTGCTTTTTCTGCCTGCTTGCTTGCTTTGCTAGCCAGCCCTGGTCCAGCTCCACCCTGGCCCTCATCTCATCGACATCACACCTCCGCCCCGAGTGAATGTCGCTCCCTTCCAACCCATTCCCTGCCAATAATAACGATGCACCACTCCTGTCCCCAGAGCACTCGCTCAGCCCTCTGCGGCACTGCTCCTCCTAAGGAGTAGGGGTCTTCTGCTCCCCCGGAATTTCAGATCCCTCCCTCACGAGAGCATTCCTGTGCCCCTTCAACCCGTTGGCCGGCCACTGTGCAGACTCGGTTCAGACGCCGAATTGTTCGGTTCCCACTCCACCCAACCACGCCCATCAGCAGTCTCTTTGCAGCTTCTGCTTGCTGCCCCACAGCTGGCTCCGTGAAGAAGGAAGTTTTCCTCCCTCTGTATGTATCTGCTCCGTCACCACCTCTGCCTGTCGGCCTCTGCCCCTCTCCGCCGACGGTGTCATTCGCCCTCCTAGCTCCAAGCCGCTGCGACCTTCCTCCCTTTGCTCTGTCATGTACATGCAGCTCCGACGTCTCACTGCACTGGCTCCCTCCACGCCCTACCTCTTCGAGCGCTCTACAGCGTACCACAGCTTCACCCATCTACCCTAACTCCGCCTTGTCCAAGCCGCCGCGAGCTTGCAAGACCTTCTCGTCGAAACCACCTCCCGCCTCGTAGCTGCCCTCCCCCTCCGCTCTCGAAGCCGTCACCACGCCGCAATTCCCTCGACACTGCATACACTCCTCACTATATGGCCGCTGGCGTCACTGCTTCGCTTCAGCTGCTTTGCTATGAGTCTGGATCAGCAGATTTATGGGTATGACTTCCCCCTTGTCTAGTCATTCCCTGCCTACATTCCGTCTCCTTCAGAAGCGGCTCTTCTACCTATAATGTCGACGTTTGCTGCAGCAAGCTCCTGCTACGGACGCTGGCTTCACTGTTTCTCTGCAAGTTTATTTTCTTGTTTGTGCACTAGTGCCAGGCAGAGGCAGGCAGCACCGCAGGGGTCCTTTTCTTCATGAACCTCACTCCACCGTCCCAACCCTCCCCATCTCCCAACTACTTAAACCTCCAACACCCAAGATGAGCAAAAAGAGACCCTCGATGGCTTCTGCACGGTTTCTTTCTAACCCTCCTTCACGTGTCATCATTGGCATTGCCCCACCTCCGCACTGTCCATCTAGTGTTTCAAAGCTGACTTGAATTTCGTTTGCTCAGTTCGACGGATTGGCACCTCCCAAGCCCTTCCTCCACTCCAAAGTCCGCAACCTTTCCCGACGCGAGCTTCACCACTCCTAGGACCGAGTCGGCTCTCCATTCACACTTCCTCGACGCTTGGTCTACCCCTCGCCTCAATGGGAACCACACCCCTACACAGACGCCGTCCTTTGCCACTTCGACGCCTGTAGCCAGACCGTCGAGCTCGCACACACGCAAGATACGCTCTCCGGAAGATCCAGAGTTTCATGTCAATCAACTCGTCCCCAGCAACCTCCCGTTACCCCCTGTCGAGCCTTCCCAGCGACTATCCTCATCGCCTGGGCCCCTGTCGACGTCAGGAGCGAAATCCCATCTACATCAACCGCCTTCCCAGCGGCCTCCCCCTATCAGTATGGATCCCTCGCATATGCAAACCCCTCCACCTACTCGGGATGCTTCATCTCGCAGAAGCCAACAGCGGCAAACAGGGAATGAGTTTGCAACCCCAGCTACCGTCATCGCTCGCACTCCTGTCCAGCTCCAGCAGCCTGATCATACGTTCAACCAGACGCCCTTTGACTTTCCAGCTTTGCAGTTCTCACCTGATGCAATGCCCTTTTCAAATACTGGTCCTTTGTCCGCACCTCCTCTTCCCCATTCTCGCCTATTCTGGGATCGGCCAAGCGATGGCAACGATATGGATGTGGATATCCCGTTAGCTTCAGACCCGTTTGGGCCAACCCCTCACAAGATTGGCGGCCCCATTGGATGGGAGACATTCCACACTCCTGCTACTACTCAGATGAACCCTCAAGCTTTTCAAGCCCTTCATGGTGTGCCTAGCCCAACTTCCGGTAACCTCATGTCAACTAGCAGTGCCGGCCCAACCAACGACTCGTATTCGAGACCCAGTTCCTTTGTATCCACTCCTGCCGGCGTTGACCCTAGCATGCTCTTTAGCTTCTCCAGCCCCGGCCCAGCTTCGTCATTCTCCAGGCCTGTGCAGCGAGCGGGCCAAGAGACCAGGCTGCCGTATGAAACGCAGGAGAAGCAATACATGGACTCGCTCAGGGAACGAGAACAGGTGAAGAGAGCAAAGAGTCAGCATTCACGCACCAGCACGGCCTCATCCACAGCCTCATTCGAACAGACTAGACCCGTATTGCAGCGAAGTGCAACCGACAGCGCCTTCAGGAGGAGCAGACCGTCTTCGGTGGAAGGGAGACCCTCTAGCTCGGCCGCTGGCTATGTTATCCCTCGTCGCTCGTCTCCGCTCAAACGACAAAGTGGTGGCTCACTTATGTCGATCCCAGAGATCCGTAGATCACGCACTCGGCTTGTGATTGACGAGGATGGCCGGGCTCGAACAGAGACTGTGATGGATGATGACTCCACGTCCTACAGAGACACGAGGAGAGACTCGCGGAAGGACTGGAGACATCAGTATCCGGATCTTTGCACTGAGGATGGGAGTGATTCGGACAATGACGAAGCTCCGATAACCTTGAGCCGTAATTCGTCCTTCACAATGCCGCAGCGTCGCGCGTCCAAGCACGCCAGAACTGACAGTGGCGGTGTTGAACGTGCCAACTCACTCAAGATGCCGCGGCCGTCCTCCGGGAATTTTGACAGGTCCTCTTTTGAGACAGTACGTCCCGGTAAAAGGGCTGCAGACAACCCTTTCCGCAGGTTCAGCATGATGGACTTTCCCAGCTCTTTCGGCGAGATCCAAGAGGTTGGTGAGCAGCAAGTGCCGGACTCACCTGGTGATGCTCTTGGTGCATTGAAGAAAGTAGTGGAGGGCCGGCAGAAGAGGATTGGTATGACTGGCGCTGTCCTACTCGTCCGCTTTGCTAATCTTCGCAGAACGATCAACGCAGAATACCCTCAAGGCCCACAACCAGCGCTGGGCACAAGCTTCTGCCGAGCTGAACTCGGGAAACAGCCCCCATAGCCACTATGACCCCCTCAACAGCTCCTTCAACGCTTCTCCCACTACGACACCGTCAACCGACCGCAGCAGTCTTTCTAACGACAGCACCCGCTGCATCTGCAATTCCGCTGACGATGGACGACCTATGATTCAATGCGAGTCCTGTAACAAGTGGCTCCACAAGACGTGTGTCGGCCTCAGTGCTCGGAACCCCCCGCCTGTATATGTCTGCATTTTCTGCACCGGCTCCACACCCGTTGCGAGGGGTGGGAGAGTGAGAGGGCCGATGCCTTCATTCGACTCGCCTCTTACACACAAATCTGTCTTCTGGCGCTAATATAGACGATTCATCTAGCCCATTGTACTTGGATGGCAGTTGATGAATATTAAGATTTCCGCAGAGGTCCACAATAAGCTTCAAACCCACCAGCATGCCATCAAAAGCCTACCAAGGCCAATCAGACCAACATTCAGGGCCCCATCCCTTTCAAGATCCCAAGCGCCTGGATGGACAGCTCCGATTTGTACTCTGTTTCTGCATACAGGGGAACATGATCTAACCAAGCATTGTTTGCCTTGTTTCATTGCGATCGTTGAATTCTTTTCCTCGAATCGTACGTGCGTATGAGCATGTTTGCGTACATCGTGCGGGCTTCCTTTCTTTTGGATTTCGATACACTTGCATACACGTCACCGGTCCGCTCGCTCTGCATCTGGATTATGGAGCGTCGCGCTTTCAATCACGCTTTCGACTGAGGAGCGTATTTTCCGGGCTCGAGTGACCCGTCGGACTTCGGAAAGTTTGACACCGGAGGCCCGATTGTCGCATCACCCAAAAATGCATGCGAGATTAAAGGCGAGAGGGCGGTTGCACTAAGATCTCGCAGATGCTAGACCGAGCTAATGTTCCGGTGGAATGGGCCTCTTTTCGCCTTCCCAACGCCCCTTTGGCTTGTTTACGGAAAGGACATGTTTGGTGATGGACTTCTCTAATGATGGAGATGGATAATCATGGGATAAAGCTGAGGAGCTGCATGGACGGCTCTCTATGAGAAGGGGCTGTACTGTGGGGTTGGGTAGGGTGAGTAGGAGACAGGCATGGGAGGACATGTAGCATATTGACGATCGAGGAGCAAGTGTGCTAGAAATGGTATGAACACATGTGGACATGTACGTCACTGAAGCTGCTACGTAATTGTCTTTGTGATGTGATGTTTGTGGTAACGTCTATTTCTAAGGGGTGTCGACCACTGGCCGCGTCTCCCATTCTTGAACGCAGTGAAGGTTTCCAAACCAGGATATTGATGTATGAATGATCTGCAACGAAGATGCACTATCATCCATCCTCCAAGTAGAATGCACGCTTATGGATAATAGATATCGGAATGTCTACATTGCTAAGCTGCGGTGGACTTCCCGCGGCCTGGATACTGCAAAATGACGGCAAGACACCAAGCCCATTTCTCTCACAACACCCTCTTCAACATTCAATCCCCCTCCACCTTTGGCCTCACACACGCCGGCGCATGCACCAAGTGTCCCCTCCTCCTCCGCACAAACCCTGCATACAACCCCCCCGCCACATACACAGCCGCGACGCTCACCACCACAGGCCACCGGAACTGATCGGGTCTCGCCCAGACAACCGTCGACGCGAACGACAGCATCTCGAACGCGTTCTGCAAGGCCGTTTCGACGGTGGAGAAGGCGCCGCGGTGGGACTCGTCGACGTCCTCCTGCACGATGGACTGGGCGCAGAGGTCGAACCCCCACAGCCCGATGCGGGAGAGCGCGGTGGCGATGACGAGACCGGTTGCGGCTGAGATGGTTGTAGTCGTTGTCGTTGTCGTGTTTGTTGTCGTGTTTGTTGTGGTTGTGGTGCCGAAGAACCACGAGAGTCCCGCCGCGAGCCAGACCATTTGCCAGCTTAGGAACCAGATGCCCGCGCGGATGGCGCCGATGCGGGATTGCAGGCGGGGCGCGAGCCAGGTGGCGGAGAGCTCGAAGCAGGTGGCGAGGGCGCGGGCGAGGCCGACGTGGGTCGAGGTGTAGCCCGAGGCGAGGAGGTAAGTGAGCATTTGGGCGGAGAAGGAGAGGACGGTGAGGTAGAGGAGGGAGAGGGAGAGGGAGGGGAGGAAGGCCCGGTGGTGGATGTAGAAGGGGAGGGTGGGGAGGGGGAGGATGTGGGATGCTAGGGCGAGGAGGGAGGTGGTGAGGTGTTTGGTCTTGGGAGTGGGAGGTGGAGGAGTAGGGTTGGAGGTAGATTCGTGGGTTGCTGGTTGCAGCTCGATGGCTCCTTCGGCGTTGGTGGTGGTGGTAATGGTGGTGGTGGTTGTTGTGCGGCGAAGGGCTGGGACTCTGTGGAAGACGGTCGCGATGGTGAAGTACTCGACCAGCACGGAGCTGCAGTTCATCCCGAGCGTGACCCAGATGGCGATTCTCGTCGACGCCCCGTTGACCAGGGATATGGCCAGTGGGCCCACGAGCTTGCAAAACAGGTCGATGCGGCGCATCCGCGCATTCAGCAGCCGTCGAGCTACCACGTTGTCTTGGGTGATAACGACCACCCAGTCCCTTTCCACGGACACCAAGTTCATGATCGAGCACAGCTTCTCGACGCAAGCCAACACTACGGTCAAGGCGAATAAACCGGTCGTCAGTTTACTACTCCCCATCCCATGCTTCTTCTTCTCTTCCCATTTCCCTCCCCATCCCGCAACGACAACAACAACAACCACCAAAACAGCCCGCACGAAACCGCAACGGCGACGCGCTGCCCCACAATCGACACCCGCACCACACTCAGCCGGTCCCCGTGGTCGATCCACGACCCTACCGCCGGAGAAAGCAGGATGGCGGCGCCGCTGCGCGCGAGGGCGTAGATGGACATGGGGCGCAGGGTCTGGCGGTAGATGGCGGCGAGGAAGAGGACGGCGCCCATTTCGAAGAGGCGCGAGTTCCAGGTGGAGAGGAAATGAGAGGTGTAAAGGCGGGTGGTGAGGGATTTGGGGGGGTTGGCAGGGGGTGAGGGCATGGTGGCGTCCGCGAGGCCAGACGCTGGCGTAGTAGTTGTATCGGTGACGGGAAGGATGTGGTCGCATTGCTGGTTGTGGTTGCTGCTGTTGTTCTGCATTTCCTGAGATTCAGGTCCCCCGGAGCTAGTGGAGAGGTTAGTATCCTCTTGTTGGAGGGGGGAATACTATTATCCCGATGTTTTCTTCTCCAAAAGGGCTTTGATCAGGGTGGCATACAGAGCGTGAGGAGCATCTTCGTTGTTTCCTTGCTCAGGAGGGAGTACCATGTTGGCTTCGAGATGTGACTTCAAGTTCTACTAGAATCCATGGATGACGAGTCCCGCCAAACCCGGTAGTGGAATTGGCTATGCATGTCCTATGTAGAGTACCGGAGTTGAAGTCGATGGCGAGGAGTGGAAACGGCTCATGCGACAAAGGGTGCGAATGTTTTTGACGGAGGGCGTGCGCTGCAAGTTCCAAGGTTGGTGGAAACGAAGTTAGAAAATGGTCTAGCCATTTTTCAACTCTAAAAGCGGACGCGTGTGGCTTTGAGATATTCGAAGAAAAAGGTGATGACAGAGTATATACAAAGGGAGGACCCAAGCTTACTACTAAGTAGTACGAGTATTTCAACTTCAGTTCTGGCCGTCGTCCTACCAATGTAAACACGAGATCGAAATGGCAACCGCACGGGATTCATGGTCCGATGACATCATTTTACAATGTGAACCCTGAATATAAAGGTAAAAATAAAATCATTTTACATAAAACCGGCCCCTTGGCGAAATGGTATCGCGTTGGTTTTCGGCCCTTGCCTAGCATGAGGAGATACACCAAAGATTGTGGGTTCGATCCCCATGGGGGTCGTTTGACCTTCTTTTTGACTTTATATTCTGACTTTCAACTACCCGCGCAGTAGTTCTTTTTGGTCCCTGGTTTGGAAAGAGGGAGAAGAGCCGAAGGAGTGAAGGAGTTATCCCCTTATTATATCTTCTTTTGAAAGCAAGCTTGAGAAGGTTGACTTCGGTAGATTAATACCTGGTCCGCTCTTTCCCAGGATTGTTTCATTCATGACGTTGCAATGTCTAGCCAAGACTCCGACGGCCATTTTCGGCATCGTGGGCGTCAACCACGTCTTCTTTGCCATCACTCCGCGGGCGGGAGTTTTCCGCCTCCGCTACGGAGTCCTACGTCTTATATCACCATTCTTCGTGCCGGCATCCTCTCACAACCCTACATTCACTCATTCGTCTGTTTTTACACCTCGTTCATCGACACATTAAACCACACGCGACGGCGATTGCTCTTCATTTCACCACAGCGCCGCCTGGAATCCTTATCTCCCATATCAGGGTACAATGACATAGTTCCCGTAAAGCCAGATCCAGCGCCATGTATCCTCCCCCGCAGGGTGCAGCATGTGGAAACCATCAGTCTGCATATCCCGAGCCACTCGTCGGTCTCGCAACAGTGCTCCCCCTATTACCACGGCCACCGCATTCAGCACCGTCGCCCGAAACAGCACCCATCATGCGCGCGCCACGCGCCGACAGACATACCCGCTCTACCACCTGCGGTGTTTCCACGACTACTTCATCACGCACATCCCCTCCACTTCGCTCCACCCCGACTCGAGAACAGCGGCAGGTCCGCACCACAAGCTCCCTCGGGACAAGAGCATACCTCATGACGGGCAGGGAACACCCGCCGCAACCATTGCCCCTTCGTCGCGCGACATGACGGTAGTTCGCATTCCCTTGAAGAGCGCAAAACACCACTTTGGCGTCTCTCTCTCGCGCGGTACGCGCCCCTACAACGAAGACGCCTTCCAGGCCGGCACCATCGAGATCCCCGCGTTCGCGAAGAGGCGCCCCGTGTCGTTGACGAGGAGCGCGAATGGCGTGGTCAACGGCAGCGACATCACGCCTGCTGGGAGTGCGAGCGGGGATCCACAGGTTTTCTACTTTGGAGTCTTTGATGGGCATGGGGGGAGTGAGTGTTCGGGGTTTCTGAGGGAGCAGTTACATACATATGTGGAGGAGGCAGCGAGGCTATTCGAGTTGGAAAGTAGTCTTAAGAGGAGAGGTGGCCAAGGGAGATGGCCGACCAGTTTGCAGGATCCAGAAACGAAAAAGAAGGAAAAGAAGAAGAGTATAGAAGACGCAGAGAGGGAGGCCCTGGATGCGGTAAAAATGCATACACCACGTGAAGTCAAGCCATTGAAGCCCGAGGATAAGCCGAAGTCGGGGTTGGAGTCCAAGGGGAAGCCAGCACTGGGGGATCCGCCGCTGCGGCAATCGCAGAGTGTAAGGAAGGCCGAAGAGCTAGAAATGAACCTCACAAGGGATTGGAAGGAATTGGTGGGAGGGTACTTTAGGCGGTTCAAGCCTGAGCATTTCTCCATGGCAGCTGGCGGGCGAGGACATCCCCATGAGAAAGACGTGGTTGCCAGGCAGACCTCTCCGAACTCGCCAATATCGGACAGCACGAAAGAAGGCATGGGCATTGAGACGGTGTTAGAGTACGCCTTCCTCAAGGCTGACTACGACTTTGTTTCGGCGCAGGTGGGCAAGCAAGACGAAGACCCGGTCCTTGCGGACAAGGCCATCAATGACGACGACATCCTAGGCCATCCCTCCCGCTCAGGCAAGGCTATCGGCGGACCCAAACGCTTCAAGGGCGGCAGCACTTGCAGCATTGCCCTTATATCTACACCCACGCCCACCCCCTTCTGGAACCCATCATCGCCTTCAACACTCATTACGGCCCACGTCGGCGATACACGGATCCTTCTCTGTCGAACAGACACAGGCCTGGCCGTCCCTCTTACCACGAACCACCACCCCTCGATGCCCGAAGAAGCGACACGGCTCCGGCGCTACGCCGCGGCGTTCGTGACCGACTCCTTTGGTGAGGAGCGCGTCTCGGGCCTTGCCAACACGCGCTCGTTTGGCGACATGGCGTCGAAGCGCATCGGCGTGAGCGCCGAGCCGGAAATCCGCCGCATCGAACTCCACCCCGCAGAATACAGTTTCCTGGTCCTCGTCTCGGATGGCGTGTCGGGCGCGCTGAGTGACCAGGAGATTGTGGATATCGTGAAGGAGGCCAAAACCCCGGAGCAGGCTGCCAGGGATGTTACGGCCTTTGCGACGGAGGTGAGCACGGATGCGGACAATGCGACGACACTGGTTGTGAGGCTCGGAGGGTGGGAGAGGAGGTCCGAGGGGGGATTGGGAAGTTTGGGGACGAAGGAGTTGCGGGATTGGAGGAAGCAGGAGGCGGAGAACCCGCGGGGGAGGGGTGGGAGGATGTGAGTGTGGAGTTGGAGGGTATTCCTATTGCATGGTTGGGTCGGAGGATTGGGAGAGCGATTTGGATGGCGGTCTGCTTGGTGACTGGGGCATAGCACGCGGTTCTAGCGATGGAGTGGCATAAGATAGCGGGCTCAGCAGGCGTTGGGGAGTTGCACTTTTCCCCCTACTTTACCTTTGACTTGTACATATGTATACAGCGTTCTCCTAAGAGTGTAATTGTCGGAACCACATAGGTGACCTTATATAATGGCAGCATAGTGCGCATGGGTAAGTGAGAACCAAGGGAACGAAAGGGGGAACGTTGAATGACGCAGCGGGCTCATGCGCCACACCAAAAAGCGGGGCTTTGCAGGCACCGCCGCGTGGCTTGACTGGTGAATTGCGGCCCAGGATGGTCGGACAAGGAGAATAGACAGAATAGAGGGGAGACTGTAGGTATCTGGTTCGCAGTGGATAAAGAGATATTCTGCTCGCATGCAACAATACACAGTACATATGCACCGGCAAGGCCACACGACGAAACGAACCAATGCACGGCCAAAGAGGCCGCAGTGCGGAGGTTTATTGCAGGTTCGCAATTCCAAAGGCTCTGGAGTACGGTAACAGAGGAAGGTGAATCTTATTTTGTCAAGAAGGAAAGCGATAGTCTTGTCTGCCGTGTTCCATGCTTCCTGCTTTCACTTCTAGGCGGTGGCTGCTTTCAAACACAGCCTGTTTGCCTGTTGTGTGGTGCCCCTCGCAAAAACCACGGCAACGCCTTTGTTTTGTCGGCATACAAAGACCACTTCCCCTGCAAAGCTTGCAAGCCGGCGCTAACATAGCCACGGGTAGTCATCCATAGCCTCCTATAGCGGCGGTGGGGTCACGGTTCGTTGCCTGGAGACGAATTCGGTCGCCATCCCCAAAAAAGGCCTTTCTCTGCTTTCCCAGGTTGTTGGGCGACCCAGTGTGCCTGTGCACGTGTTTTGGCCCTGTCTGCGCTCGACGACTTTCGCTTCAAAATCCCTCCACCGCAACTCCCCAAACACACAAACCCCACACCGCAGCAACACTCCGACACGCCACTCTCTTTTGCTGCCTGCCTCTTGCTGCCGCCCTTCACCCCCAGAGACATCCATTTGAACCCGTACATTCTGCCCTCCCACAATCATGGATATCAACCAGGTGTTGGAGGGGACCCTTTCTCCCGGTATGCCACTTACTCCTCTACCTGCTCGCCTTGCTCTGCCTCTTCCTTTGCTGACTTCTTCAAGATGCTACGATCCGCCAGAGTGCCGAGCACCAGCTCACCCAGGCCGCCGAAGCTGACTTTGTACGTGTTTTCTGCTCCCCGCATCCAACTGCGTCATGGGGACCCCTTTAGACCCCCCCCCGCTAACCACCGTGTCTTACTGTAGCCCCAATACCTGACCATCCTCGGTCAAGAACTTGCCAACGAGGCCGCCCAGCCGCACATTCGAACCGCCGCTGGTATTGCGCTCAAGAACGCCTTCACCGCCCGCGATCATGCTCGGTTACGTCAGGTGCAGGAGCGATGGCTGAACCTCAACCCGGAGCTCAAGGAAAACGTCAAGCGTCTCGCCCTGCACACTCTCAACACACAAGATGCCCGCGCCGGCCAGTCCGCTGCACAATTCATCGCATCCATCGCCGCTATCGAGATTCCCCGCAACCAATGGCCCGAGCTCATGCCTACGCTCGTCGACAATGTTGGACAAGGTGCAGATCACCAGAAACAGGCCTCGCTTACCACCATCGGCTTCATTTGCGAGACGGACGAGCACGAGCTCAGGGAGTCCTTGCAACACCACTCCAATGCCATTCTCACCGCAGTGGTCCAGGGCGCTCGCAAGGAGGAGGCCAATGCGGAGGTGCGGCTCGCCGCCGTCACGGCTCTCAGCGACTCTATCGAGTTTGTGCGGTCCAACTTTGAGAATGAGGGTGAGCGGAATTACATAATGCAAGTCATCTGCGAGGCTACACAGGCCGAGGATGCCCGTATTCAACAAGGGGCTTGGGGTTGCTTGAATCGTATCATGGCCATGTACTATGATAAGATGCGCTTCTACATGGAGAAGGCCCTTTTCGGCCTCACGATCCAGGGAATGAAGAGTGAGGAGGAAGATGTGGCCAAGTTGGCTGTGGAATTCTGGAGTACCGTCTGTGAGGAGGAGATATCCATCGAGGACGACAATGCCCAGGTAGTAGCTACCCGTGAAGAACGAAATGCGGCGTCATCTAACTTGTTGCAGGCTCAGGCCGAAGGGTCTACGGAGTTGAGGGAGCTCTATTATTTTGCCAGAGTCGCAACCCGAGAGGTCATCCCGGTGCTACTCGAGCTGCTCGCTAAGCAGGACGAGGACGCCGATGACAACGAGTACAACATTTCGCGCGCCTCGTACCAGTGTCTGCAGATCTGGGCGCAATGCGTCGGTAGTGGCATTGTGCCTCCTGTTCTTGCTTTTGTCGAGAAGAACCTCCGTTCAGAAGATTGGCATTACCGGGATGCTTCCGTGTCGGCATTTGGCGCCATCATGGAGGGTCCGGAGGAGAACGTCCTGGATCCCATCGTCAAGCAGGCTCTTCCCGTGCTTATCGCCATGATGGACGACCAGGTAATCCAGGTCAAGGATTCTGCAGCGTACGCTTTGGGCCGCATCTGCGAAGCATGTCCCAACTCTCTGGATGCTGAGCAGCACCTGCAACCTCTGATTGTGGCCCTGTTCAACGGACTCTCGAGCCACCCCAAGATGGCGGCTTCATGCTGTTGGGCATTGATGAACCTTGCCGAGCGCTTCGCCGGAGAGCCCGGCTGCCAGACCAATCCCATTTCCCCCCATTTCCAGGAGAGCGTCTCCCGCTTGCTGCAGGCCACTGACCGAACCGATGCTGACAGCCAGCTACGGACAGCGGCGTACGAAGTCCTCAACTCCTTCGTCACCAATGCTGCCGGGGATAACCTCAACATGGTCGGCGAGCTTTCCACGGTCATTCTTGACCGGTTGGAGAACTCGATCAAGCTCCAGTCCCAGGTTGTTAGCATTGAGGATAAGATGCAGCTCGAGGAGATGCAGACCAGCTTGGTCAGCGTGGTTATGGTGAGTTCGTCTTATTGCGATGGTAGGTCCTGGCTTACCTTCTCTAGGCAATCGTGCAACGTCTCGAGGCTGATATCAAACCACTTGCCGACCGCATCATGCAGATCCTTCTGCACCTCCTCCAGACTGTTGGACCCAAGTCAAGCGTGCCAGATACCGTGTTCGCTGCTGTGGGCTCAGTTGCAAGTGCTCTGGAGGAGGACTTCATCACGTACATGGATGCCTTCGTCCCGTACCTGCACAACGCTCTCGGAAACCAGGAAGAGCCGGCACTCTGCTCCATGGCCATTGGTCTCGTCAGTGACATTACTCGCTCGCTTGGTGAGAAGGTCCAGCCGTATTGCGACGCTTTTATGAACTACCTTCTCCAGAATTTGAGGGTGAGTGGCTCTCCTTGCCCTCCTTTTTGTCCAAATATCTAATCATCGCGCAGAGCGCCCATCTAGGCAACCAGTTCAAGCCCGCGATCCTACAGTGCTTCGGTGACATTGCACAAGCCATCGGAGGTGCCTTTGAGTTGTACCTCCCCGTTGTCGCTCAGGTCCTGCAGCAAGCGTCTACTGTCTCCGTTAATGTGGATGGTAGCTACGAGATGATGGAGTATGTCACCTCGTTGCGCGAGGGCATCATGGATGCTTGGGATGGCGCAATCATCGCCATGAAGTCCAGCGGCAAGAGTAAGTTGTTGTACGTCTTGATGAATACATTGTAAACTAATCACAACAGCTCAACTCGTCGCCAACTATATCGAGTCGATTTTCCAGCTCCTTCGCGTCATCTACGCAGACTCCAACCGCTCTGAGCCCCTCATGCGGTCATGCTGCGGCGTCATTGGAGATATTGCAGATGCCTTCCCTAACGGCGAATTCAGAGACTACTTCCGCGAGGATTACATGACTCAGATCACAAGGGAAACCCGATCGAACCAGGACTATCTCGCTCGCACGCGCGATACTGCTCGGTGGGCGCGTGAGCAGATCAAGCGCCAAGTCGGTATGTCGACTCGATTTGAAAACACAACTTTCTCGGACTTTATGCCTCCTTTTCCTGCTCATCCACTAAACGCCACTTCCGTGGATTTTTCACTTTTCTAAATTTGGCGAGGGTTGCTTCATATCCTGTCTTTCAATGATGCAGAACTGACGGAATGCCTAGGTGGTACACAAGGTACTATGGCTTGATTGTATCGATCGCCATAGCACACCCCTTTCCCATGGCCGCAGACGGGAGACAAGGGAGCCACATGCCTTGTTTTTCTGCTAAGTGTCTTGTCAGGGACATTTTGCATGAGACTACAGCGTGTGTCTCCCAGTTATCCGCCAGCAGCTGGCCCTCTGGGACTGCCGGTCCCGTACGATTTGGCCGAGTTGTCCTGCTCCGCACCACTCGTAGGTCACTGCAACCAGCGCCACTACCCATTGTGCGTTGAAAATCCCGTTGCCGCGCGGGTTGCAAATTCAGCAAGCGCACTCCACTCTTAACAGTAGAGTTTGACACGCGGGTCGCCATCCCTCCCACACCACCCACCTTGTGCAAGCATCCACCCCCATCGGCACGATACTAGCACCCCACACCGCACCACCACACAACACCATGCCACACCACCCTCCCCGCCACACACCCATATCCAGTTATACACGCACGCTCCGAAAAAGTCATGTAGCACGAAAGTCATGTAAGGCGGGACAACAGGCCCTTGGACCAAGGGGATTAGACAAGGGGCCGTTTTGGTTTGTCTCGCCACCGGAGAAGAAGAATTGAAGGATCGTTTATCCCCATGCAGTCGTCGTCACCCCATACGAAATACACGTCGGTCTTATACCACCACCTCATGCCATACCCTACTAGCACGTGAAATGATGCACTTTCCTGTTGTAGGAATTCTCCCCATGATATCCCGACTAATTTCATGATACCTTTGCCGCCTGTCGTCCACTTTGTTTCGCGCCGTCTCGCTCCATCCCCGTTTCATTTTAGGTTTTGTTGTGGTTCTGTTGTTGCATATTGGGGATTGGGTTGCGAGCAGTAGTGAGCCCCATCGAAGGTTCGTGAAATGGATGCAGTGCAGTCCATTGGTCAGTCAGGTTTGGTGGTGGCAAGTAGCATGGCGATTGATGGCGGCCATGATGGCAATGATGGTGGTTAACGGTGGGGGTGGTGATGACGATGATGTAGGTAGGCAATGTTCATCCTACTATTCATACAAAATGCAAACTAATGTGGAAATGCAGATCAGGGGATGAATAGATAAATCACTCACTGCACTTGGGCAAAGGTTCTGCTTTCGATTGTCCTATGCCTACGCCTATGCCTTTTTCTTCCCCGCCCGGCTGACATCATTATCGAAATCAAAATCAAATAGGGACGCGGATAAAGGGGCCGAGGGATTTGATGAAGAGTTAGTTATAGGGATGTGTGTGGGTCATGAAATGCGTTGGCTTCTTGGGCCTGATTCGGCCCTCTTTGTAATAAACAGCTCGCCGCATATTGGTACCTATCTATATCGCGCGCTGTAGGTGTGTGCGTGCAGACTTCGCAAGACGATTAATTATTATATGACGGACAGCACAGGATGCAACGAGTTCTCGGAGATGCATGTACAACCATCAATCATGATTGTTTGGACTGGTTCTCTAGAGTCCAGTCCGCTGAATCATTGGTACTTTTTTGGTTACAGCATCGACGCAAAGATCAATCAGAAGCCATAGTGTACACCTCGCTCAAGGGACTCCCCAACCTGCTGTTGGAAAAGTCGCAGAATCTCGATCCCACACATTACCGTTTTATCCCGACTCGAATCACCTCCTTTACCTGGTCTCTCTCGTCCGCCAGACAACCCCAACATCTTTTTTTTCTCGATCACAACCCACAACTCCACGTCCCAGCTTAGGACACCATCAATCGTCTAGTTCCCATTCGGTAGAGTCTTGGAGTACTTCCTCTCCGCCCCAATGATGCTCATTTTCTTCTCCACGTGAACTTCGGCATGATGCACGACATGCTTCTTCGCCTCTCCCTCCGCTTCCCCCTTCCCAAACGTCTCCTTCATAATGACCGGCGAAACTGCAAAGCGTACCGTGTACAGCCCCGGAGCCTGCATGACCCTCTGATACGTGGTCGTGGGATCGCCATGGAGGGTGCGAGACAGATTGACCATCTGGCTCCAGTCGAAATCTTGCCCGAGAAGCGGCCAGCTCGTCGTCCACTTGGCGGCTTCCATGTGCATGCGGAAGCCGATACGGAAGCCGCGCACGAAGAGGTCCTGAAGGGCGAAGTTACGGTCCTTGGCCTCGAGTACGGGAGCTTCGGTCGCGGAGCGCAGGAGGGGGCCCATCTGTAGATATCAGAAGACAGTTATCAATGCTTGGCGAGTAGACACATACCTGTGCGACCAATGCGTTCGAGAGCCTGTTCGCCATGATGCTCCTCATCTTGCGATGTCCGGGCTTCTCCTTGATAGACGTGTATAGCTGTTTCTGCCGAACAAGGACGTCATTCTTCTTCTCACCTTCATGATCCCCAAGGGACTTGAACTCATGGACAAGAGCGTCCGCAAACACGGCCAAGGGAAAAGTGGAGCGTTTGATGAAACCGTCTTCCATAGTGTAGTAGACAATATACATGCCAACAATACCAGCAATGAGGTTCGGGCGGAGAGTCTCGTCAGTCAGGATTGCTGCTCCCGTCGCGTAAAGGTCGAGCGGAGCGTCACAAAGGCCATGACCGAGAAACTCAACGACCACAGATGGCATCGCCTTGACGAGCTCGGAGATCTCCTTCGGAGTCAGAGAGCGCGCGGCCCAGAGGTTAGCCCAAGCTACTATATCATCGAAGAAGTCAGCAATCAATGGACGATCATCTTGTGGCTTGAGGGGCGAAGTTTCCGGGGTATGGAGAGAACCGGTGCTGGATTTGTGCACCGGAGTGCGAGTACGGCGGTGACCGCGACCAGAGGGACCGGTACGTCGTCCATATGATTCAAAGGCTCCACCGTACCTCCCCGTTGTAAATGGAGACATGGGGGTGACTGGACTAGGCATGTAGATAGGCGTGTTAGCACTATATCCAAGATTCTCCAGGCTCGGGCGAGCCAACTGCGCTGTGGTAGCAAACGTGAGCTTCAGGGGTGGAGGTCTTCTCCTTGGGGTGGAGAACGAACCAATTCCAGTGCCACGGTTGACGCTAGGCGTAGCTGGAGACTCGGTCAATTTGTTCACTTTGAGCTTCAGCTCGTTCAAGTCCTGAACTATCTTCGCGAAGTCTTGAATTGGCAATTGAACCCTGGAACGTGGTGTCAGTACGCAGCGAACGAGCCCTTGTACCCAGTGACTTACATAGGACCCTGCGAGGATGGAGGGACTGAGGTCGGAGTGAAGTCCGGAATAGGAAGCCTGAATCTATGGATATCAGTAAGGTGAAAAGGCGGAGAGAAAGATGGATTGACTAACTTGGTCGCGTCCTGAGGAGGACGAACAGCCGCCGGGCCCGTCCAAAACGGATCCATAACATTGGTATGAGCGCTATAACCACTTGTGCGCGTCTCTTCATGACGGTCTCTAGTCAGAAGACCCTGAGGCGACTCGCGTTGAATTTGCTGGGACCAGCCCTCGTTCGATTTGCCAGGACCGGCGAGCATTTCGCTGAGTGGGAGGTGCATCTGGAAATGACCGGTCAGAACATGATCATGGTGTCCCCGAAGTTCAAACTATTCACGTACCTTGTTGATGATGTCGCTGAGATATGCGAACGACTGCTGTCTAGTTTGTTTACCACATACAATGTACCCCCAACATGAACAAATACAGGAACCGCTCAGGAAAGAGGCGCACCGAAGATGCTGCCCAATGTATGAACACACAATCAATGAGAAAGTCGAATCAAGACAGTAGGCAGCCCGAGACGCAAGGTGGGAACCCAATGAGTTGAAAAGAGGCAAGATAGATGTACCGCAGTTGTCGAGTGTCTTTGAAGTGTAGGGTTGAGGGTCGATGCAAGAGATGTGGAGGGGGAATAATCAACTTGGAAGCACGGGCCCGTGATGGCAACTTGAGGAAGGCACGCAGCGGGTGTGGGGTAGCTTTCCAAGGTTCCATACGTCGGCGGCAACGGGCCTTGATATCTCGCTTGACCATGGCGGCAGTGAAAGGCTCCGGCCAAGAGGGGAATGTGTTGTCAAAGAAATCCGCTCACATGCGGAAACTTGGTCAGCTAGGACGAGGCTCCGCCCCGTGTCAGAGAGTAGTGGGCTCATTTGAGTCCTATCCCCGCGGGTGGACCTTGGTGTTGACTTAGATATGGTGCCTGTGCCGACGTTACACAAGATATCAGTGAGTCTTGCACCATCTCAGGCGGGTGCGTCGCGCGATATTCGGAGTCGGTGCTTTATATCCGCTTGCGATTCTGATACTCATTTCTCTCACCTTCGCACACTATTATTGATGGAAGTGGGGAGGTCCACCTGTCGTCTTTGCGCGTGACAAATCAGACACGAAGAAGGCACTGCGGGTAGACGGCGAGAACATCTCGATACGGACCATACTGCCTCGTGCGCAGCTCTGTACCGCTCCCTGGCCGTGCTTCAATCTCACACTGGCCATTGGGCGGATGGGTTGAAGCCAGCGAAACCCTGGGAAGTCAGTGCAAATGCACGGCTCCGTTAGACAGTCCACGATCGATGGTTACGCCATCGAAACAACCCGTGTGCGCTCACTAGGTCATACGGCTCCAAGAGGAATGATTGGTTTCGGAGAGGCATTATATTTGAGTTGAAGATAGAAATGCGTCAGATTGAAATCAAAAGCGAACAATATAGGAAAGAAATCGACCTCGAAGCTGTACAATATAAGAAAGAAACGAGGAAGAAGAAGAGGTGAGCTTTGACTCATGTAGATAGCTCGCAAGGGAGAGTGTTATATCAACTTCTCACAGAGTCAGTAAATGTGGATCATATGGCTCTGTATGTGCGTTGCGCCCTTGGCCTCGCCACTTGAAAGAGCATGCACATGTGTTGCCATCCGCTGCCTCACGCAGTCCCAGGAGGAATCGTAGACCCAATCAAGGCCCAAAAGGGAGCACGGCCCAGGCTACCAGCTTACAGGTGTTGACCGGCCGAGGAGACGAGGGACCCGGAGTGCCATAGCGATGAAATGAGCTCTGGCATTTGTTATCTCATGGTTGATCCTGCGCGGGCTGCTTTTAGTGGCTTCATGTACACAGGGTTAGGAGGCCGCAATACAAAGATTGGGCAAACACTGAGCGGACGAGAAAGGAGCTCAAACAAGACTCCTCGCAAATATGGGTGAAGGCGATGATGTAGGCAAACTGCAACCTATCAGTAAACAAATACGCCGCAACTGGGGGAAGGGCCCATTTGTCAGCTGCCCCAAGCGCGCATATGATATCTATCATGACGTCAGGGTGAAAACGAGTGCAGAGGGAGCCTGAGACAGGACAAACCGCTTGGGACCCCGAGGTCCAACATCAGGATGCACACGACGTCCGCCAACTCGTCGTCCAGCTCCACCGTGCTGCCTCGACCGCCGTAATCTGCAGTACAGTTAAGAGATAACACAGTCCTTTCAACCTGTTACTAGACCCTAAGGAGTTACAGGAGGTGCAAACCGTGTGTGTAGTGACCCATCCCCATGCCGAAACCATGCCCAATACCCTGCACACCACTGTTCCATCTCCGAAACCCGCGTCGTGACGCTTACCATGAACCGAAATCCCATCCGACACCATTACCAGTCGCTGAAAGATCCATCCCAGGTAACACATCGCATCGCCAGACTCCGGAAGTGAAGACAGTAGGAAACAATTGTGCAAGGAATTGGCAGAAAAACACAGAACGACAACTCCTTACCTTCGATGAACCATGTGAAGAAGTTGCCTCTTGAAGTACAGTGTATGCTGATGATCCATCATGGAAGACAGATCGCCTCCAGCATCGTCCAGTGAAAGAACTTGTCGATACGATCGATTCGGTAGTCGAAGCTGTTCTGAAAGCCTACGCCTAGTTCAGTTCAACATAGCGGGTACGACCGCGTATGGATAAGATCCTTTCAAGACTTCTTCGCGGCGGAGGCGTAGAGCGAGTCGTAGATCTTGTCCACAACATACGAGGCACGGATTGTGCGCCAGTTGAAGTTACGACCGTTCAAGCCTTGCATGGCCTTCTGGCCACCGTTGACGTCTTCGAATTTGACGTAGATGTCGCCATCCGTATTGGGATCAACGGCGATGTGAACGACTCGGCCGTACTTCTTGTCGCATTCGATCTTCACCTCGTTTTCCAAGTCACGGATCCAGTTCTCGCCGTACTGCTTGAACTCGCTGCGCTTGTTAGCAATTTTACCAACGGAAATGCCAGGAACTTACTGCTCGGGGTCGAAAGCATTCTGGATCTTGATGCACCTGGACGGGGCAGGAGTGTACTCGGTCGGAGCACGGGGCTTCGGGGCGGCCTGTCCATTCTTTGTTTTAGTTGGCTCTTCAACGGGGTTGCGCGCGAGAAGGTTCATAAGCCTGTCACGATTCATGTTGTTGATGTTGATGCCAGCCACGTCAGTGTCGTCAAGGGCGGAAGCTCCGCTGACACCGCGATCATCACGACCATGGGTGCGATCGAAGACACCACCAGAGCCGCCAGCATAGGCACCACGACCGCCAGCGCCCGAGAAGGCGGATCCCTGGAAGTTCTGAGCGTGGCCATTGAAGTTACGGAGAAGATTGGCAGTGGACTCTGGAGTGAACTTGTCGTTGCCGAGGCCAACGCGAATCGGGCGACCGGCAAGCTCGAAGCCATTCATCTGCTCGAGAGCCTCCTTCGCCTTCTCCGGATCGAAGAACCTAGAAAACCAATTAATACTGCGTTGATAAAAGCATAATGTGTGACGATGTGTGGTAGGGCCAAGCAAATCGGGGTCTTACTGCACGAAGCCGTAGCCCTTGGATCTTCCACCGTTATCTGGATCCATTTGCAGTGTAACCTGCTCCAGCTCGCCAAAGGGTTCAAATACTTCCCTGAGATCATCCTCGGTCACGCTGAAATGGATATTACCAACATACAAACGATGGAAAGGCGCTCCGCTGTTAGCACCCGAGTTGGACTCTGCAGCAGCACGAGAGGCACGATTCTTCTCCGCTTCAGTCAGCTGAACGATGATGGGGACACCCTTCAACTTTTGCCCCGTTAGCTCAAGTGCCTTGGGCACGGAATCGATATCCTTGAATTCAACATAGCCGACTCTGTCGAATGTCAGCAACAGGTACAAACGGCCCAGTTGGTCCAACCTACCCCTTGGATCGACCAGTGACACGGTCCTTGACGATTTGAGCATCGATGACCTCGCCGACAGCTTCGAAGAAGGCGCGAAGGTGACGGGTCTCAGCGCGCTGAGAGATTTGCTGCACGAAGACAGTGCGCTTGTCCTGATCGGCATCCTTGGGCGCCTCTGGAGTCATGGTACGCCGGCCATTGCGAGGGCGCTCGTCATCGCGGCGGCGACGGTCACGGGAGCGGTCGCGATATCTGTCACGGTGATCGTCGCGGCGACGAGGGGAGCGGGAACGAGCGCGTCCACTGCCACTGTAGTAGTCACCACCGCCGCTGCGGCGGTCGTCGCGGCGACCACGGTAGCGATCGCGAGAGCGGTCACGCTCCCGGTCACGTCCACCATAGCGGTCTCCACGACGCTGGGGAGCTTCACCATCTGTGTCAGCATCCTTATTTGAAGAACGTGGTCGGCTGTCGTCTCGTCGTCGGTCGTCTCGTCCCCGACTGCTATGTCTGGACTCACGGTACTCATCACGGCGTCGCTCTCGGCCTCCACGGTCGCGGTCGCGGTCATGGCCGTCTCGCTCGTCCTTGCGGGGAGAGGAATCCTTGCTGGCGGCCTTCGCGGCACGATCGAGTTCTTCACGCTCCTTGGCGGCAGCCTCGAGCAGTTCGTCGACATCCATAGCGGTATTCATGATGGCGACTGGTGTAGCGACTGTCTACTGGTAATTGGCGGAGCAGCAGTAGAATTGAATGCGGAGGGGCGACGCTGAGGATGACGAGGTGAAGTCGAGAAGCGAGCCGAAGGCAGGGAAAAGCAGCGCCAGTGCGCGAGCGTTTGCCGGTTTAGTCAGCAGTGGAGCGCCAAGCCAGGCAGCCGTGCACGTGATATGGACTTGCTCCAAGCACTTGGAAGTCGGTACGGAGAGTCTTCAGGAAATTACGGGGATTAGGAAAAAGAAATCTGTTTTGAAGTAAACAGAGCGCTGAGAGATAAGGGGAACACAACGCATTCTACTAAGAAGTAATGCGCGATGGCCGCTTAACTTCCAGTCAATCTTACTTGATTTTAGACATTACTGCATGATACTATACAATGCGTAACCCATTACTCTTCGCCCCCTTCAAACAGCCTATGTACACACAGGAACCCTGAAACTCCCAAAACCTCCGTCTAGAAAACTTGTCTTATGCAGCGTCCATCCCCTACGCGGCCTTCACAACCTTCGGCTTCGGCCCCATCTCCAACTCCGTGTTGAACACCCAATCCCAGAACCTGCTCGTGACCCCGAACCCATTCTGGTAATCCGCAAAATGGTGCTTGAGGTGGTACTTCTTGAGCTGACGGTACCAGGCCGGCAGGTTGCGGTGGTGCAGGAAGTAGTGCGTCAGGTCGTAGCAGACGTAGCCGAAGATGCCGCCGCAGAAGACGCTGGTGGCGGCGTACCAGTTGTAGAAGAAGACGGTGTGGGCGAGTTTCCAGAAGGGCGTGGCGAGGACGAGGAAGAGGGTGGGCGGCATGACGAGTCGGTAGCGGTCCATGGGGAGGTAGTGGTGGATGCCATGGAGGAGGAAGTGGAGGGTGATTCCGACGCGGTTGTCGGGGAGGTATCTGGGAGTTGTTAGCTGGAGCATTTCTAATGAGACTGCTCAAGGCCACTTACTCGTCCAAATGGAAGAGGAATCGATGTAGGATATACTCCACCAACGTCCAGATGCACAATCCCGTCACCCAGTATGCTGCCGTAACCGGCACACCGAGCCCGGACACCCCTAAAACGGTCCCATATGCCACCGGCGGTAGCCATATCAAAGGCACCACCCACCATGCCGTCTTAGTCAATGGCTCCAGGAAATTCCCAAACAGCGGTGCTGATTCTCCCCCCTTATAATGCCTCGGACGATGCACCTGCTCGAGATAAAAGTCCTTGCTGAACCCGCCATACCACACTTGCGGAAACAATGGCTTCGAGAGATCCAAGAACTTGTGCGTCTTATAATCCGCCGCGGGATCCGTCTCTTTTGAAAGATCCTCCTCGCTTGACATGCCCGTCGCCGCATACACCACCTTCCCTTCCAGTCCCCCATTCTCCAACTCTTCCTTTCCTTCCTTCGACGCTGGCAAAGGCACTATCTCTGCCGGCTTCCCGCTCTTCGCCGCCGCGTCCAGAATCTCCTCGCTCGGCACCAACCCAATCAGGCACTCATCTAGAATCTCGTACGCAGCCTCCGAGTGCGGGTGCGAAACCACATCCTGCATGATCTTGCCGACATCCTTGCCTGCGTAGTCGAGAATCAGGTCCGAGCCGCCGGGGTGATCGTCGAGGAACGAAGTCACATCGTAAACCTTGGTGCCGATCGTGACATAACATGACTTCTCCGAATTGTGCGCCCTGATGTCGGCCAGAGTGATGGTAGGGAGGGTTCGGGCAGGCATATTGGGTGCGGTGTCGAGTAGCCGTTAGGATGGCAATGCAGTGTGGAAAGACGGTCGGGCTTCCGGCTGCTGCAGGCAGGCAGACTATTGCTGGTGGCTGCAGGGAGGGATCGGGAGCTGGGAGGGAAGTGTGTGGGGCAATCTAATCGACGCAGGGCAGATGCCGCGGGAGAGGTCGCAGAGGGTGTCTGGCGGAGGATGGATAGCGTTGGTAGGGGAGGGTGCAGCGGAAGAAATCGAGGAACTTGTTTGTGAAACGGGCGGCACAATAGCTGCGGAATGGCGGGAGAGCGGGACGAGTGTGCGGGAACGGGAGACGACGCGCGGAAGGAGTTGGTGTGGTTAGGCCGGAAGAAAGGGAAGTGAAGCGGAGCGGTGATTATTGCTCATCGGACTTTTCTCAGCAAATACGAAGAGCAGAAAGGAGACGAAGAACTATACGCCAAAGGAGGAGTGAGAGAAGATGATCAGGGAGCGAGCAACAGTCGTGCCTCCAAGCCTCTTCCCGTCCACGCCAAGAATCAGGGATTTGACCAATCGTCTCTTCAAAAAAGCCTCGCTGTGGTGGCGAGATATTTTGGAAAACGGTGTCACGGCGTTGGCACGTTCACGTCTCCCCATCACTCATCACATTTCTCCGCTCAGCCCAAAAAGGGGCCCTCAGCCCTGGTCCAGCCCTTCTCCCTTATCGATAACACTCAACACCATGCTCCACCTCCTCGCGGGCTGTACTCGGTACCTCAATCTCCAAACTCAAACCCCCCAAACCTTGGTACCCTCCCTCTGCCAGATGCCCGGTCCCAGGTCTATCTACCTGCATCCCCATCTATTCCCTGTTGCCCTCTCCAAACTATGCTGTTCCCAACTACCGCGCACCGGGCCCGAGTTTCCACGACATCTGTGTGTGCTCGAATGACTACTTGTTGAAGCCGAGAATTGGTTCCGACGACGTAGAGTGGGAGATTGGCGTAGCATGGTAGGAGTGATAGAGTTTCTAGCATGTAGGTGCGTCATGCACCTCTGATGCATTATGTGCATCTGTGTGGTTTTGTCGCAGTGTTTAGGTAATTTTCGTGAGTGAGAGGAAACCCCGGTCGAAGAAATGAACAGCAAAAAGGTGGATGTGGTCGATGTCTCGGATCCTGCTTCCTGACTGCCGTCAAGGTGTCACACAGAGGTTCTGTTCATGCATAGGCATGGAAGTAGGGAAACTGGATGGGACATGCACGTCGTGCCGTCATGCGCTGCTCTACTACAGTTGCTCTCCAAACCGCAGGAGGAGTGAGTACAACGCTTGTCACATTCACATACAACTGCACCCTTCGGTGGCCCATTATTGAGCACCTTTCGACCTCGTCCACCCCTAATCCGGAAGGCAGAACAGAAAACACCAGCACGGATAAAATCCCCCTCTCACCCGTCCCCTCCATGTCCCCCAAGCCTGATGTAAAGCCCACATCGTCCCTTTCTTCGATCCTCTATCGAACACTTCATCGAAGATTCCTCAACCATTCTACGGTTCCTTGGAAGATCTTATTTTCCGGCAGACAACGCTACCCCCTTCCGCGAGGCTAGTCTCGTCTTCGTCTAGCCTGGCTACCTGGGCCAGAGGGTTATATTAGACGGGTAATATAGCTGGCGGACATATATCGCAGTCTACCGTAGTATAGTATACTACGTGTAATGCGATGTTAGGTGTATCATGGAGCAGGGCGCATGAATCATCAGTCGGATTGATATTGGTGACTAACGGACTCAAAGCTGGGGACAGTGATCAGAGTTACGTTATGGCTTCTAGTCAAGAATGGAATATGTGACTCGAGTGAGCGGTTGGATGAGGAAAGGAATCGTCTTGTTCTCTATGTATCGTCTTCATCGCATGCATATATCTTCATCATCATCATCGTCATCGCCCGTCGCTCTAAAGCTCGTATATGCTTGTCATCCAGCCGTGTCCATCACATCCAACACTAATGCCGTATCCTGAGTGAAGCTGTACCCTCATCCGCATGCAAGTCTCCACTACTCGCCAAAAGTCCAGCGGAACGTTTGTTGGTCTTGCGATCCCAAGCCCGCATTCTAGCATCTGCATCTGCATCTGCATCTGCAGTCCCCAGTACCTACCCATGCACACCATCACCCCACCATTTTAGCCTTTTGCTTCAGAAAGAAGAGAAAATCCTGGGGGAAGACGTCGACAACTCCAATGATCCCGGTCTATATCCAAACGCCTTTAGCAGAGGGAAAAATAGCTAACCTCGACTCTGTCAAAACGTGCCTACTTGTCGCTGCCGCCAAGATGCCCCTGCCCCTCATGTGCTCGTTTCTCGTCATAAAAGACCGTTACGGGTGACGGTACAGCGATCATGTGCAGCGCGTGGTTGAATACGAGTCGTGACCAGCAAGGAGAGGAGGACAAGGAATGCACCTAATGCCAGCGCGGTACGTGAAAGCAAGAGCATACGGGGGGTAAGAAAAAAACAACAAATGCAATGCAATCTTCACACACCAAGGATTTGCCAGGCTCGAAATAACAGACAACGCAGATGCAGAAAGACGATGAGACGAGTCAGATAAAAAGTCCGCGGAGTGGGGGAGAGCGGGAAAATCGAGAGACCCTCCACAGTGCAATAGATGCACGCTCCATATTTATATGAAGCCAAACCCATCCCGCTTCCATCATCATTGGGCAAAACCACAGCCAAGTCGCGCTTCGGAATGTGTCGTCAAGCTTTGCTTGGCCCCCTGGTGGAACATTCCAAATATCTTCCTTTCCGCCGAGATTTTGTGCTGGCGCTTTCAATGTGATTGTGGTGATCGCCAATCAATGTGTGACGAAGTAATGATGCCTCTGAGCGTATACAGAAGACATCACCACCCCTCAGTTGCCGGGCATCCAGCAAGCGGCGCCCGAATCATGAGCGGCTGCTGCCCCCTGAAAATCGTAGTCGTTGCCCAATCCGAAAGGGTTCTCGAGCATGTCCGGAAGATTCGTATCCCACATCATATCATCCCAATAACCACTCAACTGCTGCATCGAGTTCGGATCGTTGCCCCACACAGCATTGTTCATGGACAATGCGCTAACATCAGGAACACCGCTGTAGCCAAAACCTTCCATGACCGGGGCGCCATTGTTGGAGTGGTGATAAGCGTGCTGCGCCTGGGCCGGATCAGGTTGCAATTGCCCTGAGAATTGCAGTTTGTAGGCCTGGTAGAGTTTCGAAATGGCATCCTTGCTCCGTTTCGCAGCAATGCTCCACGGTTTACTCCGCTCGAAGAACGCAAGCGCCGTCTCGATGCTCGCCTTCCACTTCTCTACCTCTTCCGGCATGCTCGTATCGCTGAACAGTGAGACCAGGGGAACCATGCAGGCTTGGAAGGTGAACCAGACGCCGTTCCAACCAGAGATGAGATCTGGTAGACACTCGTTGGAGATGTCTTCGATAGTCTTTGCCGCAATGATGCGGCACTTTCCAACCGCAACCTTCTCTTCAGCCGTCAGGTTGGCAAATGTGCAGCGTCTTAAAGCTGTGCTTAGTAACATCGGCCTGTGTAGCACAATGCGGATGTTCTGGAATCGCCACTTCATGACAAGGCGGACACGATGTAGGAACGGAGGACAGGGCTCGTTGAGATTCGACAGTAGGGAGGGGAGTTCTTCGTTCCAGCGCACGATCTCTGCGTCGTATTGACTGGTCTCGGAGGGTGTAAGCAGCGGCGACTCGACCAGTCGATCTTGAATGCGCGTGGCAATCTTGCAGAATTCTGAAGCATGTTGCAGTGGTAGCGTCTTCAACTGTTCAATGTATTGAGGAGTATTCGGCTGCGGCAGAGCGGTTCCCTAGACGTCACAAATCAGTCCACGGTTTCGAAAGGCTGTTGAACGACGCACCGAACTAGTAGCTGTGCCTGGGGGAAGCACAGTAATGGACGGCCCCATCCTACCCAGAGACGGTCTGCCCGTCGTGGTAGATGCCCAAGTATCCATACAAAACAGGCTCCACCAGATACGCCTTCTCATCTCGGGCGATATCGAGTCAGCCTCACCGGGGGCAGTGATGTTAAGATGCCTCGATGGATCATTCCTCGATGCCTCTGAATATTCGCGGTGCAAGCCCAATGCGGTAGCCATCCGAAGTGTTGCTCCCATAAGAGAATGTGCTTCGTTCGGCCGGTTCAGGTAATGCATGTAGTAACCACTCATGATCGCTAGTGCCTGAAGGACTTCCAGATTGCCGCTGCCAAATGAATCCAAGGAGAGCTGCTGCCGCGCACGATTGAAATATACATAGTGAGCCTCATTGTCTGCAGTGGACGATGCCAGCGACCCCAGTGCAAAGACCATGTTCAACAGCGCCAGCCATGCTGGATCTTTCCTGTCGCCAAAGAGATACATGGACCACAGTTTCCGCTCATCAATCAAGGGGAAGAACAGGTGGACGCGTTCGAAATAGCTCTCAATAAGCTGTTGACCTTGGGCCGGAGGAGGAAGTGGCGAAGGGCTCGGATCCGCCAGCTCGGGAGGGGGAGAACCAGCTCGGCTTGGGAGTGCTGTTTCCTGTGTGTTGTGCGCAATCAAGGGCTTCACGTGGGGCGCGCATTTGACAATGACTTTGAGTGCTGCAGTAATCGAGGATATACCGACGTAGGAAGACAGTCGGTCGACGGACATCGACAAGCCGTTGACGTCGTCAGAAATACCCTGGACCCTGACTAGATGTTTTCTGGCTTCGTCCCAATAGGGGTCTTCCGGAGGAGCTTGCTCAAGTGCTTCTAAGCTCTCCGCGCCGTCAGATCCGATTGCAGTCTCTGAGATGCTCTGCGTAGGTCCAGTGGATGGCGATGTTGTAACGGCAGGAGTGGAGAGAGCCAGTTCGAGGAGTTCCTCACGGGGAAGGTTTGCGAGTGTATCAAGATCTTTGGTAGGGTAGAGCTTGGAGAGGACGCTCTTGTATTGCTCGATGTTGCTGGACAGCTTGTCTACCAACCTAATCTCTGTTCAGCGCTGGATGACTCCCCAGGACTATGGGGAGCTTACTTCCTGCTCGGGATAACCCGCTGCGCCGGTTTCGAGTATCCGCATGCCTCGGGATGTTGATACCACTGACATTGCCCGCATGGCTGGGTACCATCACAGCGAATCTTCCTCCTTCTGCACTCGACGCATGCGTTGCTCGTCGATATCCTGCGGGACCCCGTGGCCCGATTCGGCTTCGTGGACGAGCCATCGCTGTCCGCCCCGGGCGAGCGCAGCCCTACGGACGACTGGAACGTGTGGAACATTGCCGTGCCGTGTGATTCGCGGTACTCGTAGTCGGGCGTCTGCTTCAATGACCACGCTCACCAGGTTCCCAGTAAGCAGCCCAACGTGCGACAAGAGATTTGGACCAGAAAGAGCAATGACAAGCACTGAGAAAAGAATCGAGAGACCGGTATAGGTGAAGAAACAGGTGGCAACCCTGGTGCCACTGTATCGGAGGAGCAGTGACACAGTGAAGTAGCGGTGCTGCAGAAGCTGAATTGAGGAAAATTGGTGTGCTCGGTGTAATCACCACGACGTTTCGTTCACGGTTGCCATGGTCCGTTGGTTCAGTCCAATGCTCCACGTTGACCAGCGCTGGATGCTAAATAATAATGAAGGGATTAGCCTCCGCATTATAACCCCGGATGATAGGGTCTTAGGGTGGGCAGCACCACCCAGGGCGAGCGCACCGCTGGGACGGTTGGAGGTCAAGCAGACTGACAACCAGAATATGCTGTCCTGATCCGCATTCGGGTTCGGGGGCCCCTGGCCAAGCGAGATTGGTGTTGTTCGAGAAGGCAAAAAAGAAGGCCCAGCGTTCAGAGAGTCAGTCCGCGCATATTTTTTAACGTTTAGCGTTGCAAAGGTGCCCAGGTGTCGCGACTCGCAGGCCCTGTTGTCCAAAGTGCCATGCCTCGTCACCCCCCTGGCGCCCGTTACAGCACCTCTGGCGCCATCGCCATTCAACGGCGGCGGCGGGGCCGCGATGAGATCATGGTGTGCAGATGATGGGTGCTGAACTCGCAAGCGGGTGAGAGCCATGCCGGCGCGCGCAAGAGGAACGAGGAACGCGCTCCCGTCTGCCGACAGCCCAGCGGCCTCTATCCGGTGTCCGGGTCAATCGTTCAATGCCCCTGTCCCCCTCCGCAACCGTCTTCTGCACTTGACTGGTCGTGTCCTCTGTCCTCTCAACGGGATCCGGGTGCCTTTCGCTGTCTCTCCAAAGGCAAATTAATATGCAATGTGCCAGTCGAAGCCGCGCATTGGCTGCAGCCCATCCTTTCCAAACAGCGCTGCCCATTTCGGCCCTCGCAGAATCATGCCCACGTCTTACTTGTATTGACAGCCTATAATACCTCACATATAGGCCCCTCAATATCTCCCTTCAGGAAGCTCTCGACTTCAGGCTTCGGCCAATTCCCCGCCATAGCGCCATCCGCCAGGCATCACCCCCTCCACAATCCGCCTGGTTGTCTGCAACGCTTCTGGAGCCCTACGGTTTGCTGGATTCTCTGTGTCCGCCTTGTCATCCTGCATGTACCGTGCCCATCGCAACTTTGCACACTCCGGCCGTTGCATGCGTCTGCCTCCACAACTCCACCTCCTGCGTGCTGCCTCTGTGCTCCCGGCTCCACTCCTGTTGCGCATCGGTCCAACGCTGCAGGACGGACCTTCAAGTGAGGGGCTCTGCATCAACTCTTTCCCAGGTATGTCCACCCCAGCATTGCATCGTCTGGCGCTAGGCCCCTCACGCGGATGACCTGTTCATCGCCAGGTACCACGTCAATGGCGCTGTCGTCGACAAGGACTCCGCTTCGTTCCTCGAACACCAGGCCCTTCGTAGGTCGCCGGGCTCGAATGTAAATTCTGTTGCCGTGGCGCTCTACTTCGACTCCGCGGTCGTCAAAGCGTAGATACTTGAGCGGCTGTGGCCAGTCGACGTCGCGTGATACTATCTTACCGTCAACCCAGATCCTAGCTGCGAGAACATGTGGCTCTTCGTTGACGTTGTCGATCGTGCCTGATAGCACATCCGTCGTCCCGTTTGCCACGATGCGGATGTCTTTCTTGACGACACGTTCCTTAATTTCCGTCCCTGTTGAAATGGATATGAATCGTAGCTCCACCGTGCCCGTCAATTCCGTTGGCTGGTTGCTGGCAACCCACACTTCGTAGTCGCTGCTCTTTGGGACACGTGCATGAACCACGCTCCAGTCAAAATGGGCACGCTTTACTGCTACGGCGACCGGTGCCAAGACGCGTCTCATGGCGTAGTATGCCGGCTTTTTGCGCAGGAAGTAATCCACAATCGACCATGATGTGACGGGCCAGCAGTCGTTGAGCTGCCATACCAATGCACCTCCGCAAAAGCGCTTCTGGCCCCACTGTCTGCGCCAGCCCCGGTACCCGAACATCAAGGCCTCCGCTTGAGAGAGTTGCGTAAGGTGGATAAATGCCTGCCGTGTTCTTACTTTAGCATCGATTATATTATCATTCCCAAGGGAAATACCACTCACCTCCAAATCCGTTTGGGTTCTGAAATTCTCCACCAAATACGTCGCTATCCTCCTTTCATGCCCATCTGCTTTATTGTGGAAGTCAAGCATATGTGACTGCGGGTAAAGCTGCGAAGGATCCGTGCAGTAGGATCTGATTGTATCAATGTGAGGGAATGCCTCCATTCCGAACTCACTGTTGAATCGACCGCCAAGCGTGTCAAAGATCTGATACTTCTCTTGCGTGCCATGCCATACTACAAATCCATTAGCCGCTAGGATTTGACAAGGAGCAAAAGATTAGAAAATGCTCACCATTCCATTGGTGCATGTCGCCGACCTTGGGATTGGATGTCTTCAGGCCATCGCCCCAAGGGCTTCCAGGATGATACGGCACATGCGGGCTTTCGGCAGCAACGACTTCGGGCAAAAGCTGTTGAGATCCTCCGTTAGACGAGCCGCACGTCGCGCAGTCGTGCAGCATAAGCGCTTACCTTCTCGTAAATGAATCTCGCAGGGAAGTCTGTCTTGAGCCAGTTGTCTGGGTCCTTGTCTTCGTAATCGTATGTCAACCCGAAAGACTCTTGCACTTGGTAGTCCTCATTGTTCCCCGCGTAGATGACAATAGAGGGATGGTGCCGTAGCCTGCTGACGTTGGCGACGCATTCTTCGCGGATCGACTGCAGCATCTCCGGGAAAGTCGGGTAGTTGCCGCAGCCAAACATGAAGTCCTGCCACACCAAAATGCCCAGTTCATCGCAGATGTCATAGAAGATATCTTCCTCCCAGATACCTCCGCCCCAAATCCTGACTCCGTTAGTTGCATGCTCGGCGGGGAGAACACAGGAGTGCACGTCAAGGTGCACAAGTTCGTACCGAATCATGACTTGGTACCCATCCACCATCAACTCCAACCATTTCCTGTAACGCTCCTCGGAGACTCTTGGGGTAAACGAATCGGCGGGAATCCAATCGGAGCCGCCGCAGAAAACATCCACACCATTGATGCGGAAGAAGAAGGTCTTTCCAATGTCATCAGGCTCCTGGACAAGTTCACCCCTCCTGAAGCCAATGCGCCGGGTCGCTTTGTGCAGCTCAATACTGCCAGCTGATAGGGTTGCGGTGACATTGTACAGCGGTTGGTCGCCATATCCGTGTGGGTACCACAGCTTGGGCTCATCGAGATGAAATTGCACGGTAGCTATACCCTTCTCTATTTGCACAGCCTCGTCAAGAAGGGTATCGCCACCACTTTGTATCTTGAAGCCGACCGTACTGCCCGAACTTCCATCGATCTTCGCAGTGATAGTTCCGCTAACAGATTTGAGTGCGCGAGCAAGTTCGTAGTCGATTCTCAAGTCCGATAATCTTGATTGGTACGTCTCCAGTCTTACAGAACGCCATGGCCCACAGGTGTTCAGTATCGGGCCCCAATCCCAACCCCTGCATTCAGGTTAGTGCTCTGACTATGATACATAGAATGAAAGTGCCTACCAGTGATACTGTGCTTTGCGGACAGCGAGGCGAGACATGTCGCCATTGAATCCAACCCAAGTGTGCTCCGGATGGGCTTCACGTATTTCGATGGCACGCAGCCTCGCGGATGCGAAATCAATCTCCAGCACATTATCTGTCCCACTGTTCAAGGATTTTGTCACGTCTACCCGGTGGGGCACGAACATATTGTCGCTTTCCAGGATGACCGTTCCATTGAGCTTCACTGTCGCAAAGGTGTCCAAACCATCAAAGGCCAAGACGTTGACGGTGCCATTGGAGGGAGCTTCGATTTCGGGGAGCTTCACCCTGTACGTCCAGGTCTTGTCGGCAACCCACTCGGCCTCCAGTTCGTTGAATCCTAGAAAGGGGTCGGGAATTCTATGCGCCCGTTGCGTCAGTCATGCCTTGAATCCATTTCGATTTACACCCCCCACGTGATGACGTACTTCACATTGTCGATAAGATCAAGGTGGACATTCGTTGGCACTCTTTTCACAGGTAACCACGCATCTTCCCCAGAATCGTCGGTTTGTTTGAAGGTCCAGCCATCAGTCAGGTGGTGGACAGCGTAAGCCATGTTGTCGAGTGGGATAAGGGAAATTTCGAAGGATTCGACGCCGACAGGAGCAGAGGTCCTATGCAGAATTGGTGGCTAACAGGTAGTTGTCAACTGCTCGCTAGAGGGAGCTCCGTCTACATATAGCACCGTGACTAGCTGCTCCGTCGGCGGTACCAACAAGGTATCGAGTTGTGTGAGCCGAGCGATTCAAGCGGTTTCTACCCTATCCAGATAGTCTGTAACACCACCCATGCAGAGCTCTCGGATGTCGAATGGTGCCTTTCGTGTTGTTCCGTATCCAATAAGGTTAGTGGGACGGGAGTTGCGGAGTCGTCAAAAAATTAGACCACGCCAGGTCAAGTACAAATCCACGCCGCTCACGCGTCCAGAGAGCGGTCTACAGAGGTACGGAAAGGCCGTGAAGAAAGCGGGACAATCGTCTCCGTAATCGAGAAGAGTTGATTAGGCGCGTGAACGCGTTTCAGGGTCCAGTAGTAGTGGGATGAAGGTTGGTGGGGGAGGAAGCGTGGATGAGACAGCAGCCAATGATGGGAGACCCTCTGTGGCGCATCTGATCAATGCAGCCACAACCGTGACGCCGGATAGCGCACCACCAAAAACCCAAAATCACAACATCTTCAGAAACTTTGGAGAGAAAATACGCGGAATCGGCCCTCAAGAACGTCTCTCTGCATGAATAGATAGGTCAGCTACAATCATGCAAGCCTAGGAGATCCTCACATGAGAGAAGGCATACACCCTCAGAGATCCGAAGTACATGTCATAGAAAAAGGATAAAAATTCCGAATGTACATCTGCACAGCACATCTCAGACGAGAGACGAGCGTTTCCGCATGATCAGGAGCGTTGGTGACGAAGTCTGGTTGGAGCACTGAAGAACGAGGAGAGGTGATCGTTGCAGGAGAGTGGAGGGGAGAGAGATTGGTACACTGAGGGTTGGCAGCTCATGGGAAGGCATGCCAAGTCCGGCGCCGAGAAGGAACTTGAAGAGAAAGGAGGTGCGAGCGGGTAACCGACGAAAGATGATAACTGGTTGCAGTAGTGAGTTTCGGTTCGCTCCTGCCAATGTAGTACATACACGTCACTCATCACCCAAGTTAAAAGCCATGTCGCATTACACATGTGCAAAAACAGACATGATCAATCAGAATGTATTATTTGCCAGCTCTATATCAAGGTCACACACGGACCATTGGTCTCAAGTCCGGGAAAGTAGTTTTACAGAAAGATAACACCCCAAAGACAAAGTCCCAGGAAATAATAAGTTGTACCAGCCGCCATCCACCAGGATGTGGGTATATCGATGAAGCGACCCTCGCCACCTTTCTCCCATTCCAGATGCTCTTCACCCTTTGTTCCCTCCTCTTTCAGTACATTAGCCCTCCATTTACAACATAAAGAAAGCCGCAGCAAGCGTAAGCCCCAGCATAAGCAGCGACCGAGACACAGGGCTCGCAGCATCGGCAGTAAACTGTGCCGGTAGATTCGGGGCAGAGGGCGTCGCTGTGCCGGCAGGAGTCTGGGTGGCGCCTCCTCCGGGTGAGTCGGGGCTGCCAGGAACGACGGGCGGTTGTCCAGCGGCGCCTTGACCGGGTTGCTGGCCAGGGCTGAGGTTCTCGACAGCAGCGGCGGCGAGGCTCTTGAAGGCGGCCATTGTCTTGTTACCGGAGGCAGGGCTACGTGAGGATTAGTTTTGGGAAATCCAATCGAATGGGGCTAGAAAGGACTTACGCGTTGATGGCTCCGACCATGCCGGCCTGGCAATGCTTTCCTTGAGAGCAGTAGTACCAGATCGGCTTGGTGTCCATGACGCGAATGGTGTAGGTCAGGAATGTTCCAGCGGCAACTGCGCTTGCATTGGTGGGCATGAAGCCAGAGTAGAAGGCGTCGGTCTTGTTTGGCATGATGTTCTGGATTGGAATGCAAGGCTGATCAAATGTAGACTGGACGACGGAGTGGTTCTACTGGTTGTTAAAATCGATTTTCTGAGTATAAGGAGCGGACCACAAACCTTGGGGTTGAACTGGAATTGGACAAGGTCACCAGGCTGGGCGACGATGTTTTCGGGAGAGAAAACCAGAGTCCCATTGGGTCCACCAACTTTGACCACATGGGTCTTGACGGTTGCCCCGGCTCCTGGCACATGTGAAGGGGCTGCTGCCGCGGGAGGCGCGGAGTGGGGAGGAGCTGCTGCTGCTGGAGACGAGGTGTGCGGAGGAGCTGCTTCAGCGGGAGGTGCCACATGTGGAGGAGCTGCTACCGCTTGCGAAGTGTGTACTGCCGCAACGGAGGTATGGACTACTGCAGCCGACGTGTGTACCGCGACGACTGAGGAAACATCTTCGGCGACCGTCTCCAAAACTGGTGAAGCAGCATCTGCAGGAGGAGCAACATGTGCTGGTGGAGCGACATGGGCTGGCGGAGCAACGTCTGCAGGAGGCATTTGCGCGGCGACTGGAGGAGTGGCATGAGCAGCGGCCGGTGTGGTAACGTGGGCAGCGGGCGGGGACTGGTATGCTGGGGGAGGCATCTCCCCGAGGTGTTCTGTAGCCGCCGCCAGCCCGAGGACCGTGGTCGCAATGAAGGTTTTCGAGAAGAGCATTGTGGAGCGCAACAACGGAGGGAAAGTGAGCGACTGGTATCACTGGAACCGGATCGAGATGCAAGAGCGACTAGCGCTGTAAACTGGACTAGCCAGATGAATATTAAAGAAGAATGGAAAAAAGTTGTAAAGAGTGAGAGACGAAAGGAAAGTAAACACAACGTCTGAGAAGCGATGGGAGGAAGAAGTGAGGAAGACTACATGGCTATAGAGACTCTTAAGGCATGAAGAAGTCTCCAAGAATGCGGCTAGTGTCCACCGGGGTGCGTGCGCACGCGGCGGCTAGGACTGATCCGACGCATGAAGCTGTGTTCTGTGACATCTTGGTATCTATCTCTGCTTCAGCCTCTTAACCGGATGTCGCAGACCCGAAGCGATGTAGGAGAAAACCTTAGACTCGCAGGAAATCTCGTGTGGCAAGCAAAGATGCGTGAGAACTCAGAATCCAATGTTCTTGCGCTTCAAAATTCGCCGCTACGATTTTTTTCAAACAGAGACATTGCGCAGTCGTGTTGTATGCTGTGGTTGTAGAAAGTGTCCGTGGAGGTTGAGTGTAGGTGGTGGTCCAAGCGAGGAACTCCGAAGCACTCCCTGTTTTGGGTTGTGTTTGAGAATACCCTGGCCCATGAATACCGTCATGACTCTTCGGAGACGTTCAGATTGACCTTGAACGCATTCAAAAGTCAGGGTCGGAGACTTTGGCAGTCCTGCAGTTCGGTCCCGCCGTGCGCAAAATGTACTGCTCCAACCAATAGCATGGCCGATCACATTGAGTTCTGGCAATTGAGTGTCGCAAACTGGCGGCCCTCACAATTTTGTCATGAAATCGTGGAAACGTTCCTGCGTTTCAATGAAACCCTTTCATTAACTGGTGTTCTGGTGTTCTGGTGCTGCGAAATGCGAATCTACTGTCGGCCCTGCTCAGGAAACGCATCCGTGGAGTTCCTACGGCGGACGGGCCACACTGGCCATTATTTCGGTGAACTCGTTAGCGGTACAGAGTACCCGTACGCCATTCCCAAGACGGTTGTCGTCATCGCATGAACGGTCGTGATGGAGTTGTGCATGGCTAGTAGGCAGGCTACATCCCTCTCAAGAGTGCGCATGGGCACGAAGAGTGACATTGTCCACAGCAGCAACCCCAGTCTGCTGCATCCGCGCTCAAAAGTCGAGCACCAGTTGCGGAGCCAGCTTTTCCAAATCCTCCACTTGCAGAAACACAGTCCCGCTCTGCCCTCCTCGTGCCTTATCCGCCTCGCGCCGTTCATGTACCGCTCGCGAAAGAGCCTCCCGGACGAAGATGTCCATGTACTTTGCTGTCAATTCCATCGCACCGCGATGTATTTTCGTGTTCTCGTCCTCGAACCCTTCTTGCAGGAGCCTGCCAAGCAGCTTCTCTGGGATAGGCTCTAGTTGTGGTTGTGATTGTATTGCGTCGGTGGCATCCTCGGCAACTTCGTCCATCAACTCGTCGACGTCGGAGCCGGCGAAGGGGTCTTCGTCGACTTCCTCCTCTGAAGAATTTATGACCATCGGAGCCGCATCGGTACGGCGTGAGGATGCTGCATTTTTCGCTACCGCCGACGATCGTGCGCTCGGTGCACCAGTGGTAGGTTTTGTCGAAGTTGAGGACTGCACGGGAGCCTTGACAGGCCGTGGGGGTTTGAAAGCGGGGCCTTTCCGTTTGGTAGGGTTTGCTGTGCCTGGCGCCATTGTAGTTGTCATGCGACGTGGATCTGCCGTGATGAACGTTGTGATGTCGAGTTGGACGGGATGCGCGTCCGTTGAGATTCTGACGCGTCAAATGGTCCGACGCGTGATCACGTTCCTCGCTACTTGAGTACTTGTACTATAATACCCGCTTTGCCAATCATTTGCTTCCATAAAAAAATTCAACACCATTGGTGGGTGACTCGCATGTATACTATTATTTCTCGTTCTTGTGTCAGCGGAGATGAAGCCGATCACGCCGCTTTCCGAGTGTGCAGAACGAAGATAGGCACAATTGTGGCGAGTTATACATTGTAGACATCCGACAATGGTCGCTCAGATTTCATCAGATCCCACCAAATTCTACTGGGACGCTTCATGCGGTTTATCCGCCATCGTTGAGTGTTATGCGTGCAGAAATTTGTGGAGCTCCAAGGAGCGGATTCTTGAATCACCTTACCTATGTCCGGGCCGACAACGCGTGTACTGGAGTGTTTGCAGTGTTCACCGGATTTTTAGGGTCAGCCAACCAGTATCCTGGGACGCTCTCAACCAACAGCAGCCCCAGGACGGTACTACGTGTTGCCGCACCCGCAATCCCGCGAAGAGTTCTTGACCTGCGACTTTGAGGCGGGGATCGGTGGTACAAATCACGGCGTACAGAGTACCTGCAGAAACAACGAGCCACCATCTCGCAAGGAACATCAACACTCTTGAACTGTGCCGCAATGTCGACAAAGCCTTGGCAAATGCATGAAGCCACCAGCACAGAGGATAATCTACCGTCTGCGGGTAAAAGAGAGTTTTCTGTTCGCAACCGCAGGCAGCGAGCGCTTGGTTGCAGCCGTGTCGAGAATTTCGAAGCTACCTAGGTAGCCTTTCCCGATATCATTGTGAACAGGTTGACCAGTCACCTTTCGCTGACTGAATCGAACGAAGGAGTGCTTATGTAATAGACCAGGGGGACCAGGGGGAGGCTTGTACCTGGGAGGTCTCCATATTAAGAAAACAGTGCTTCCAGAAGTGAACAGGCCTGGCTTCTGTGCGGGGCCGCAATAGTTAGATGTGGCGTCACACAGAAGCGGGTTGAGGGAGCACAGCGTCGGCGTTTAGGCACTGGTGTCACGCCTGGGAAACCTTACAGTAGTAGTACGGCCTTCGGACAGCTAAGCAGCTTTTGGCCAATAACGACTAGATTGCGGCGAAGCCCTACAGTAGGGTTGTGGCTGCAGTAGACTGTGAGGTTAAAGGAAGTCCGAGAATATGGGTGCCGCCAGAATGAGCAATGTTGGGGACGAGATACGAGTTAAGGGTGAGAAGCTGAGCCTCGGTTGGACAGGATCGAGGCCTTTTAGGGATCGCGTGCAGGTGGAGACAAGCAGATACTACTCGGGGCTATCAAGGGACTATCGAACACGGCAAAGAAGTGGGCCGTAGGAAGGCTCTCCCGTGCTCGTTCTGGAAGACATGCGACTCTGTACTGGGTACTCGGTAGTGCAGGCTCGCATCGAGGGCGGCAGCTGGGGCGGCAGAGCGTGGTGCCCCTGGAATAGCGACGGGGAGGTGACAAAGCAGTGCTGGCGACAGCAAAAGTTGGTGTGAACAGCTGGAAATTCCAGCTGCGAAAGCGCTTCCAACGAGAAGGGCCGACGACTGACAATTGCTGAGGCCAGCTGGGAATTGGTTGGCCTATAGCGCGGCATGGATCTGGTTGGCTAGGTAGGTAGGTGGGGATGGGTGCGGGCGACGCCAAGATGAGCATTTGTTTCCGTTTTGGGAAAGAGGGCGAGTCCCAGAAAGGGTATAGTCGACACCCTCCAAAACTAGGTCGATGGTCCACCTGGGCAGTCCCTGACGAACTCCGAGACCTCGACCCTCCTATCTGGATCGATTTTCTAGCATCAGCAACCTCGTCGCAAGCCTCACGACTCACGCCAGCAACTCTCACCGCCAGCTATCGCCAGGCCGGCGCGAACCAGCCACTGCTGCCAGCGCTCTGAGAGGACCTCCGGCGTCCCAAAAGCCGTCGCCCAACAACACGCAACCAGGCGGCACATTGATAGCACCCGGCCGACTCGCCAATACTTCCCAATCTACCCTACACAGCCCTCTATCTACCACTCCCGGCAATAGGTAGCCATCGGTTTCGCACCGTCGTGCATGTGCCATCCAACAATGCCATGCTGCCCTTGTCCGTTCCCCGCCTGCGGTTTGCTTGCCAGCGCCCCTCGACCATGTACCGCATAGACTATAATAACCACTCTCGTCCGCCCACACTCCTACCTCCCACATTCCTCTCCACCCCTCCCTCTGGTCCTCCCGCCCTCCACCTGGGCACCCAAACCCGTCACACGCACCCCGCCAGCTGCCTAGAACGGCCAGCTCCGTTACTCAGACCCTCGTTGCACCTCGCTAGCCATATTCGGCCTTGACATGTGCTGTAGCAACAGTATATCTATCTACTGACCGCACACGCTCTTTGTTTGGCTTTCCTGGGAATTCACCCCGCTTCACGTACCTAGATACCAACTAGAAGCTCCCCGCCGCAGGTTCCTCCAACGACTTTTCGCCCTTCATCAAGCATGCCGCACTCTACCCACGGCTCCTCGTCGACCAACATGTCTCGCTCGTCCGATGCCTCAACAAACTCGGCCGCCAACGCCTTCCCAAAACCCGCAGGAGCCGCCCTGTTGGCTCCCGAGACTGCCACTGACCGTCTCTCCCCCTCTCGCTCCACCTTTTCCTTTGAGTCCTCGCCCGCTTCCGCACAGCTCGGTCCGGAAGACGAGGTGCCCGGTATGCAGTCCACATATTCGAGGCCTTCCGTCGAGCGGAGAAGTGCACGACAAAGCACTCGCCAGCGACACCGCTATTTCGAAGAGCAGTTCGCTTACAAGGACGATGCCACCTCTGCGGCCCGCGACCGCGTCGTCGGAGATGCTCCCATCATCGCAGACCTCAGAACAAATGTCATTGTATGTACTTGTATTCACCCATCCCTGCCTAGGCGTGGAGATCACCCCTCATGTCTGGCTAGCGCTCCCCGCTGACCATTTGCAGATCAAGGATGAATACACCCTGGTGACCGATCTGTCCCACCACCTCTCCCAACGATATCAGCGTCCCGAGTCTTCCATCATGATCACCGTAAACCACTCAGCATGCCTTCTCCTGGGCGGCTCCTTCGACCCTACCTACGTTCTCAGCATCTCGGCCCTGCCCGTCCAACTGCAACCAACCACAAACAAGCGCAACGCCGCCCTGATACAAAAGTTCATGTTCGAATCCATCGGAGTACAGGCGGAACGAGGAATCGTCAAGTTCATACCCATCGCCGAAGAGAATCTGGCCATCAATGGAACTACGATTCTCGGCGACGTCGAGAGGCTCGAGCGACAAACCGCCGGGGACAATCAAGGTCTAATGAGGGCTCTCACGAAGAGCTCGAAACGCTCGGGAATCGCCAAGGCAAAGAGCAATGTACAACTTTCAAGAACTAGTTCGCGAGCAGTAGGAGGAGATAACGTCACCACGTCGCCCCTCCCTAGCCCGGGACCCCTGGACTCCGGTGTGGCCATGAACGACGAGGGGACAGATTCACTTGCACCCTTGCAAAGCGACGGGAACTCTGCGAAAAAGAAGCCGTTGAAGCATTCAGGCTCTAAATTCATGAGAGACAAGTCGGGTGCCAGTACGGCCACCACGCTCGTCCCTGGCGATGCGGCGGGACCTAGGCTCGGATCGCGAAAGAGCTTCATCGCCTTGTTCCGGAGATAGAGTTTCGCATCAACATTGTGCGGATTAAGGGTCTCGCTGTTTCGTGGCCTGGCTTCGGAACAAGCCGAGCGGTGGCTCGAACGTTACTGGAGCGTTGCGGGCGCGCACGAAGCTGGAAACTATCTTAAACAAAGCCGCCCGTGCGCTATTATCCCAGCTCACTCAGACGTGTCTACCGCCTTTTTGAAGCAATCGCACACTGGGGGTACTCCTTCTATATCTTTGCTTTTCCTTTGTCTCTTTTCTTCTGCATGGGAGTGCAAGAGTGCTGCTACTGTTCAAAACTGCATGATACCGGCGTTTGATGATTGGTCGATGGGAACACAGAGAATTGCACAGCGTATATACCCCCATTTTACGGACGGTTTTGCACTTCAAGCACTGTTCTCTTTTCGTACCTCTGGGCTATAGAGCGAAGGACCGGATAGGATATTAGCATACTCCGTACTGGTATTCTTAATCATCAGTCAGCCGCCATGGGGCTGTCGGCATGGGGCTTGGGGAGGCATTCCGTAGACGAAGAAAGGATCGCTAGTCGTGGCTGTCTACACAATGGTAAATGGAAACGTGGTAGAAGTAGTGAATGAGAATTCTCCCAAGACTCGAGGCGAGCTCCGATGAAGCACCATCTCGCATGGACTGGTCTGGACAAGCAAGTACTGAACCGCCCTCCGCCCGTCGACTAATAAATAGCAAACACATAACGTACTTGATAAGCGAGCGGCGCGGACAAGCGAGCGGCGCGCATCGCGCGACCACACGCGTTACTACCTTCAACATGCGATGGATCAACCAACTTCCTCCCAATTACTTTTAAATGAGAGTCGAGTATTCCTTGCC